CGTTATATATGCACGCGTCTCATAATTTATATGGCGCTGAAAACGCTAACGATGTCACAGATTTTCATATGTAAAAGCAATTGCATACTAATACATTTCCTTCTGGCGTGACTCGCTGTTGTAAACGAATTTATTCTTTTCCGGAAATACCTTCGCTATTTTTCACGCCAATGAGAACATTTTTTCATTTGTCAATATTATTTTCAATTCAGTTTGTACGTGATTTTATGGGTCGTTTTACACTTCAAAGTCTTAAAGCTACTTTTTTATCCTTTCATTTCGCTCGTCTAATTATATATTTGTTTATCTTAACAAACTATGATTTTCAACATCTGTAAATCGTATAAGTTGTATAAAATAACGTATCAAAAAATCAGATGTATTAACTATAAATATAATTATTTACATGATTGCACAATTATTTTTAATCATTATCGTACTTTTCGTATAATTATATGTATTTTGTTTAAAACATTTGTTAATGTTTTGCAAAAACTTCTTGACTTATTGTAAATATATTAAACTTGTTACTATTATGCGATAAATCGCTATATGTATTTGTTTACAATGAATAATTTAATTGTTAATTTTTGTTTGCTAAATTACGGTATAAAAATAGTTGACTAATTGCTTACAATGATAAATTCATATTCTAGAATAACACAATTCTTATATTAACGTGTTCGCATATCTTAGAAACTGGTGAATTTATTAATTTACACGTAGGCATAATTGGCATATATATCTATGTGTGAAGCTGATTATGAGGTCACGCTCGTTGTTTAATAATGAATTGTATGACCAGCAATGACAAACATAGGTATACTATTGCAATTAATGCTATCCACACTAAATCAATTGTAATCGTTGATTGCTCTGAAGAATCTTACGCATGACAGATTGCGCTACGTGACGCAGGCACTTTAAAGATACGCAACCGATACAATAGATGGGAAAAAGAAAGAACGATGAGTGCAAAATGTTTAAAAGAAAAGTTTTCGAGAGAAAGAGAGAGAGAGAGAGAGAGAGAGAGAGAGAGAGAGAGAGAGAGAGAGAGAGAGAGAGAGAGAGCGTCAGTCCGTGCGAGAATTAGAGGGTGGCAAGCGAGAACAACGAAACGAGGCGTGAAGCGCGGCAATGGACGCCAGCCAAACTCGGGCACTTCCGTCCCTGCGAATCAGAGCGGAAAGCGGCAGAAATCCAAATTTCCGACATGGCTATGTAGCTATATATTGTCCTCTCTCTCACTCTAACGTTCGAGCCTGTCTGCAGACAGGCTCTAACTTTGAACTCTCATTGAAATATCGCTGTAGATAATCGATTAGCCAAATTCTAATTTGGCTAATAGATTTCTATTTCAGCCACGTCGATTGTTTCGGAGCTTATTAAAGGCTGTATTATCCTTTGGTTATTTATTGTTTACTGCAAATAGCAATAAACAGTCTACCAGCGCGCGATATTCTCGGAAAATCAAACTCGAACTAAAGTACAATTCTTAGTTATTATCCACCTATCGCATCAGATGTGCTTCTTAGTACTGAAACTATAACAATCATTCACGCCGCGTCTGAAATGATGCTTACATTTATCACTAATATACAAAGATTTCAGCCTACCAAAACAAAATTTATTTGAAACAATTGAAAATTAAATTATTGCTGTAGTACATTTTGTTGGTCAACATCTAAGAAAATCTGATTTTTTCGAATTAGTCGTCAATAGCAACGATTTGCCAACAACACATTTATTATTGCGTTCGATTCACTTCTTCGGACAAGTGGTTCCCCTATCGTTATCAAAATCACCTTATACCACTTGACGCATTTATCGATTCGTTAAAAATGATAAAAATAATTGTTCGTTATAATTTCCTCATAGCTATGAGTATAAAAGACGTTGTTCCATTTAGATTAATCAAATTGACAAAGACCAGCTTCTTGTTTAGTACTTCAAGTGTTGAAATAAACCACATCTCTTTCAATATGAGCCAATTATTGAACTTCCTTTTGCTTTTGGTTGTGCTTATTATCTGCATGACCAGCAGTGCCATTTTTGCAGGCAAGTTATTTGAAATCCCAATTTGTTCTCCATAACTTTGTAAAAAATACAACACATTGCATATTATCCTTAGTTAGTCAGTAGTATCTTTCTATCATTCATTCTAATTGATAACCATTATATAACAAATAATTCTTATTGAAGCTATTATTGCTTATACAATAAATTTCTTGATTTAATCAATATTTCTTAAAAAGAGAAAACATTGTTTCATTGCCGAAAATAGTACATTATGATACAAGTGCGGAAAAGTAGATTTTCGTTTTGTGCGGTGTTTACGCCCGAGCGAAGCGAGGGTGGAAAGATACCTAGACGAGAATCTCTTTCCAGAACATATATCGCATAGTATTTTTTACATGTTATTTAACATTAAATAAATAAACGTTAATTTATTCTCCGTCGCAAAGCAAGATTACATATATGCGTACCCTCATAATAAAATGAAAAATACAAGTTAAAAAATAATTGTATACTTAACATTTACAGAGGCCAGATGTAGGAGCAACGCTGACTGCGGTACCTGCACATGTATGGCCGGCAGTTGCGTTTGCCCCGATGGCAAATAGATTCGTCTAACTTGGTTACCATGTTAATTAATTACCTTTCATTTATTTCGGAAGATGTATTTTTATTGTATATACGGAATCGTATTTCAAAATAAATTATTTTTATGACTATATATATTCGTTTTAATAAATTAATGCGCTGAAAAAAACTGTTCGTGTGTTATTTTCATATTTCTATAAGTTAGTTTTTAGAACTTGTCGTTTATCATAATCACTTATCTTATCAATTCAGCGAACATGGATAACATAATCAGCAAACATGTATGATTAATCATTCAAAGTTTGATAGAATTAAATGTAAATGGAACGTTAACAAGCTATAAATTGATTGATAAGCCGACCACAAAAACAAGAAAAGTGTGTAACATCGGGCAAAGAGGAAATTTTCCGACAATAAAGTTCACATTACAATGAACGACCAACAACAAAAAGAGCCAGCTGATAAGCAGCCATTCATAAAAAATAATGTGTACAAAAGGTGCGCGTTATACAGCACTGGAAAAGCTATAATATATGCGCGCGCGTACTCTCTCTCATCGAAAATGGAATTGTATAAAAATAGCAAGATTTACGAGCAATTTATAGAGTGGGGTGTAGCTTCGTTGCTGTAAATAATTCGCGCACCTGGGCAAGCATACTAGTGCCGTAAAGTCGGCTATTTTCCTTAGCACGTACTCTCACTTCAGCTTTTTCTTGTGGCTTTTCAGCTTCTCCTTCATCGTCGTTCTCGCGAGAGTTCACCTTTAACAAGCCTCAATGAGGCATCATTTGAACAAATATCATCTGCATATATCTCAAATTGTGTAAACCTTTAAAGTCTATATAAGCATGAAAAATTCGTAGTACGAAGATGATGGCAACGTGGACAAATGATTGATCGCTGTAACGTTACTGTCTAATGCAATGATATAACAAAGCTAACCAATATACTTTTCGCTAGCACAAATGTAACTGGATCTGTGTTGCAAAGTGGAAACACAGTTTTCGTGAATCAGGATGGAGTCATATAACTTTTCATTCTGCTATGCTATTGACGAGATTTCAAAATGTGACAATATTGATACAACGATTAGGGCTGTGCCTGACAGATACCGTGCTATTGTATATAAATTAATTAATTAATTATTTACACAATCTATATCTTTCATACGCTATGTCTGTTTTAATGTACAAATCTTTTTCAATCAATATTTTCATATCTGTTTCGTGAGCTAATTAGTTACGCTATAAATATGATTATTTTTTTGTATTAAGCGAATTATCAATCTCGTGGATACGATTATCATACTATGTTTAGCAGCAAGCATTATATATATATGTAAATTTTATTATAGTTTCATGATTGTTGAAAATGAATAAATATTTATGTATTCAATACTCTGTGTGTAAAAACGTATGCTCTATTGCTTATTACGCGGTTATACAATAAATAAGTCAAAAGTTCAATAAAATCCTTATTTTGTCTTAACTTTCGACATTGCAGAATCTCTTTTATATTAAATTGTATATGATTACAAAAGCATAAAAATAATAAAAATTCATGCACTTTTCTCTTTCCTATCCTCTCACATATAATCTTTTATAAGTTTTACCCTTTGAGATGAGTTTTTACTAAAATACACATAATAAAACTATTAAAAGTATAAAAAGAACACAACAGATAAAAACTTTTACCGAGTTGTAAGTAACAAATCGTCTCAGGATAATTTTACAAGAAACCCCTCGTAGATCTTTAATTAACAGTGGTACCGAAAATTCATTCCTCATCTCACAAAGTTATGTAGAATAATGAATAATTTGGTGATTATGTCAGTTTTTGTTAAATGAAAACTTTCTTTAGAAGAATACACTATTTTATTAAATTTTCATTCGTCTAGCAAAGTTTTATAGACATTGAGTTGCCAATCAAGGACATATACAACATTTGATAAATACAATCCTGATCAGCTATTTATCTCGCAGTCTTTATACACATACATACACACTAACACGCATACACATATATGTATGTATGAATGTATATATATGTATATATATATGTGTGTGTGGTTGTTCTTATTCTTTATTCACAATAATCACAGTGATTTATTTATTTTTTAAAATCAATCTACTGAAATAAAAATAAAAAACACATTCAAAGTAAGTTTAACTAAAGATGTAATACGAAAAATTGGAATATAATGAAATCAATTATTAATTTACAAAACCATTAAATATACATCATACATCAACATTAAACACTCTTCAAATTTAAAATAAACTAGTGCTAACACGAAGAAAAATATACTTTTTCTCGCAGTTAAAAATTCTAACAAATCTCTATCCAATCTTCGGCAATTTATACAAACTTGTGGAATTACTTTTTGATTTTCAATAGATTTTAGTATTTCTTAGGGCCTGAACGAGCATTAGCAAATGGTCTATCATTTCAAACTTAACAATTTTAAATACAATTTAATGTAAATCTGCAATCGATTTCATACTCATACTTATTTGCTTTGATTAGTTTGGCAATTTGATATAAAAATGAATAATGTAAGTGGAGCAAATATGTTTAACATTAGCATTCGAGTTATAGTCCTTATTAAACTTAGTTTTATGTTTGCCATTGTTTTTAATAATTTGGATACTGACTCATGCGTCATAACTAATAACTCAAACTTTTGATTTTAATGTCAACTACAAATAGTTGTTTATAGGTCATTGATAATGCGATTTCATGTTAGATCAAGATTTTCTAACGAAACCTGTCATCGGAGGTGGACCAACATTTTTTAATGATATAGGCACTGTTGGATCCATACCATAAGGCGCTGTAGGTGAAGTAACATTGCTGGGACTAGTTGAAACCGACGGTATCGAAACACGTTCGATGGATAAACTTTGCTGCGGTAATTGTGCATCAGTCTGAATACCCATAGAGCCATAGATTTCTTTAAGAATTAAAAGCATCGTATCTTCTGATTCCCTATACAAATTTATGCAATGAATTCCTCTATTCATTAATTTAATTCATATTCACAATAAAAACATTGATTACTTACCAATAGCAAACGTGACTGGTTAATGCGAATAAGTACTCATTAATATACTCAAAAGGAGCCTCTTGGAGTACATAATCGATTCTTCGGCCACCGTTCAGTTTGCCAACTTTCAAATCGGTACCAGCATCGTCGGCAGTCGTCGATTGCATCGCTTCCGTTGGAGGTTTGTTCATCTGTTCTTCAACTACTTTTTCAATCTCTTGCTCTAAAGTCTGCTGGTTATCTTGTTTATGAAACATAGCTAACTGATACACAGAATTCCATGTACTTCTCACAGATTCTAGTAGTCGTTGTTTTAAATCAGCACCAACTCGTGCCATTGTTTCTTTCAGTTCTGAAAAATATTAAATGTAATAAAATTTTTACTCGATACTATATTTAAGTATACACTGAATTTACAACATTTTAATTTACTTTAAATATTACGTTAATTAGGTATGTGAATTAATTAAGTATAAGAATAATATTACCTAAATGCATTCGTTTCCTGCCTTTGTGATGAGGAATAAGCATAGGCCTGTACTTATGTGCTTCAGAATTAATAAGTGACTCGACCCTGTAGGCAACAGGATCGAAGGGATGGAATATATTGAAGAAAGCTGGGCATGTTGGTAACTGGAAGTCTTCGCCAAGAGTGTCGATACCACGTACTGTCACGAACATACCAATGGGACTGCCGAGTGCGAAGAAAGCTCGTGGCTCGAACGCTAGTTGTGGGTAGTTGATGAACGGCTGTCCAGTGCCAGCTGTGCCCATTACATAGCTCACTTTTTTGCTGAGCTTGCGTTTTAGTACTGGGGCTGCTAGAGCTTTGCTGAATGATACGTCTTCCGTCTGAAATGACAAATGTTTTCATCATCGATTTCAGTATAATGCTCAAAGTATAATATAAGTGTAATACTAAAATATGGTGCTTCTGTTAGAATATTTTTCTTCTCCAAATTCAATTCTTATACTTTAAGAAGATTAAGACGAAGATTTTTTCTAACGTAAGAAATCATAATAATGAGTTATAATTTAAAAACTACTCCATAATCACAACTAATCACAACGTTGTTAAACTTACAGTCGTATCTTTAGTAATCTCTGCTTCATCATTAGTTTCCTTTTCCTCCTTAGTAGAAGGTTTTTGATGGCACAGCAAATCGAACATAATCAAACTTCCCAACGAGTGTCCACCCAAATATACACTACCTTCGAACTCAGGGTTTCGTTGTCTGAATAAAGAGTATAATCGATTTAGTTCGTTTCCAACGGTTTGCATGATTGTTTCACAGTAAATAGGACTCGTGTAGAAAAGTATGTCGAGGAGTGTATCGTTGGTAAAGTGGCGCAATTTTGGAATGCTCTCTAAAGTGATAACTTGAAGTTTCTTGTCAATGCCTGAATGCAATGTTGCGTGCCATGAAATTGGTAGAACCTCAATACGATTTACGATGCCTTGTTCACTAGAGTTTTTATAGTGAGATTGTACCAGCTGTAGTGATATACTACGAAACTCATCAACTAAAAAAATTGTTTTTAATTATTCTAAATTCTGAAAAAGTTTGTAGAAAATTCAAACTTACCAACTTCTTCAACAGTGCGAAATTTTAGATCGCAAACACTTCCAATTCCATGAACCAAAAACAACAAATGGTCTACTCTTTCAGGCTCGCCATCATCAATGTTGAACTCATCAAGGCCTCGTTTAACGACCTTAGGTCGACTAGTGTTTCCCTGCAAATACGCATTGTCTTCTGAACCCTGTGTTTCATCAGGATTCCAAAAGAACCATGCGTTTCGATCATGAGAGTGCAAGTGAAAAAAAAATCAAAAACAAAATTTAGTTAGCGCTATGTTTGCAATGAATGAAAATGATGAGATTATCGTGTGCCCTGTTAATTGTTATGTGTCAAAATTGTAACATGACATGCTTTCTATTTCAAATATATAAATTTCAACATAACAAAAATATTAAATATATTTTCTTGAAATATAAATGAAAAAAGTACGTTACAAATAAACATTGAAACTTTATTATCCACACTATGAATGACAACTTCATGTGATGTCAAAAAGCCTTCAAGCCAGCATAAAAAAACTTGGATTCTTATCCGTATTATTACCGTATTATTTCCCCACGACGCAGCTAATTCTGGAGTGGTTGCTTGTAGATAATGCGCCTGGACTGTTGAACTATGGAAAATAATGTACTCGCCATTGTTAAGATCTACTCGCCTGTTCCAAACATTAGTGGTACAAGCTTGCTTAAATTCTTCTTCTAATCTAGCAGCAACGCTTTCTTCATATGGTATATAACGCGACTCAGTTGAGCCTTTGTAGAACCACGAACAACGACGTACTTCGGCTACAGGGCCTGTCCAGTATACTGGAGAACGCTGGCGTCTGTGGTAATTGATAGAATAGTTAAACAAGATTATGGACTGTATGCAATGTCAAGACTAAGTTTGTTTTATTGATATACCTCAAAATTTCGACATCGTATCTGCCTCCATCGGTTGCAACTTTAGTTTCCGGACTAATTTCGTTGGAGTTGTGAATATCTTCGAGGTTCAAACTGTCGTGCATAGAAAATGGAATCCATAGTGTTTTGGCTTCTACCTCACGGCGGTAAAACCAGTGATGATATACCGGCCGGTACTGCATTTGTCTTTCTGGAAGACCTGATGCCTAAAATAATCTCACACTCTTTAATAGTTCACTAAACAAAATTGAACAGAAGTATATATAAACTTACTAAATTTTGTAAACTTGGAGGAACAGTGTCTTGTGGCGAGCGACTCGTCAGAGGACTAACGGACATCTGTACAGGGCTGAGCGTTGCTGATCCCGTAGGCTCTGGTACTGCATGAAAGTTATTTGATGAAATTGACGACAGTTGCACACTTGAACTGCTATTGATTCTCGTAGGTGATGGTGCATATGTGTTCGCGGATGTTGGTGAGAATGAATGCGAAGTATTTTCAAATTGCGAGGAATTGAAGAAAGCTGGTGCTTGCTGTTGCGACGCACCGTAAATTGGATTTAATACCGACGGATAATTCTGAAAAAATGATTGAATTACTATTAATGATGCTCATTTTTTCTATGAATATGATAAAATTATTCTTCAAAGTTTTATAAAAATTCTTTTTCAATTCTAACATGCCATATAAACGAATAAGAAAATAACCAACCAAAGTCTCATTAGAACCCCATATATATTGTGGCATCAAGTCTACTAGATCGCCATCGTTTTTTTGTTGTTCGATTTGCGAACTACTCGAATCGATGTTTGGCGGTCCCGATAAATTCGGTATATTATTAGTAAATCTTGACGTAGACGATGTCTGAACGAGCGCAAAGGGATCGGAAACTGATTGCGATTGCTGCGGCTGTTGTTGTTGCGGCAGCGGCGGCGGCGGTGGCGGTGGCTGCTGCTGCTGCTGTTGCTGTTGCTGAAATGAGAAAGGATCCGTAGCAGACTGCTGCTGCTGTCGTTTTTGGAACGAGGAAAGATCGGTATTAGCTTGCTGTTGCTGCTCCGAAAAAGGATTAGTAAGTGATTGTTGTTGTTGCTGCGACTGTTGAAATGAAAAATTTGGTACACTAGTATCTGCCTCGAAAAGTCCAATCGCCGAAGGTACAGCTAGTGATTCCAAGCTCTGCTCTTGTTCTACAATCAACGACTGTTGCGTCTCATTCTCGCTAAGCAATACTTCTGAACTACTAGTCGCATTCAAATCAATCTCCGTCAACTCCTCTATAATTTGTTTCTGTTTCTCCTGTGCGACAATACCAGCTGTAATCGTAGCTACTTCTGCCGATAATTCCGACTTGACTGATAAAGTATCATCATTCTGCTCAGCAATGAAATTTTCGAGTTTTTCAGTAACTTTTGCCGCGGAAATTGGTGTGAATGTTTTATCCTCCGAGCTTGTAATACCCTCTTTAATCGAAGATAAAGTAGCAGTTTGCGCTACTATACTCTTAGATGGTTCAGCAAATGGGTTTAACACTTCTACCTGCTGCTGTCTGTAAGCACTAAATCCTGAGAATGCAAAATCGGCAGGTGTATTCTGTGGAGTCGCCGGTTCAGGTAATCTCAAAGGTATGGACTGCGGAGCTGTCGATGATTGAAAACTAGGTACACTACTGTGAGACGTACCGACTGGGCTATTTCTGAATGAATTGTGCAAAGAACTGCCTTGGCTCGATTGTGCACTCAGTGGTGGTGCTGAAGGACTGTAAGTATCTAAAAGTGGAGTCTGACCAGAAGCTGGATTGAAGAACGTCGGTGGTGCTGTGTTTGGCGCTGATGGAAACGATATGATTGGTGATGATAGTGGCTGACAGTGATGTTGCTGAGGCGAGGTTGTTAGATCTGGCGGTGGTGCATACTTCAAACGACGTTGGTTGCCCAAACGGTATGATCCGGCACCTATGAATGATTTTCTTAAGTAACGAGGTGCAATCAGAATGTGAATGCACGGCAAAGATATCGATATCTTTGATTTTTCTTTTAATATCGTTGTTCGATATAATAAAAAATATATTTTATAATTTGTGAGTTTTGAGGTTTATATATTTACGAACGGGTCGTTCTTAAAAAGATTCCTGAATTTGCATATGAAACATTTGACGCACTAAAAGTTAGAGGAACAATATGACGCATGAAGCGTTCCATAAAGCAGATAATATTGAACAGGAAGTATGACTCTTACGACGAGTGTGACAAACAAAAAATCTCAAAGCTCAAAGTAATGTAGTCGATGTTTAAAATTGAAAAATTCACCTCCGCTAGGTGGAAAGCCAGAAGGAGGAGGTTTTGGTGTTGATTGCTGTTGCTGCTGTTGTTGCGATAATGTAGGCGGACCAGCGTTAAAATCACCCTGACTCGGTGGATGATTAGCTCCTGTTGGATATAAATATTGACTCGTACGTGAATTATGATGCTGCGGTTGTTGCTGTAGTGGTTGAAGTCTTGAATCTTCACTGGTGATCGTAGACAATGAGAGGTTTGGCAATGAAGAAAGTATCGACGAAAAGTAACCTTGCTTTTGAGGTTCTTGTTGTTGATGTGGTTGCTGTTGAGGCGGTGAAGGATCTTGTAAAACTGGTGTTGGTGGTTTTGGCGGCCCTTGGCTAATAAAATTATCGAGCTCGACAGGTGGATCAAGTTCTGAAACAATTTAATATGATTAGGTTAAAAAATACATTAATTACATACGTTTATTGATATAAATATAAATAGTAATAATAATAATAATAATAATAATAATAATAATAATAATAAAGAAAATTCGAAATAATTAAAATGCGAAACCGCGAAGGTCTTATGTTCTTATTATTATATAAATATTATTATTGTCATTGTTAATTCTAAAACTATGGTCACAATAAACGCTGCAGAAGTACATTAAGTATCTATATGTATTAATAGCACTTCCGTATAGTCACGAAAAGCATGCAATCAACCTTCCCATCACCTTTTTACAAATAACATTTTTTCGGCTTATTACGCAAAAGGAAATCATGCTCCACTTTCGTTTTCCAATGAGGTTCAATACACCAGTTCCTTGACTTTATGTCTGGTGTTTCCAACTTGCGCGCATGGATGACGAGTTTTCCGCAGAAATGTAATAACTTATTGGTAATTCCTCGCAAGACTAATATTTGACAGGATATACCGTGTAATCATCCACAAGATAATTTTACCCTGATAAAAGCTTCTTAAGGTGTGGATTCTTCTACAACCTTATTGATGCCTATTAACAAGTATTTCAAGAAAAATTGCTATCTTGACAATGAAAATTGCTTACACGGCTATTTTTCAATAGCTTTCCAAATATTTTTTAACCGTCATCAATTTTCTTTCATAGTAATTTTATTCCGTTCAACAATATCATTCAACTCTAAATGTATTGTAAATATTTGATTAATAAAACTATTATAGTTTTTATATATAAAAACTTGCTTTGCAAATATGAATATCAGAAATGAATTCCACATGAATTCTTAATCTTTCAAGTAAAATTCTTGTTACAAATTTTAATTTAACTGAAGAAAATTAATTTTGTAAATACTAATATAATATTAAAAGTTTTTGTAAATGAAAGTATACCTTTAAAATATGGATATCAAATAATAAATTTTAATATGAGCTTTTACATCTTCTATTTTTCAAAACTGTAAATGTTTGATTATAGATATAATAGAACAATAGCCAGAATATCTTATAAAAAAATATACATCCGAAAGAAAGCAAGTGTACAATCATAACAAGACACAATCATATCGATGTTAGCCCACAAAGTACGTGCTTTTAAATGGGACCTCGAGAGTCAAAAAAAAATCCTTCATTGTGCAATGTGGCACCTGCCTTAGAGCGTCTCTGCGCCCAAGTTTACTCTTACGCGGCTCGCAGTGTAAATGACGTCTCTTCCTTTTTTTTGTTGGAGGCTCGCGACAAGCTTATAAGTAAACGACTTGAGTGGTGATTGCCGACAGTCGAGATTTTTTTTTGAGCCGAGGATAAGAGCACTATTATCACGATGGCGACAATGAGGTTTTTTCCTATGGTTTTCGGAATTGTTATTTTATTTGTGAATGCCAATTGTGTTAAAAGCTTGAGTGATGATGTTATAGTCGAGCCCACAAAACTGTGGAGATTTTTAGGGAATAATGAGGAAGCTGTGCAACAAAGGTTTCGCGAGAATATTGAAGAGTTTAGTGTTGGAGATATTGAGTGCCTGAGGTGGGTTTTAATTATCCGGGTTTGTCGTGTTTTATCATGAAAAATGAAAAATGTGAAAAATGCAATTTTTATGTGCAGATATTGCATTGAGAGTAAAACGTCCGACGATGCTTCGCATATTTTACACTTGACTTGGAAATTAAGAAGCAAACAGGAAGCAGGTAATTTCTATTATTAATTTTTATACTCCTGATGATTGATTTCACATTGAGGAATGAACTAATTTCAATTGATATGTATCGTTTAACAACAATAAACAAATTCGTACTCTTGTGGTTTGGAACAGTTTTAGTTTTCGCGATATTTATCATTTCCAGTTCAGCAAAATATATGCTAAAAGTAAATATTGACTTTTGCTTTTTCGGGGATTCATTAACATTTATAAGTATTTCTAAAAGAGGAAGTTAAATGATTAGTCATACGCAAATTCGCGAAATGACTGAGGGCAAGCGGAAAATTGTGCACGGTTTTATTATACACACAAGCTATTGTGCACAGTAACATAGCTAATAATTGATTCACAGCATATTACTGGGCATAATAAAACCATGTACGATTGTCCGCGTGCTTGATTAAGGACGCGCAAAGTCTGGCATAGTGCAAATACGTAAATAAAATGACATTTCGATTTCGAATTGTAGCAAGGTTAGATTCATGCAGATATCGATTTTACAACAATTCGATTAGACGCGAATTTTTTAGTGCCTTTTACTTTATGTAATAATATTTTTCTTTTAATTAAACAAAAAATAAAATATTGTTAAGCACGACTTCCTGCAGAAGAAACAACTGAAAATTTATTTTAATACTAGAAAGAATTATATGTTTAAGGCTCTTAAAAACTAATTAAATTAATAATATTCAGAGTTTGTTGACCAGAAATCAACTTTGAGAAAGTCCAAGATAAAAAAAAAATGTATTACTGAGTTAGTTATTGCTAAACGCGAGCAAACAAATTATATCATTGTATCTACGATAGAATTAAAAAGAATTTATTGAGCGATGTAAAACATCGAACGCGCGCGCCAATCGAATATTTATTATTTATAGAGATGGGGTCAACAGCAATTGTAGATAAAGACATCACGTCTCAAATAATGCACGAAAAGTCAATGATGCCGAGCCATTCTCGGAATCAATGCACGGTAATTAATGCGATAATGATAAATGCTGATCGTAACATAATTCTATGAATTCTGGTAATAGCAATCGAATTTCAAAATATTTCAGTTTTCCATCGTCATCGCATGTGAGATTCCGCAAAAAATCGGAGACAATTTCACTTACATAGAAAAGAAATTCATAAAAAGTTTAAAGCCTAATCTCGAGGTTCTCGAATACTCCATTGATAATACTTCTCCAACGCTAAACTTTGTTAACGTAAGTGCTGGCTTTTTGTATGCTCGAGTGATAAGAGTGAAGATCAAACACTTGTAAGATATTTGAAAGAGAAAAAAGTGTAACTTTTATGCCACAGGAAAGGATCGTTGATAAAAGCAATCTCATGAACAAAACTGAAGTGGACTTTTATGTAGAACCTAACCAGGCGGAAGTGAGCGCTATTGTTTTGGGAAACATCTCACAAATAGATCTAAAAATACCGATTCGTAAGTTCAAACTTAAAATTTCAAACTATTACTTTAATTTTGATTTGTACAAATTATTCGTTTATTGGCATTCGTTTATTGGAGAAATCCGAAAACGAAAATTTTCTGACAGCAAAACGAAGGCTACCACCATGACACAGAGTTTATCTATATAATAATGCAAAGCTCGATTATTTGACGTTTCACAGTATATAGTTATCGACCTGCACTTGTAATCCGGTGTCAATAAGACACACGTTTAAACGCAATATTAGGCTATTTAGTCCACTGTTACTTATAACATTTGCACCTTACTAAATGATTTTGAAAATAATTATCTGTTAAAAGGTTTCACATAGCCTAATATAATATTTTAGCGAGCTATTTAAAATGACAACGTAATTAGTTAAAGCGGGATTGTTCCAAAAATCAAAGTTGCATTCGGTGTTACAACTCATAAATTCATACGAAAGCTTTTAATAAGTACACCCTGTATGTATATATGAAGGATGCTACACCACGTGGACATGACGTCACTCCAAGAACGTTTTATTCCTAGGTTATTAAATAATTCACTTTACTTTTGAGAATTGCTAGGTGGCAAAGTAAATTTTATGAATTAGAAGAAAAACAATTAGCTGAGCGATATTATTTTATTAGGTGAAATGAAATATTACAATTAACTGTAGCTTAAAAACAACTTGACAATTGATGTATTGATTTTTATCCCCAATCGCAAAATAAAGAAAAATAAAAAAAAACATTGAGTACGGTATTAGAAAAAAATGAAAAAGTATGCTGAGTCGCGCAAGCGTCTGACTAGACAAGTTTGTTCGATGAGAATAGTTTAATGCCTTTGTTCGTATAAATAAAAACGTCAAGGACATTTGAAAATATCGTGGTAAACATCGGGGAAGTTTATTCGATGACATTCGCTGGTTTCTATATATGCAAATTCAATCGAATATATCTTTACTGACAATGATGTATTCAAATAAATTATACTTTAAAGAATTAATCTTTATAATTGAACAAATATCACTTGGCGAGAAGCAAATCCCCGTACTGTTGCATTAGCGCACAAAGTGGTATAATAAAGTCGTTGAACGTGAAAAGTCGCTCGATCTGTGAATAAAGGCTGTACGTATGAATCTTACCAAAATTAAAAATTTGTAAATTTTGCAAGACGGACCACCAGTCGGCGTCAGCACGACGGAAAAGTCAGCAGTAGCAGCACCACGACTGACAGTTGCATTGTCACGCATGCGCGACAATAGGACGGCGCTTAGATTGAACGTTCTCAACCCTCCGCCAGGTGGCTGGAGAATCGGACTCGAAGGGATGGATATGAAACGCTTTGTTGTGACGTCGTCCGTTATACCAGAATTCACTAGTAGCGAGGTTAAATATTTGAATGTTTTGCCGGCAAACGGTGAGTAAAAAATAAAATAATGACGAAAATTTAAAGAAACGAGCAGTTTCATTGGAAATAAATAAAGGAAAAGACTAAATACAGCCGGATGAAAATACATTTTGCAAAATAGATCAGAGTCGGTCGAAGCTATACAGCGCATTGAAATAGTTATAAAGACGAATATAGACAGGCATCGCTTACTGTCGATAGTCAATACATTTGGAAATTATGAAACTTGAAATGAGCATAATTCCCCAGAACAAGTATCGATAAGAGTGAATGTTTGCAATGTTAAGTAAAGCTCGAATTAAATAAAAGAAATAAATAAAGAATGAAGAGTATTATAGTCACAATAAAATGTTGTGCAGTACAGGATTTATCAAGCACGTGCTTATCTGTATGTAGGCACTCACTCAAACGAAATGCTTGCTACTTGAACTATTAAACCGTGCCTCACAAAGAGCGAGCAGCGACTGCCATGTATCCAAAGACTGAGTGGCTCTGGCCTGCGTCCAGAGAGCGCGAGTTGTGCAAGCGTTTTGCCCTTTAACCGAGCTTCTGAGTTTTTAGCGCACTGTCTAGTGACGTTAACGCCAACGCGCATTCGAAAATAATTTTTGCCGATTGATGATAAGCACTGTTTTCTTGGTGCAATTCTTTGATCGAATAAAGAACTGATGACTTCATAGAGAAGCACGTATCTGATGGAGTGCCTATATTTTTTCTTTGATAAGCAAAACTCATACATTTTCGGCTGTTTAGACGTTGACTCATATCATATTTATTGTGACATTGTTTTTTACAATTTTGTTTTTTGTGATAATCATTACGTGCGCGTGTGCGTGCGAGTGCAGCGAAAGCTTCCGATTAATTTTTATCGTCTATCAACAGGTGGTCAATTATCTGCTTTGGAGCATGACGATTCACAGGTGATATATTAAATTGAAATTGAAAACTTTCACTGTGTAACTAAATGTTTTCCAAAACCTTGATTTTCTCGAATAAGTTTTGGGACATTTCATCAAGAATACAACGCGGTTAAAGTAGTTTTTTTACTCTCACGTTGCTAGTTTCTAAATTAACCAAATTTTTAGCTGTCCAAGAAAATTGGAATATCTTCACGCCAGATTCAGGTTGAGGATAAATTAGAAGAAAGGAGCGCGCGATCGACTCGAGCCGATGACATTTCAGCCAGAATGATTTATAATCAAATGCCGGAAAATCAAGTAAATAGTCTGTATAATTTTCGAATTTGAGAACAATAAAAATTTGATTGTCAAAATACTTAGGAACGTCAACGTCCATTCAGATTCCCTAAAAACGACATGAGTGTATTAGATCCAAGAAACATAAGCATACGATTAAACACAGATCAAATAGAAGATCGAATGATCGATCGTGAAGCAATCGAATTAGACGATTTCACCAGATACCTAAACGACGAGTTACCTATAAAAAAATATCTGATTGTCGAACTAAGTCCATCAACGAGTCTTATAGCCAATCCAAATACGATTCATCGTGTTACCTTCGACATCACCAACAACCACGTAATAACCCTGCCACATTACATCGAAGCACGAAGTACTACTTTTAGGATACTTGGAATCCGACCAGTTTTTGGCTTGTAAGTGTATATATGTATAATGTCTGAAAGCGCTTGTTCTCAAAATAGTAAAAGAAAAATTTTAACAGTGTTGAGATAGCGCCGGGACAAACAGTTACAGTTGCAGTAGATGTTCAAATGCCACCGGTAATTAGTGCTCCGATCGTCGATACCATCACCCTGAGAGTTCAGGGTACCGAAAGTGTGGAAAAAACTGCTAATATCTACGTCAGAGCACTTGGTAGTAGGGTTAGTATACAAAATACATCGATAGATAAAAGTAATCTTGTGATTTTATTTTTGCAAGCGAATTTTCTAATAAAAATCGCTTCGGTGATGTAATGATATTTTTTTTGCTCTCAGGTTTACGATGACGCCAGGCCGGACATTTATTTCTATTTCAATAACAATTGTGCCGGAAGAACTAGCGCAGACAAGTGTTTGAAGAGCTATTGGAGTGTCGATATTACAGTTCAAGATTCAGGTTCAGGTAATGTAACTTTATTAATTTTTAGATGGCGCACCAGTTTACACCAAATACATATGAGAATAAATATTATTTGAATGGCATTAGATAATTGAGTACATTCGCTACAGATTTGGCGGTTGTATTATATAATATTTTAAATAAATAATTGTTTACAATTTTGGACTAATCGTTCAAAAGTTATAAAATTCTAATTTGTTTGAAAGCTGTGCGATTGTTTTCTCTTATTGTGGAGACAATTGTCTTCAAAATAAACATCTGATTTTGAAAGTCTGTGTCGACCTATTCAATGTTGGTTTATTCACAGTTTAACTTTTCATGTGATAGATAAAATGTTAGAACACTAAAATTAAAATATTAAAAAAACAAACAATCTATATAAGAAAAAGTCATAGTGTCCAAGTATAAATCAGCTAATATATACTCAGAGCTTTAGTACAAACAGATGGTAAAGTATAATATTTATCAATTTGAAAAATTTTCAGGTTTAAAAAGTGTAGCATCAACTCCAAAAGGCATTTACTCGCGTTCTCAGTATATCAGCGGTACAACTAGTCCCGTTTACTTGTATTATTCGAGTAATTGCTGTAATCGCGTTCTCGTCGTAACTGCTACAGATGTCTCTGGAAATGTTTATTCAAAGCGCATCGACGTTGGAGGTAATAACTAAAATATTTTCAACAATTTTCCTTTTACCCACTTCTACCAGAAATCAACATTTTTATTCACTGTTTAGTATGGTATAATCTCATGGAGGGTGAAGTAGCTGCAATAGTCATAGGCACGTTGTTTATTATACTTTTGATTACTCTAATTGTCTTATCCATTTTATATTGTGTAAATCAAAGAAAAAGCCACAATTTGCCATATTCTCAACGTTACGGTTCAAGATCAGCACCCTCTCGGACAGAATGAAAGATTAATTTGACATTCTCATGACCAAACCATCTAAATATAAAGTGTTCATTATCAAAAATATCTATTAGTTATAGATTATGGTAAGCTATTGGATAAATAAAATGTACAATTACTATTTTATTTTACTTATTAAGTATATTATATCAAATATTTTTCAATAAATATTTTAATATTTAACCTTGATAAGTCATAATTGACTATTTGACATATCATACTTTCAAAATTTTATCTCTGATATTAATTGTAAATTCATTTATTGCTCACTAGTGAATTTCTCAGTGTTCTAAATTTAAAACAGTTTAATTTTTGTAGATATTATGGTATAATTATTGAAAATCTTGCATAATTTACTAGGCAATATGCTCATCAGCAACTTTATAATAAATATGTTCGAATTACAACACTCTCATAGCAATTAGCAAGTATTTACCGATTCTAGGGGAATCATTTCTAAAAAGAAAAAAAAATTGATCTCAAGAAATGTCATCTTCCATCAAGAATTTTCATCTTTTATAAATCGCAATGACATTCATTCCCGATGAAATGAAAAAAGAACGAAAAAAATATCTTACAATAAGTGTGGCAGACGATGATTGGCAAGGCGACGGAAAAAAAATGTAATAAAAAAAGGCGCGAGCAATCATTATGCCAAGTGTCAAAATTGCTTACCATCCACGTCCACGTAAACAAAACACACACTTACACATTCACTCCATATTTTTCGAGGTTATACAACAGAGCATGTGACCTAAATTCAAAAACCTTGTTCCATATTAAACTCTACCTGGAATCAAAAAAGTATTTACCCTTCCGAAGTATAGCTGGACTAGCAGGTGTGACCGGCATAGGAATAATTCCTGGGAAAGGAAAGTCAGTGGTAGCCGCGGCCGAAAGCAACGGATTCGTCAACTTCACCTGCCTTGGTTTCGGCGGCGCTGGGATACCACTACTCGAAGAAGGCGTTTGTTGCTGCATTGTTATATGCTTTAATGCTTGTTGTTTATTCTATGCAATGCTCTTGTGGTTCATCACTCGCGTTTCGACAAATATAAAAATGACAACGATCTCCACGTAAGCACGTGTGGACAGCTGCAACGGCATGAACGGATGATGAACAGCAATACTTCTAAAGAGTGGCGACGAATGCTACTGATTATGAAATATCATGTATGTGGTCAACTTTCGGTTATGACGTATCAAGACTGTCATCATTTAGACAAGTCAACGCGATTCATTTTAATTAATTTTGCAACACGGCTCTTTTTAATATGTTTTGAGGTAAAGTGAGAAATATATAATGATACTTCTCACTCACTCTTGACTGTTTATTTTGCACGGTGCAAAAATCATTGGAACTATTGATTTGAGATGAAACAATGAAATGAAAATAGACAATCTTAGTTTTAATATTAGAAAGTTACATTTTAATATTAAAATTCTGCTGCAATAATAATAAATTTGCTAGAAATTAAGATTGTTTATTTTACTGTAACATTTTATTGAAATTAAAAATAAAAATAACAATAATTTTATCAGGATGAAGTACCGCAACATATTTATTCTGAGATTTTTAAAGTTTAATTTCGGTTTTAAATAAATAATTCTCCTTGAGAGACATTACTTTCTTTATTCCTTTAATTCTTAACCAATTAATGGTAACACTAGAAATTATTTAATATGTATTTTTAAATACAGAACAGGACATTTTTAGGCATATTATACACCTTCTTATTAAGTCTGTTCACTTGGCTTTGCCTTGAGCAGCCACAGCTTCCATTGCTGCCTTTACAGTTGCTTCGTCTCCAAGAAATTTCATGGAAACTACTGGTTTAAAATTTTCATCCAATTCATAGACAAATGGAATACCAGTGGGTAGGTTGAGCCCCATGATTTGATCATTGCTCATATCTTTAAAAAAATATGTAGATAAAGATTTAGATTTCATGATTGAACTTCTGCCCATAAGTCATGAATACTTACTGTCTAAGTGCTTGACAATTCCTCTCAAGCTGTTTCCATGTGCAGCAATGATAATTTTTTTTCCCTCTTTCAATTGTGGAATAATAGTCCCATTCCAGTATGGCAGAGTCCTCTCAATGGTAAGTTTCAGAGACTCAAATTTAGGGAACTCCTCAGGTTTAGGCTCATTAGCATACCTTGGATCTTTGACAATAGCATTATAATACTTGTGATCAGGTTCCATTGGTGGTGGTGGAGTATCAAAGGATCGTCTCCAGATCTGTACTTGTTCCTCTCCATACTTCTGAGCAGTTTCAGTCTTATTCATTCCAGTCAAACCACCATAGTGACGTTCATTTAATCGCCAAGTTTTGTGAATTGGGATATTTTCTTGTCCAATTTCTTTCAAAATTGTTTGAAGAGTATTCTGAGCTCGAGTTAACATAGAAGTGTGAGCGACATCGAATGTATAGCCAGCATCTTTCAATGCTTTGCCAGCTGCAAGAGCTTCAGCTTTGCCTGTGAAATAAAAAAAATTATCAATTAAATTCCTCTTTACTCTAAAAAACCATTAAGTTTTGCCTTGCAGTTTTTACACAATTACAAACAGAAATATACTTTTGAATAGATTCCATAAAAGTCATAAGACTGTTTTACAGTAAGTTAAATATACAGGGCCAAGTACAGTATACTCATTAGAAAAACAAATACAATTATCTGACGAACTTACACGGTTTTTCCATATTTTATAAATAACTCTAAATTAACAAAGTAACCATTACTCTAAGCAATAAAAATATATGTCAACGATTAGAAATCGAAGTTATCAACAATGTCAAGTCTCCAGATACAAAAAATGTGACCTTTTGCCCTTGACAGTGACGAAGAAAATGTTCGGAAAATTGTTAATCACCTTTTTCAGCCAAACCAGCATCGTACCATCCACAAAACAGATTCAAAGCATTCCATTCGCTCTCGCCGTGGCGAACCATCACAATCTTGTACTTGGACATGTTTTTTTTGCTTTTCGGTTAATTGTAACGTTACAGATACAGTCAGTCAGACCTCACCAGCGGTTGTGTAAAATTGTACTAGAAAATTGCCTCAGTCGACAGTTACCCTCGCGCCGCCGCAAAGCCGCGCGCAAGACATCTGTTAGTTCTGTTACCCTAAATACAGACAAGATGTCGCACATGTAGTATTTGAAGAGAGTCTAGGAAAAGTGCAGACAAACGCATCTCTCACGCTGATTGGTCGAGCCAGTTTCAGAACAATATGACGTCCATTCCCATGTATAAGTTTATAACTATATTGTGGATCGGCGTTCGCCGTAGACCATGTAGACCCTCTGTAATTTGAAAGTGGTTTGCGCATGCACTAATATATATAGTATAATGAACATAGGAACCTACCTTACCATCTGACAAATCAAAGGCAAAACGAAAACATTTGTATATATATCATATATATTGTCCTGGCTTATAGTTATAACAGAATAATAACAGAACATTTTTGTACATAAGGACGAGTCGAATTACTCCTTGTGTGATCTATACTCTTGAATTTATACTGTATAAAATAAAATAAAAACAAGTTTGTAAGTAGAACTACTTATATCAGTAGGTTTATCAGAAAAGGTTACAGAGACGTAGACGAAAATGGGTGATACAGAGCAAGACAATTTAGAGCGCGGTGACGGTGATAATAATAAGAATGATAAAATGTTTACATTGAAAAAGTGGAATGCCGTAGCCATGTGGAGCTGGGACGTCGAATGTGACACTTGTGCGATTTGCCGTGTTCAAGTTATGGGTAAGCCGCTTATTCATAACCTCCAATTCAATTCTTGTATGTTTACGTTGATCCACAGATCACGTTATCCGTTTTTACGTAATTTTATTTGATAAATTATTTTAGTTCTATTGCAATGTCAAGGACGACAATTTCACATTATCTATTTATTTTTTTCTTGCTTGCACTGATTTGCTAACACAGCTGTTTACATCACACTTTGTTGTATAAGAATTTTTTATTTGCTTTATCCTTCTTGAATCGAATTGTTCAAATTACTATAGTTTACCTTAAATTTTTAGTCGAATAATATTGACAGATATATTTTTTTTACTTTGAATTTCGACTTGTAATGAAAGTCATTCTAATAATCTTAACAATGAGTCTGATGTTTTGAGTTGAAGTAATATTAGTTTTAGATAATAAATCAATTGCTAATGAAGTATGTAAATAAGAAACATTGGTTAGGAGAGTGATATTTCAAGCTTGTTCATTTACTCTCTTCCTATGAGTGGTTTGGTCATTAAACAGCTGTATAACTAGATGATTTATTTGACTAAAATGTTTGTAAATTTATTAATTATTCAGAATTGAGAAAACAAAGCAATCGTAAAAGATAAAATATGATTAGAGAGAATTTGTTATCTCAACAATGTAGAATTTTATATTGACAATAATTTGATATTTATTTTTTAAAATTTGTGTATGATGAAAAAATGGGTATGATGGTAAAATGGGTTGTGTGGAAGCAATTGAATCGATAACAAATATTATGGAAAAGTTTGTTTTTTACTCATTGTAGTTTTTAACAAGTACATATCTCGAGGTGTACTTAGAAAAATCAATAAAATGTTCTAAGCTCTAGATTCTTTCTTCAATATATAATTATTATATAATAATAGCTATTTGAAACTGCACTTCAACATTGCATCAATGCTCGTTCGCTTAGATCTTTAACAATGATTTTGGGACAGGTACATTCTTGACAAGTATCATAACAATAAATATAGATTAGATATGATTGTCTTTGCTAGAAAAATAGTCATTGCTTCTGGCATACGTTTTAAAAAAAACATCACTATCTATATTACCATAGCGGTATGCATAATTGGAATCATTGGATATCACGTTTTGAGAAGAATTCGAGCTGCTGCTCGAACGCGAATAAAGGAACGTCATTTCAGATCCATCTGACACGTTTACAACGGCTGTCTCGCGGCTTAAAATTAAGTACGCTCTTGATTTGGTACTTGATTACACTCGGAGAAAGCCAGTGACCGGCGTGCTGTCCTTTCGCGCGGATATAGTCGTACGCTACTCGACTCGGCTCTCCGTTGGCGCTCCGATAAACTTACAAAACGTAAAAATGTATCATTCAGAAGTAGTCACACGCAACCCTCTCACGCTATTTACACGCAAATACACGGCTAAGAAAAGTACACTAAAAAGAAATGGTTCTACACAAGCCTTTGACTATAGGTATAGGCGACTTTGTCGCGTCGGCGACTGATCAGTGGCGCTGGACTCGAAAAGTACGCTAGAAGGAAAATATGAATAGCAGTCGCGGCGGCGGCGGCGGCAAGCTAGTGTCGCACCGCGCTTCTGCCAACCAATTGAAGCATTCGTCGCAAAGGTCATGATCAATCGGCGATCGTCGTGCAAAACAACGAAACGAAGATTTGTGCCGTCGGCAGGAGGAGGCCGCGCGGAGGCACTTATTGCTCTGCGTTGGCGCAGGTCCCGGCCGAGCTCGCAGCGGCTCTGCGCGCAGAGGGGCCGCCAAGGCGTGGCCCCGGCCGGCTAGCAGGCCATGGGCGTGGGCTTGATGTTGGCCACGGCGCTCATCCTGCGCAGCGCGGCGCCGGTCAGGCCGCGCTCGATCTCCTCGAGCGAGCGGCCACTGGTCTCGGGCACGAACAGCCGCACGAAGACGAAGCCCGCCAGGCAGATGGCGCCGAACAGCCAGAAGGTGCCGCTCCAGCCGATCAGGGTGGTCAGCGTGGTGAACATCTTGGTCACGACGAAGGTGCAGGACCAGTTGAAGCCGGTGACTATGCTGGCGGCGCTGCCGCGGATCTTGGCCGGCAGGATTTCGCCCATCATGAGCCAGGGCACGGGCCCGAAGCCCAGCGAGAAGCCCAGCACGTAGATGACGAAGGAGGCGAGCGGCAGCCAGCCCAGCTGGCCGGCGATGTCGAAGTGGTTGTCCTTGAGGTAGAAGTAGGTGCCGAGCACGCCCAGCGAGGCGATCATGCTCAGGCTGCTCATGTAGAGCAGCACCTTGCGGCCCAGGTGGTCGATCACCGCCGTCGCCAGGAAGGTCGAGCCGAAGTTGACCACGCCCACGATCACCGTGCTGAGGTTGCCGTCGATCTCGCTGCCGGACTCCTGCGATCGCACCAGAGCCCGTTAGAGCGGCACGGCGGCCTGGCGGCCTGGCGGCCCGGGCGGCTCGCCCCGGCCCACTTACCAGGAAGATGTGCACCGTGTAGAAGATGACGGCGTTGATGCCCGACATCTGCTGGAAGAACATGAGGCCCAGCGAGATGGCCAGCGGCTTGAGGTTGCGCCGCTTGAGCAGCTCGCTGCGGCCCGACTGGTTGGCCTCGCGCTCGCTCTCCACGTGCATCTTCTCCACGTTGGACAGCTCCTCGCTGACGTCGGCGCCGGGTCCGCGCAGCCACTGCAGCGACTTGCGCGCGCGCTTCGCCTGGCCGCGGGCGATGTACCAGCGCGGCGTCTCGGGAATGATCAGCATGAGCGCGGCGAAGGGCACGGGGACGAGCGCCGCGGCCAGCGCCAGCTGCCACCAGTTCAGGAACATGCCCACGGTGAAGCACAGCAGGATGCCTGCGGAGCGGACGGGTGCGTCAGCGTCGTTCGGTCAGTCGCGGCGGGGCCGCGTCGCCCAACTCACCGATGTTGCCGAAGGCCGTGGGCAGCAGGCCCAGGGTGCCGCGTACCTCGGGCTGGATGGTCTCGCCGAGGTAGACGGGCATCGCCAGCGTGATGACGCCCACGCAGAAGCCACCTAGCGAGCGGCCCGCCAGCACCATGCCTACGTTGCGGGCAAAGCCGATCAGCAGCCAGGCTGCAAGCAGACGCGTCGGTCAGCGGGGCCCGCGGGGTGTGCTCGCGCGCACTCTCTCGCGCGATACTCACACAAGAAGAACGGCGCTGACAGCGACAGGATGGTGTTCCGCCTGCCGACGTTCTCGATGAGGGGCCCACCCACGATGCCGCCGACCAGCGCGCTCAGCGGCATGATCGAACCGATCCACGAGCTCTGCAAGCAAGCGGCCAGGCCGTCGTCAGGTGCACTGCGCTCCGAGCGCCTTCCGGCGAGGACCTTCGCGCGACCTCCGCCTCGCGGCCGTCGCCCGAGCCGAGCCGCGCACTTGCCATTAGCGTTCGCGCACGGCGTCCACTACGCTTGATTGCTCCTCGCGTTTAGCGCGCCCGCAGTCAATCAGTCGCCCGAGCTCTAATCGATGATCGCTATTTTCGAATGCGCGTCCGTGCGCGAGGCGTGAGCCGAGAGCCGAGCGAGCGTGGAAAAATTCTCGTGCGCACACGGAGTGCGGGGCGCGCGAGCCGTCGCCAAACGACGCCAAACGCAAACGTACTAGCCGTACGATCGTTTAACGATCGCGCATCCGCGCTCAATTGAGGCAATGATGCTGCCTGCATCGGCTGCCTGCGGCTACTTTGGGCTCGCGCATCGAATGAAAAGGAATAATACGATTGTAAAATTGCGCTCGCGACGAGTTGCGCAACGCGCCAATTCGAGCCGTCCGTGCCGCCTCGCGATCGAACCTTTGGATTTTCGACTGTCGGGTGTCGCGATGAAAACCGTCCCGAGTCCGTTGGCAAGGCGCGGCCGACAACTTGGCCGATGATTCGGCCAGCCGTCGGCGACTGTCGGTACTTACCGTCGTCTCGTCGACTAGGAAGGACGTCGTGGTGTTGTCCTTCATGGTGACGAGGGCGGGCGAGGTGTAGGACGAGGCGAAGCCCACGACCATCGAACCGATCGACACCGAGAAGGCGGCCAGCACCTGCAACGATCCATCGCGACGATTAGGCCAGAGCACGAAAGACCGTGGCAGGCCTCGCAGCCGACGGCTCGGCCGGGCGCTACCTGGCTGAAGGTGCACTTGGCGACCGGCGCGTTGCCCGGAACCTCGATGTTCACGTGGGTGTCGGCTCGCATGAGGATCTTCATGTTGCCGAGTGTAGCGCTGCTGCTGTTGCTGCTGGCGAACGGACGAACGGACGAACGGACAAACGGACAAACGGACGAGCGGAACTGCCTATACGCGCGTGTTTACCGCGCAGGACTCGCGCTCTTCTGTTGTGGAGCCCTCGACGTCGCGGCCTCTCTTATACGCACGGACCCCCTCCTCTCTCGCGCTCTCTGCCTCCAAGTACTCGCGCATATCGTAGCCCCCCACGGCCGGCAGTCGTCGGATGTGCGCTATCTTGGCGCGATCACTGTCTCTGCTGCTCCGCGCGCTACGCCTTTCCGCATTGGCGGAGCTACCGTCTGGCCGGCACGTCTGCGCGCTACTGCCAGGCCGAGTCGGGCCTCGAGTCGCGAGGGCAGGCCCTCGAAGCTCGCGCCGGGCGTCGATCTGCCGGCCAGTCCCGGGTCATTCGCGCCGACCCCTCTCGTCTCTCACGGCCAAGCTCCGCCGAAGTAATCGAGCGGAAGCAAGCGAATTGCTGAATTGCTGCTTTCCGCGAACGAATCGAGGGTCAATGCCGATCATGGGCCGTTGGCAAGCAGAAAACGCGCAATCTCAAGTTCGCCTTGCGTCAAACGTCGTAGAGTATTCTTGGCGCGTCGCTGCGAGCAGCCTGCAATGTCGAATGCTCGCGCCGTCTCAACGTCCATTCGAATCCGGTTTTCGCTCGTACCCCTGAGCTCCAGTTGTCGGCGCTCTTCCGGCCAGCGCGACGCTCTACGCGAGTCGCCAAGTGCAGCCGTTCAAATTGGAAAGCTCCGCTCGCGCGCGCCGAGCTTGCGACGGTAATTTTCGCGCCAACTAGGCCGACACCCACGCAGCTCGCGGGGGCGGACCAGAGCACGATTTTTACGCTTTACACGCGCGCGGCAACGAGGCGCTCAAGGTCCGCGCGTTCTCCTCCAGTCCGCCTCGGCAAGCTTCCGGCAGTTGCGCCTTCGCCTTCGTTTTGTGATCGCCAGCTGCGCAGCTGCGCGGCCCGCCGCTTTTATCCCGTCGGCGAAACAACAAGCGCCGCCGTAGCACGGGCCCAGTGCACCGCTACAATGCCCAAGTTCGTCTGATCTGCCAGTACTTTTCCGTTCGCCGATCATTACGCGCGAGAGAGCGAAGTTACGCTCCGAAGATCCTTGCACTCGGCGCTCGCACGCGCGCATTCGCGTACTTGGTCAAATCGCTCTTTCGCTTTTTTCTTTTATGAGCATTGTCATAAACCATCGCATACTTTCGTACGAGCAGGAAAAGTCAACGCATAACTTAAATGTATTGCTTTGCGCGCTCGCAAGCTCGAGTAAACAAACGCGCTCGGCTAATTGTAAAAGCAAAGGCGTAAGTTTTTCTTTGGGCTTCCGAGGCGCTGGTTGCGCAAGGCGTTGTTTGCCCGGCGCTGGTTGCTCCGTAAAATTCGATCTCGATGCGACTCGCGCGAGCGAAGATGAAAAGTTTTCGCGGTCGCCTCCAGCGCTGCGTGATCCGTTTACATAATTGTCGAGCATTCCGCGAGCGTCTTCCGGCGCGGCGGCGCTTCTCGAGTGACTCTCAATCGCGCGCGCGTGATTGATTGCCGCAACGCTTCTCCCGCCGTGCCGGCACGATCCCGAGTGCTCGATCGCCTCGAAACCCACCGAAAGTTTTTCGAGACGGCCGCATGCGCGTTCGCGCGCGCGGCGACTCGTCGGGAGCGGTGATTGGCGAGCCCTCGTCCATCTCGATCCGGAGGCCTCGGCGCTGCCCGCCAGAGCAGGCCTCGGGTTGAAGGACCAGAGAGGCGGCGCGTGCGGCAGCCAAACACCGTCGAACGCCGTCGAACGCCGTCAAACGCCGAGACGCTCGCGCAGCGATAAGAGCGCCGTGGGCGACGTCGCTCGTCGGTGCCCGGCCTGCGCGGTCGGCGAGCTAGCGGGCACGCGCAACTCACCTGGGTGAGGTAGTAGGGCCTGTTGCGGCGCCGCTGGGCCTTCTGGAACTGGGGCACGCCGGGCGGCACGGCCTGGCCCGTAGGCTTCTCGAGGTCCTGCGACTCCATGAGGGTCTTGGTGTCGGAGGCCGGCTCGTCTTTGCTGAGCAGCGGTTCCAGCTGCCTGTATTCGTGGTAGATCCGCGAGCCGTTCAGGGTCTTGTGCTGGTTGTTGCGCAGGTTGTCCGCATAGTAGTGTTGCTGTTGCTGCTCGGGCTCGGATCGACAGGCCTGAGGCTGGTCGGCGAGCGCCTCGAAGCCCAGCTGGCTGGCGAACGGGCTGACCTGGCTCAGCAGGGTCGAGTTGGACGAGCAGTCCTGCACCAGCTGGCTCGAGCTGCTCCGGGCGATCGACGGCACCCTTGAGTACTGCTTCGGCAGGATCGCCCGCTCCTGTAACAGCGTGCCCTCGGGTCAGACGTTAAACCAGCTTCGTTCGCTGCTCGTTGTCGTTTGCTCGTCCATTCGCGCGTTCGTCCGCGGCGACGCGCCTCTGGCGTGCTAACGAGCTGCCCCCCGGCTCGGTCTCGCTCGCGGCTCATCCGATATCGAAAGTTTTCCGACGCCTAATCAATGAATCTCCGCATTCACGGCTTCTGCCGCACGATAACGAGGGTCGAGCTGCTGCCCAAAATCGCTCTCTTCGCACGTAGGCGCGCTCCTTTCCTTTCTAGGGTCACGTCATTTTTCTGCTTTTCCGCTCCACTCCGTCCTTTTTCGCGCCTTTTCGCCTCTGTTCGCCCCTGTTCATCCCTGTTCGCCCCTGTTCGCCCCTGTTCGCCCCTGTTCGCCCCTGTTTGCCCACCGCACTCCACGTGTTCGGGCATTTGCGCTGGCGTCTAATGCTGCAATTAAAGCAAACAATGCAGCCCAACTGTGAGCTAAACGCTTCTGTCACGACGAGACTGTTGCTTGCAGTAGGACGTCTGAATAAACGGAGAAACTGCCGGAGAGCGACAAAGGAAACTGAAAAACGATTAGGCTGAAGGAACAAAAGAGGAAACGTACCGCACAGAAGTGGAGCTCGACAAGGCTTAAAATTCGTTGGGCTCGTCAGCTAATGAGCCAATAAACAACTGAAGAACAATTAGAGACGACAGACGCTTAGACACTTCGGAGGATAAAGACGGAAAGTCCGACTATTTATACGAGATTTATCAGTTTTCACAGTGTCCGAATGTCCGAGCAGTCGAGCAAGTGCGATAGACCGAACCAAGTGCGATAGACGCCTCGTTTCTGCAGTCTTCTCCTTCTTCGCTTGAACTTTTCGATAACCTTTCGGCGCTGCCACTACTGGCAAAGACATAGAGAAAATGCTCTTCTATTCGCGTGTATTTATCATATGAAAAATAAATGCACATCAGCTTGTCGTCGGCCTCTGCGTGAACCCGCGATTGTCACGTAATAATCGCGACAGTAGCACGTAACGACCACGTCGTACGAGCTTTGCCGCTGCCCAGTCAGAAATAAAGAACTTTTTTGCCCTGGGCTTCCAGCATTTTTGATCAGCTGATCATAGCGATCTTCCTATTTGATCGTGCCTTTTGTCCATTTCCGAGCCTCCTTGGGCTGTGCATTCCATGTGGTTGTCAACCGTTTCTACGCGACCGTCGCCTTATCGAATTTCACTATCTCTGCAAATTGTTTTTCACGATAACAATATGCGCAATCTCGGATTATGTTGCGATGACTTTGATCAGCGTCTTTTAATAAAATCATCATCCAACGCGTAATAGCCGAGTGCGTTTTTACGATTTTACCATGCAGTTTAACTTCCGGGTTTTCTTTTATGCACATCAGTTTGAAAGCCCGCGTGGCTGCGTGGCTGTTACAACGGCGCGTTACATCCAACGTTATTTGCATATTATTCGCCGACAGATAATAGCCGCGGACGCAATCGAATTTTGTCGGAATTCGATGAAAAGTCACTTTTAGTTCTTATTTTATCGATAAATTATGCGTTTGGCTAAACGACCAGTCTCACGCGACTCGGACTTGTATCCGTTATTTAGTTCATTAAATAAAGATTAACTTCCGCACTAAATTGCTTTGTTAATCCCTACTAATTGTTATCAGACTACTCCCGGTCTGATATAGATTAATGAGCGATCGAGACTCATCGTACAGAGCCTGAATGCAATGGCCTAAAGAAAAGAAGAGCCGAATATAAGTGCTGAAACAAGTGCGATTGACGTATAGCCTAGGCTGTCATCATTATCGCGTTGTTGTGCCACTGAGAGAAATTGTGTCGGATCACGCGAGGACTGGCGTACGAACTTGTTGACCAGTCGGCGCGCGAGTGTGGCTCCGCAGTCTCGAGGCTTTTCGGGAAATCGGCCAAGCGTAATCGGAGCGTGATCATCTCTCGCGGTTGCGCAACGATTAATCCCACACCGAGCCGCGCGTTTCCGAGCTGGCGGACGAGGAAAGCCGAGCCGCCGTACCCCGACTGTCCCAGGGCAGCTCTCGCTCCCGCTGGCACCTTGCTTTTCCATCGCGATCGGCGCTTTCGTGGAAACCGCTCGAGTGCGTCATCGGGCCCTGACCCCCTTCCGCCTATCGCGAATTCCGACGGAGCGGCTGCCTGCCGCCGAGGAGCGAGAAAGTGCCCCGGCAAAGCGCTCCGCTGGCCAGCCGCCGCGGAGAAGAGAAGGAGAGTCCCGGTTGGCGCCCCTGCGACCAGGCAGCACTCCGCTCGCGCGCGCGCGCGCCTCGCCACGCGCGCAGGCGCCGCGCGAGCGTCGCGTCACGGCTCGCGAACTGGCGCGCGCATCCGGGGCTTCGAGATCCCGTCGACCATTCGCGACTCGCTCGGGCCGACCGGCGAGAACGCGGAGCAGTCGAGCCGCGCTCGCGTTGCCGTCCGTTCGCAAGCGGCGCGAGGAACAGGTTTGCCCGCCGTCGGCGACCGTCCGAGAGGACGTCGCGTCGACCGCTTGGCGTCGGCCGACGCGAGCGTCGCGTCGCCGATCCACGTGCAGTCCGGCCGGACGCGCGAGCACGTGGATCCGCCGGGCTTGCCGCCCCTCGCGGACGCTTCTTCCGCGAGCTTCCGCGCGCACTGATGCCGCGCCGGCGATCAATAAATTATCGGCTTGCCGCTGCTGCGACTCGCGCGCGCTTACCCGACGAGCGTGGCAGCGACGCGTCGAAGAGCCGCCGGCCGCGCGGCCGCTCACCCGGCGAAGAGGAGGCCGGCGGTGCTGCTCGGCGACCCGCGTGGCCCCGGGACCTCGAGGCCGAGGGGAGCGTGCGCCCGCGCGGGTCGCCACGCAGCAGGGTCGCGGGCTCGCGCGCCCGTGCAAATCGGCCATCCGGCTCGAGTCGATCGGGGCTCGATTTCCCACCGGCCGCAGCGCGTCCGCGGCTGCTCGCCGGCCAGTGCGGACGGCCGCTCGGGCCCGTCGTCTCCAGGACGCCTCGCGTGGGCGTCGCGGCCGCAGCGCGAGCACCGAGGCGGACTCGTCCTGCGGCCCCGCGGATCCTTCTAGAAGGCCGCGCTCGCGTGGCGCGCCTGGCCGGCCGGACTCTCCTCCGACTCACCTTGGGCTTGCCGAAGCTGGCGAGGCACAGCGGCCAGGGCTGCATGATCCGCCGCCTGGACTGGTGGTGGTGGTGGTGGTGGTGCTGCTGCTGCTGCTGCTGTTGCGTCGAAGACATGTTTGCTGTGGCGATTGACGGGCGCCGGCTGCTGTCTGCTCCGCACGTGGAATCGCGAGGCGAGCGACCTTATCGGCTCGTCGTCTCCCTCTACTGTGTACGCTCCGCCGCTACTGTTGCCAGCTACTCTCTCGGCCGCAGTCGTCCGCACTCCGTGGCTTTCCAGCGCCCACTGCCGGCGCTGCTCGCACTCTCCGGCGCTCTCTGCTCACCTGCGCTCGCTCCACTCGGCTACCAGGCTACACGCCAGCGCGTGGGCGGAACGTCTGGTCGCGTCCAGTCCAGTCCAGCCGAGACGATTCAGAGCCAGTGCGCGGACAACGTGTGCGTGCTCATGAACCGTCCGCTCGCTATTTCACTCGGCTAATCAGATCGCGCGCGGCCGGCTCTTGTCTTTTATACGCGTCGAGCGCGAGAGCGCGAGAGCGCGAGAGCGCGCGCGCCGCGCCAGAGTAGGGGTAGCGCGGCTCGACTCCTCTAGGCCTCTCCTCCGAATGCCCTGTGCTCACCCACTTTCGGCGCTCGGCACCGGTGAGAACGAGGCCGGCCAAAGGCGATCGGACCGATCGCCGATCGGGACCGGCCCAGCCCAGCCCGTCGTACCGTTCCGGTTCCGGTTCCAGGCGCGAGCGCGACATCTCGCCGAACGCGGAATATCCGCTCGCCCGGGACGACGGGAGACGAAGCGCCGCGCCACCCGCGTCCGGCTCTCCGTCCCAGGGCTGGCGCGCAGGCTCGCGCTCGTTCCCGACATTTTTACGAACTTTTTAGACATGGCTCGACAACCTCCTTTATGGGGTGCTCCTTTGCTTCTCTACTCCCAACTTTATTGTACTCCTTACAGCACTTTTGGTCCGTCTTGGCTCCAGTGGCTGTTTGGCTGACTCAATCTCAATGATGAAACATTTAACGAGATATACAACTGCCAACCAAAACTTCCAGAATAAGATTAAACCGATGTCAATTTGTCGACAGCTGCTTCAGCTCAATTGACGATTCAACTACGCCTTCTATTTTGTCATTCGTTGTTCGCTCCCACGCCAGAAAAAGTGCCTGCCGCAAGTATTCGAACTTGTACAGACGCATGGCCCAGCCGTCGAGCGTCAAGAAGAATTTTCAAAGCTTGGAAGAGACGCGTGAAAAGCAAACGAGAAATGTGACGAGAAGAGTTCATTAGAAAATTGCATTTGTTTGAGACGCCATACAAGATTGGCTCGGAGCTAAAAATCAATAATGGAACAGGTCATGAATAGATCACGACTGAGCGCACCGCTCGAAGCATCGAATGACCTGTGAACGCGCTCGGAATCAAGTTGGGCACGGTCATTTTCATATAAACAAAGATGCCAGCCGGGGGACAGTCGTCCGAAGGTACGTTGACACCGTCGATGCGATAATAGGTCTATCAAGGAACGAGATCTGTTGCTAAAAATAAGCCCGCCAACTGGATAACGAGCGTCGCCTTTATTTTTGCAAAGTTGCTGCGGTGCAGCTCGCATCGCAGCGCCCTTTAGCGGATTGGCCGGTGCGCAATCTGGGTCGGAAATTTCCGACCTCTATCCTCAATCTAGTCTAGCTTGATAAAGACCAATTTTTATCGCGTGTCACTAGCCTTTGCTATCGATTCGCTGACGATTGGCGCGCGGAAAGAGCCGAGCAGCCGTTTTGGGCCGAGCAGCAGCAGCAGCAGCAGCAGCAGCAGCAGCAGCAGCAGCAGCAGCAGGCTCTCACGCGCCCCCGCTGCTCGCGGCTTCGGCGACGGGCTGCGGCGCACGACGGAGCCGCCTGCTAGAAAACTTTGCAGATTTACAAGCTGATAGCGCGGGAGTCGCTGCCGCGTTGTTTGCACTGCCGACGGCGGCAGCGCGCGAGCTCGTGCCGCAGCCGTTTCAGCGGTCCGCGGAGCTCGATCGCCGAGCGTCGACGCACGGCGTGGCTTCGCAGATAGCTCGCGCCGTACATGAGCTTGCCGTGCATTTTTACGAGCGCGATTGGTGCGACAATTGACAGGCACCGCGCGTCCGCAGCGCTTCCCGACGCAGCCAGCGCGGACTCGACCGATACCAAGCCTGACGCACGCGGACCGAGCGCGCGCCGATTCCTCGTCGTCGGCCCTGACTTTGAGTCTCGCCGAGCACGTGCCGAAGCCGCGATAACGCTGCGCAATGTCGCCGACGGGCAGCTTTTCTCCAGCCACTGCCTTGCTTCTTCGCTGTTCCACCGAGCGCCGTAGAGACTCGCCCGTTATCCCAATCCCAGCCGGCAACCTTCGCTTCTCGAGTTTGACCAATGGAAGCGAAACGCACGGCTCGCACAACTGATAGCTGCTGCAACCTCATCGGATGACAACCAACAAAAGCAGAACCAATATTTACTTGCTATCGCTCAAGACAAGTTTCATAGCCTGATGTTTCCTATCCGGCCGAGAAAACCCAGACAACCATCGCCTCGATCTCTAATCTTTGCCAATGTAACGTTGAGTCAACATCCTCCACCACGTTGAAACTTGCTGGGATCGACTCGTCTTCATCAAGAGTACTCGTTACCTCTGCATTCGTATCCGTAATCTTTGTCAAGTGTCAGTGTATTAGTGGTTTACGAGTGACATAAGCCTTTCATCTCGAGTTAATGCTCAACAAGTAGCTTCCTTGTAAACAGTAGTTCCACTGTTTGGTAACATTCCAAATCCAGTTAATTGGGAAGCGCTCAGCGGCCAACATTTCATTATCAGCTTTTGCAATTTACCGCTGCTCAAATTCAATATTCAGCTTTATAAAAATTGGCAAACAAAGCATCTCATTGATCAGTCATCAGTAGCACAATACAGCCTTACATCGGATCCAATGATTCCATCGCACATTCGAGACGCTCCGTGCATTTTTTTTCTGCTTACATCGCTCGTAAATCAGGCATACACCTGGTCTATTCTTGCGCCGATGGCTATTTCTGCTCAGTGACTGTCGGCCATCAGCGCGCGGTATTTTTTTTTTTTTTTTCCAACAAGCATGGAAAAATTATTGGACAAAAGCCAAAATAAATTCGGAAAGGCTCGAGTACACATCATTTGACGAGCTTAGACTGTAAAAAGTTTGTCTGGAGCAAAAACTTTTGACTGGATAGGAAAAGTTTTTTCTTCTAATAAATTCAGTAGGTCAGGATCACATTGCTCATAAAACAATGTATATTATCCGTATTGAATAAAAAAATAAAGCTATACCGTTGAGGATATAAGTGAGCTGTGTGTTTATACACCGAATTGGAATTTTATTTCAACGTGGGTTACATAAAACCATGTTATTACGATTAGCAACTGCAATCATTCGTATGACAATCCATTTTCAGACCAGAGCTGAGTGAAAACGAGCCACCATGATACTTTTTTCTTCCTTTTTCTAAAAAAATGTAAATTAGAGAAAGCGAGAACAAAGGGGTTCTAGACAGTTCTGCAGAGTGTTATGTCTGCCGGACAATGCAAAGAAAGACGCGACAATAAGAGAGAGAGAGAGAGAGAGAGAGAGAGAGAGGGAGGATGGAAGGGTGGGAGGGAGGGAGAGAGGTGGATCGAACGTACGTCAAGCAATCGTCTCGGCGATGCGTTGCGAAGACGCGAAACGATCTAGAAAAATCTGATTAATCGGCAGTCGTTCGGGCATTTCCATAATTGTTGGTGTCGCTCGCTAATTGCAGGCAAATGCAGTCTAATCCGGTTGTCAATTGGCGATAGAAAGGCGTAGTACCGACAAGCCAGTTTGCCTATCGAATGACAGTCGGACATGGAAGGATCGAGAAGTATCTTCGCGAACGTTACAATGATCGAGGGGGGGTCGATCGTAGCTGTCCGCTCGCCTCGACGCGTCTCGACGATTGATCGCCGTGGAACTTTTTGGACGGGCTACCGCTATAACGGATGTGCCTGTGGAGCGCGAAGCGTTTCGAAAGTCGAAAAATGCCGGTATCTCGGCGCATCTCGGCGAATCTCGGCGGATCTCGGGGCCCGTCGCGCAGCGTTAGTTATTTTGGTGCCGAACGCTTCGCAATCGGCACGACACGCATTGCCAAGTGCGCGCTGTCTCGATAATACAGCGAGATAGATGCAGCGAGTTACGTCAGCTTTGTATCGGCAAAGCGATGAAAAATGGAATGGAAAGGCTCGACTGCGCAGAGCGTACATGCGACGCCGATACATTGATAAAAGTAGCACCATTAACAAGTGGCACATATCGCCGCAGAGAATACAGTAGTGGAATACTACCAGAAGAGCACTCTCGTATTCGCTCGAGCGCTTAAACGACGTCAAGTCGATCGAATTATTAACTACTGCTTTACGTGCGCTTTCAGCCGTGCATCGGTTTTTATTGCCTTCCACTCAACTGCCATTCCCCGTCCTCTTCGGCTCATCTTATTCGATTTGTTTGCTTAATTTGATCCGAGGCTGCATTGTTCGCCGCGTGCCTCCTTGCCGAACAGCAGTCCGTCGCGTCCGAAGCAACCGGCAACCTCAAGAAAAATTCATTCGACGACACCGGAGCTTATAACCATTGCATAACAGTGCAGCAAAGCTCGACTGCGAGCCGGTTCGTAAATTTTTGAGATCTTCTACAGTATAATGCGCTTTATCAAAATATCAATCTCAGCTGTAAAAAATTATTAATTGCGCGCGATTGCGCCAAGTGCGCTAAGACCGTTATCGCCTTTTATTATTTCTCCGCGTCTCAATTACAGGAACTAGACGCGCGTCGCTCGTTTTCCTACTTTGCAACGTTCGATCATTTCAGTCGCAGGTAAACTTGTCAGTCGAATCAACGTTCTTTTCGCCAATATCGTTCTCAGAATAGCTCGATTAATTAGAATCAATCCAATTGGTCAATACTAACTGTTGCATGTCGTAAGTTGTCGCTGAAAGTTGCATGAAACATTCAGTGCCTCTGCTGCGTAAATGACAGGCGGCTCTCAACACCGTTTTCCAAATCTTTCAATGAAACTGCGCTACCTAGTAACTGATCGCTTCCGATACTAATTTTCTCCATTGGAAAATCACGACGTTTGACGCAAACATCGCTGTTGCTCCGTACGTGCGAGTTTTGCTTTTGCACGTCATAAATTTGGCGCCATAAATAGCGTCTCTCGACGCGATCGATACAAAGACCGTTCGTCAGTAGCCAGGATCGGCGGCCGAGTGCGAGGCAGACGAAGCGGGTAACAGCTATAACAAGTATCGAGCGAAGATCGTTCGATGACTCGGTGGGCGCGGGAATGCCTACTCGCTCTCGTCGGATTGCCAAAATAAATGCCACGACGTACGTCGCAACACTAAGAAGCATCGCTTTCTGCATTGTTTCAGACGCGTGCCTACGCTGCCAGGCGGAGAGCAAGAAGGACTTCTACGGCAAGCAAGACTGCGTGGTGGTCTGGGGCGAGTGCAACCACTCCTTCCACTACTGCTGCATGTCGCTGTGGGTCAAGCAGAACAACCGGTGCCCGCTCTGCCAGCAGGAGTGGTCCATCCAGCGCATGGGCAAATGAGTCGCCGCTCGCGTTCTTCGCGTGCTTCGAGCTCTTCGTCGTCTACTTCGCTCCATCCCCGCGCCTTCGCGCCGCGAGCATGAATCATTGTGATAAAAACCTCATTAGCCTTAATAAATTTGCTTCGATTACAAAGCTTGCGCGCATTTGCACTGCCCGTAATAACCCAATAGCGGAGCCGAATCGATCGCGCTGGTGCGCTCAGGTGCACATCGGCCCTCCGGCGAGCGGAGCCAAGGTGCGCCGAGTCGTTCAACAAGTCGACGAGAAGATACGTGGCGCCAAGTGGACGAGCGCGGCGGCACGTGTCGTAAGCCGCGAAAGGGAAACACGCCCGAGGAATTGCGGAGGCTCGTCTCGACGCTCGGCCAATCGCGCTCGAGAAAGCCGGACTCTGCCCCCGACGAGCCTTCGCAAGCTGCTTGTTTTTTTCCTCTCTCTCTCTCTCTCTCTCTCTCTCTCTCTCTCTCTCTCCCTCCCTCCGCCGCGCATTCCGAAAACCATGACGCCATGACGCCATGACGTAGCCAGCTTAGAGGCTCCGGCGCGATTTGCAGCGCCGTTGCGTCAGCCGCTGCCTGGCCGCTGCACTGCGAGAGAACGCGCGCTAGGATGATCGATCGCTCGGTCGCGGCCGCGGCCACTTATCTCAGTGCCGATTAGCTCGTCGGTATTTCCAGAGCCCGGCCCAATCGAAAATATATCCTCTGTCGGCGCCGATTCGGCAAAGCTCTCGCTGCAAATCAATGAAATGTCGGTTTCTTCGTCGCTTGTTATTCCATGCAAGTGTGTCCATTTTTACTCGATATTTATAAAACAACAATGTCCCTCGCGACGAGCAAAAAAGTAGGTCTGATCGACTGGTTGCCGCCTGATCAAATCGTGGAAAATATCGGTTTCGCTCGAGCGCGATGGCCAGCTTATTTGTTCCTGTTGGCAAGCGCTCGCGCCGCGAGAGATCCTTTCTCGCCACGATTTCCGCGCGGCAGCCGATCGCCGCGAGTACAGAGCAGCGACACGGCGCGCACGGGGTCCTTGAAAGCGGCGGCAAAAGGAAGGAGCCGACGGCGCCAGCGGCATGTCGGAAAAAAGGACCGGAGCCACCGTCAAGGAGCACAGGCGCCCGCGTGGATCCGGTTCACTTGGTAACGGAAGCACCCGTTGGCGGAGCAGGCACAGGCACAGCCGACGCGACCGCCTGCACGTACACCCTCGCGCGACCTTGGAGTCGCGAAAGATGCGCAGTTCGAGACCGAGGACGAGCCTCCAGCCAAGATTGGCGCTATATTAATCGCTTGCGCAACTCGCGCGCGCGATACATCATGCGCCGGCGCGATTGGAAGAAGCCGACGTGTTTCGATTGCGCGCGTCCGCGGCGCGCCGTGACGCTCGCGTCCGAGCGGCGCTTTCTTCCCAGAGCTCTATGGCGGCTCATCGAGGCAATCGCGTCGACGGCCCGCACGACAGAGCCGGCCGACGTGCAGACACCGCGCGCCCGACCCGCGCGAGCCTGCGACGTCTAGCCGCGCTCGTTCAATTGGCTAAATGGCAAACTACGCCAACGACAATGGCAGCCTGTTAAAGCGGCTCCCCGGCTCGACGAGATTGTTCCTTCGCCGATCGCCAATGTCGCCGCCAATCGGCTGGGCCCGCGCGCTGCCGGCCAGCCGATAACCACACGCTGTCGGGCCGCCGGTCGCGCCAGACGCCAGATGCACGCTTCCGCGCGCCGCAGGCGAGCTGTCCAAGTCGGCCGAGGGGCTCGTCGCCCGAGCCGACCAATAGCCACGAGCCGAGAGCCGCGAGCCGTCTTCGGCCTCTTCTCTACACGCGTCTACTTATACGAACTCATCGGCGCGTCGCTCTTCCGCCTGACCGGCCTCGGCATTCACGCCCGAATGCCGCAGCTTGTGCAATAGCGTCGGCAAAAGTCGAACCGGCAGCTATACTTTCTGCGGGTCTCGAGCGTCGGCTCACCCAGTGATTGCATCGCGCCGTTACTTCGCAGTCTCGCTCGCTGCCCACGCGATGCAATGTACGACGTCCCGATTGGGAATTGTCCGCAAGCAGACTTGTCGTTGCTACGCCTCACCAGCACTTTCCCTTGTTCCTTGTCCGCCCCGAGCATTTGCAATTTTTTTTTCGTCAGTTTTGCCTCCGGCAAGGATCATGAAATAATCGCTTTCCCTGAACAAGCGTCGCTCCGAACGCTCCAAAATTACCATTATTAATCTCTAAATTAACCAATGAATATGCCTCGATAAATCAAAGGTAAACGTCCAGAAGAGGAACAACGGTGCAAAATATATAAAAGTAACGTCCGGAGCGCGTATACTGATTTCACATTTTACAGCTTGTTGCGCGATCATAACTATACCGTTTTTATGTTCAATCAGTGACGAGCCGTTTTCCTTGACTTTCCTGTCGTCAATTGTCAGTTGTGCGATCGGCAAAAGTTGCGCAAAAATCAAATGAAGAAAGATCACAATTTCAAGGTTCCCATGCAGCTCTTACATAAATAGCAACGAATTTCCGGTCTGGCCGATTCACCCAGGTGACGTTTTTTTTTATCATTCAGCAGGAACCAAGCATCCGTTTTCAGTGTTATCGAAATACATGCTCGATACACAATTTGCCAAACGAGAAAAAAAAAACGGTTATTATTGTTGGTCCCAAAGTCGTTGGCACGAGTCGCTTTTGCAAATTAAGTGAAATTGCCGTAACAAAGCGATCCGATTACGTTGCAGGAGCGTCCAGAGGTGAACTTTCTTGAAATTGACTTACAAGCAAACAATTGCAGTCAATCTGGCGTAAAAGCATGCGATTGCGCAACGATCGCACGAGCGGACTTTTGAAGCGGCGTCCGCTCGTCATCCGCCACGAAATTGACCTTCGAACGTAATAAAATTTCGCGATCAACAGATACCTCGGGCAATTCGTGGGGCGCCACCGAGCCTCTCGGGCCGTTGCGTGCAGAGTCTGTCGCCTCTGAGTCCTCTGACGCCAGCAGCAGCAGAAACAGCACGAGCGCCTCGAACCGAGGCCTTCGAACTACCATGGAAAGTTTCGGCCGACAAAAGAAATTTCTTACTTAGCGCGCTAATCGGTTTGTTTTGCCTTGTCGAGTAAAAGGCAGTTTATAAAGGATAATTCGCACATGTGCCTGCTGTGTCAGCCACCGCGTTTTTATTTCAATTTCTAGAAGCGCCCGCTTACCAGACCACATGATTTTTTCGCCACTCCAATTTTTTCCTCTTCTATCATTTTTACATTACTCACTCTATTTTCCACGGGATCTAAGTAAAATACAATCTTTGATGCTGGAAAAAGGATATACTTTTTATTTTGAACCTATAATCTTGATATATTTACACGACAACGCCTTGTAATTTTCGTGATTGATAGCACAAAAAACTCATAAAAATTAATAGCCTAGTGTATAAACTTATTCATCAAACATCCAAAAAACAAGTGATGCGATTTGTATGATCGATAATACAATAGATCTGGTCTTTTTTAATATAAAAATAATATTGCTAAACTCTACAGGCGTATGATCATGGCAAGATCAAGCGCTACGCATGATAAAAAGTTCCTTAACATGGAATTATAATCCTTTAAGATTATTCAACAATGCATTTACATAAAAATTGTTTACAAAGTTTACATCAGTTAATTTTCTCAACGCGCAACTGTATATGAAAAAAATCATTTTTTTCATCATCTCTTTCTCTCTTTCTTATTTTTTTCCTCAATTCTGCCGATAAAAAATATCACATATACCTTTTCTACGTGGAATGTAAAAGTTATGAGTTTTCAATTGAACAACTGTAGATTATCTGGTTAGTTTTGTTTGTAATATATAACATTAGTTTTTTTTCTATTAATTCAATGTTTAAGTACTAAGTACGGATTCAACTCAATTAAATTGTCGAATTGATAATATATGAGAGCTGTCGACCTATTGTCTATGACTATTAGTGGAAATTAAAACAACGACGAAAAAGTGTTCATAAGTGTGAAAAGATTTGAAGAAATGCCTTTGGTGAATGATGAACTTTAAAATAATTTAAGTCGAAGTTAGTTAAATTAGCGTGATGAAAACGTACATGACTGTAGTCTGGATCTTATTGAACCGATATACATTAGACGTGTGAAATATGTGATATGTATACGAAAAATACAAAAAAAGCAAGTATGTACGATAACAATATCTCTAAACGATGTGTTAATACATATGTGTATAGTATATATACATCTCATCAAGGAATCCTACTCCGTAAAGGCACTTGGAAATAGGTTTTCGTGTAGTTGTTACAACATTCATTAGAACCTAGTTAACTTGATGCACAATATGATAACTAAATGCGTGCTCTCAGTGAATGAGCGTCGAAAGTACGTCAATATGTCGAACGTGCTCGTCACAAATGTATGCAAGCCTAAAACTTAATTTTCGCTTTATCGACCTTATCAATTCCAATACTGCAGTATAATTTTTTTTCTAATTAAGCGAGTCTCGTTCATCTTAACAATTCGTATGCCTTGATCGTCGCATTAGCGGAATCAAGATGCTCGGATGATCAGCTTGCTTTAAGAACGGATCCTCCAGGAGTTGAGCGGCAGTTGCTCGGTGAGCTGGATCGCGAACCAACATCTTCTCCAAAAATTTCTGCAGGCCCGGACTTACCTAAAATTTGTTAACAACTTGCTTGAATTCTCTTCGTAATTTCATATCTATTGTTTGAAAATAAATAGAGATATGAATAACTAGCTTACCTTTGTAGAATTTTTTAGTTTTGGTGGCGGCATGTCTCGAATACGTCTCATTGCTTGTAATGGCGGTTCATTGAAAAATGGTGGTTCTCCATCAACCATTTCAATTATCATAATGCCTAATGACCAAATATCAACTTCCGGGCCGTACGGTAACCTTTATAAAAATAAAGTTATTAAAAATCGATCAGTGAATTTATATTAACAAAAAGTCCCAATTTCACATGTAAGACTATTGCACGAAATAGTGAGTGCAACAAGTAATCTGTAAAAGTTTTCTAGCGTTACTCTAGGAAATGGAGTTAAATTTCAAATTCATCTGTTCAACTAAGTATAGTTCCATGATATAAAAAAATGTACTTGATGCAAAATTACCTGGATATAACTTCTGGGCTCATCCAATAAGGTGTACCCACGAGCGATTTCCGCTTGGGTAACTCCTGAGAAACCCTGAGCACAGAAACCAAAATCCGAAAGCTTGACGTTGCCGTCTGCGGTCAACAAAATCGAATCTGATTTGATATCTCTGTGTATAACGCCTTGCGAGTGCAGATATTGCAAAGGTTTAAGGCACTGGAGGCAAACGGTAGCAATTTGCTTCTCACTCATTTTCGAGTGCGTTACAATATCAGTGAGTGCTCCACCTTCTAAATACTCCATAACCACCCACAGCTCGTCATTCACTAAGAAACTGTCGTACATTTCCACAATATTTGGATGGTGATAATCCCTCATAATGACCACTTCATTAAATAATAATTCTCGGCGCTGTTGTTTTCGCAAATCCATCTTTTTTACAGCCACTTGTTTATTTGTCTTTTTGTCTAACGCAATGCATACGATTCCTGTACTTCCTTCACCAATTTTTCAAAAAGTTTTCCAAGTTTTCCCGTGGATCTCCGGTGCTTACCTGCAAACAAAATTAATAATAAAAAAATGTACTGGTAATTTGAGAAAAGGGCTCAAAAAATCAAGGAAGATATACATACCACCATTTGTAATGCAGCTCTGAATTGTTCATGAGTCAGTCTCTGTTCAGCATTCTGCTTTCCAGAGCTATTCGAAGCTGCAGTTGAAGCAACAGCAAGATTACCAGAGGACATGGCACTCTTCATATTTTGATTCTGGTCTGTAGTGGCACTTAAAACCAGGCATGGAGGTCATAGCACCAGCTTTTGAAAGATTGTGCATGGATTGCGAACTTTCAATGGGTTTCTGGTACTGAGTCTGAAAATTTGGATTTTCTGTCTGACCGTAATTCTGCATATGTTTTGGTACATTATGAGAGCTGAGCTGGCTTAGTGGGCGCTGAGAAGCAATAGATCCAACAGGTGACACTTAGAATGAGCATTATGTATCATCATGCTTTGAGGCACTGGTTGATTTCTGGATGGATCAAACTTAGTTTGCTGCATGTTGCCATTGTACTGGGCTACTTGGGGCATTGACATTGATGGGTTCATTCTTTGAAAATCATAATCTTGCATCTGTGGAATGTTTGAATTGGAAGGTGGACTCTGCATGTTTGAAATGGGACTTAAATTTTGGAAATTCATGGACAAATTCTGTGCATTGACACCCATATTTGGTGTGTTTGGTGATGATTGCATATTGGGATTCATATTCTGCAGATTAGGAATAATATTGTGACCTGTATTGGCTCCTGGTCCAACACTGGGAGAATTTTGTCTGATTTTGTCCATGTAGCCATGAGGCTTATTGTAATTAGGATACATTTGTGTTGGAGTTGGATTGCTAGATATTTCTTGACCCTCTGGAACAGAGGCTGGCAGATTTGAATTATTTCTGTAGTCTCTCCTCAGTCTTGGTGGGCTGGAGGACCTCAGAGAATTCGATCTTGCAACACTAATGATTTTTGGCAAGTTGTTCTCTGCACTTTTGTTGCCAATAAATGATTGTCCTAACCTTGGATCATTGTGGCCGGCGAACAATAGTCTTTAAGTCAAGAATTTCAGTTGGCGTTATTTCGCTTGGATCAACCATAGGCAAAGGCCTATTAGTAGACTTGAGAATTTGATTATTCCCAACAATAGATGCCCATTGCAATGGCAAGCCAACAAATTTTTTCTCCTGCCTATCATAGCCTGTATGGACCCTGTGTTCAAAATTTGTTGGAGTTGAAATCTGGGGTTTCTTCTTCTTCTTGGCAAACATTGCAATAGCTCTAAAATTCTATCTTAGAAAGCAGTCACTAAATTCTCTGTAAATAAGAATAACAAAATATTTAAGTAAATTTTATGTAAAAAGCAGTTTTACAAAGCAAAGCACTAAGGTGACAGAACTTGGGAATAATCAATATTTAAATTTAACAACAGATGCAATGCAAACAAGTGAGACCATTATTGATCAGTGAGAAAATAGCAACCAACAGGGATATACAAAAGAGGGTAGAAGCAGATCTGAAAGAAGTGCAGTAGTACCTAGAACATTGAGCAAGGGAAAGTGGTGGATATAGAACAACAAATGCTTTATTGACGGATGCGTCGCAAAAGCAAAGGCAAAAGCAAGTGGCGCATTCCAGAACGTAGAGCGCTACTGGTTAATGGTCTAATAGCTGCAGAAAAGTAGGCGGAAGCGAGCGATAAGTGGATACTCACGTATTTGTGGGAAATGCGCGCTGCTATGCACGGAGAGTAGAGCAGAGATACAAGCTGCACGCGGAAGACAGGACGGGAGCTAGGAAGCAAGGCTGCACTTAGCTGTCTCGGCTTGTTAAATTGTCAATCGGTCGTGGTCGAATTCGTCATAAACCGGCGGCTAAACTGAGACGCTGGCTATTGCTGCTGCTGCAATAACAGTCGCGGCGACGACAGCGACTTTCCAATCCGAACCAGCAGCAGCGGTTAGCCGACATTTTCACGACGCAGGCACAGACTGGCAAACAGTCACACGCACAGTGCAGTCTTCGATAGAACGCTATAGGTAGCCAAAGGGACAGGCAAAACTAAGCGTAGTAGAGGCATGTAGGCACGTCACGAGCGCACCGACGAGACGAAAAGGAAAACGGCAGGTAGTTCTGGCTGTAGTTAGCACTGGCAGACACTGTCGACAGAGCTTCCGGATGATGCACGCACTTGGACGGAATGAGGTGCAGTTTACGCTGCTTGCTTGCTTGCAGGCGGGGCGCGGTTTCTCACATTCTGCTGCTCCGCGTACCAAACGTACGATGATGGATATATACCTATACGTGCGCTCTCTCTCACTCTCTCTCTCTCTCTTTCTGTAGTCCGTCCTCGTCTTTCTCGCGCCACCGCCACAAACGCGTACGCTACCTGCAGGCACTTTTCGGAGCTCGCGTTGGCATTCGCCCCTCGTCCGGCCAGCCTAGTGCCTGTGCGCGGCCTGACTGTACCGACACCGAGTTGGTGCACGCTACTCTACCTATTCCACCTTCAATGAAATTATCAAAAGCGACTGCATTATTGTGGGGCGGTTAATCGCGCGTACTGAACTGAATATGACTGCACACAATGCAGAACCGTTGTCCGTGTATACGCCCACCTTCGAAATGAAAATTGGAGCAGTACTCGACTTTTTTGATACTCTTACCTTTTGTGAATAGATTGCAATATATGGATAAACTGAGATATTTATATGTGTGAAAGGCTTTGGCTATTGCAAGTGTTCACGTGCCTATCTGAACAGGTGTTTTTATAATTAATATGCAGATTGAGTTCACTTAAGTAATTATTAGATGGGAAACCCCTATGCGCGCGGGTAATGCTATTTGCGGCCGCTTTACCTTTGACACCTTTATCTGTGGAAATCCAATTAGTCATTGAGAATGCAAAGCTCTGTGTATATAATTATTGATGTTGTTTTTTTGAATAACTATTGCTTCTTATTTCGATTATGTATCTGTAAAATAAAGATTTTATCAATTTTGAAATTATATTTTTACTTTTAAAATACTATCGACGTTGTCCAACGACGCCGAAAATATCTTGAATGATGTACCTATGTTTTTCATGGTGACATTAGAGAGGTGAATTTTTCATCGCTTTGCATTTACTTTGCGCGAGAGCTTCTCAGGCTGGGCCCAGCAGTTAGGCAGCCCTCCTGCCACTCCAACAGTGGAAAAATGTTGAGTCGCCTAATATGCCTATTATGTCGACGCTCGCGTCAAGATAACCGATTGTCCACGGCAAAATCATAGGGAAATAATTATTACTGCGGCACTGGAATGGAAACGAAGTCCGCAGAATTTGTTGCTGGCATTTACAATTAGCCAATTGGCGCTCTGTTGCCAATGCCGAGAGAAGCTGCAGCCAACGCCAGTAGTAAGAGAGCGGCGGCATTGTTTGACTTCCGAAAGATTAGAACAAGATTTCGACTGCGTGAGGATCCCGTTGGTAGTGCTCTGGCTGACCGTTGGACTCCTCGCCAGCTGCGTCGCAACACGTTGTTTCAGAACGTAATGCACAATTACAGGCAGTGCCCAGTCCAAAGAGGCACAATATCGATAAAATTTCGTAGTCGGGGATACGTCAAAGTATGATCAGTAACGATAGCGACACCAGAAAGTCAACGAAAAACAAAGCCATGCACGGCTGAAAAAGAAGTCAAAAGCAGATTTGAGATGGGCACTGATCGAGTACCAACAGCTGCTGGGCGCATGTCGAGCGACTGGCCACATCGCGGACAGTCACGCGACGTCGGCTAAATCGTCCAATCTGCACTCTAAGTCGGCACGTAGAGCCACAGTGCAGCATGACATGCGGCCTGCGTCGCGGTGGAGTCGACGAGGGCCGACTGGCTGCGTGCGAAAAGCGTATCCCGGTACGACTCAATGTCGTCTGACGCTGGTCGACTGCATGCACCTTCACCGCGCTTGGCGTCCTCGGCTTCGGCTTCTTGCCCCTGCTCCACGTCGGCATCGAGAGCAATCTCCCCGACTACGCCGAGCTTCACCTGCTCTTGCAAGCCTTCAGCTAATTCTTCGACTACTCCAGGAGCCCGTACTTGGAGCTACGTAAGCGCGCTGACGAAAAAATTGCTTGCGAATAGTTATTGATAAGACGTTATAATTAAGAAGTTGTTATAATGAAAGTGTGATGCTGGAACTAGTAATGAAGTTGAGATTGAAGGAGAAGGAAAGTAGAGAATTGTTGAAAGATTTCAAAATGAGATAAAACAATTTTATTGGCTTACAACAAATGACAATGGCTAAATTAATTTTAAGTCTTTTGCCTTTTACCGGAGGGCTCGTCATCGACGTCGTCGTCGTCGTCGTCGTTATCGGTACGAAATATCGGCTTCGGCTGAGTCTTTTTGTAAGCCGGAGTAACGTAGATAGGATCTTTTTCGGCGATCTCGGCGTACTTCAAAATAGCTTCGCGAGGATCCTGATTGTCCTCGACCCTTTTGCTCAGTCCCAGGTTGCGAATGACATAGGAGCTAAGCGTACCGCCGGAGGAGGCGACTCTGCCGCCCTGCCCCGAGGTGATGGGCAGGTCTGGTCGTCGAGACTTGACGGGATCCAACCTGTCCTTTTCCATCTGCTTCCTCACGGACTTGGGTCGGTCCTGGCGGAACAGCGGTAACGCGTGGGGCGTGATGATCTGCTGCGTCGACACCATCTCTACCTGCTTTTGCTTGTACCTTTGCTTGACCACACAGAGCTTGGCGCCTCGCAAGCTTTTCTTGATGTCGTAGTAGCACTTGACGATGCCGTTGCCGCAGCCAACAAATATCTGATTGAGCTTCGGGTGCCACAGGGTCTTGATCACGTGCGAGTTGGTGACTTCGATCTCGTGCACCAGCTCGAACGTCTTGGTGTTGTAGAACAGACACTTGCCCGCGGATTTGCCCTTGGCCAGAGATTCGCCCGTGATGATCATCGAGTCGTCGGGACTAAACATGCAGTCCGTCGAGTCATAGCGAGAAAAGAGATCGGTCACCGTGAGCAGAGGCGACTTGAACGACCTTAGATCCCAGAGCTTCAGGCTGTCGTCGCAGCTGCGCGAGGCCAGCATGTTATTAAGGTAGGAGAAGCTCAGGCTGGAAATTTCGTTGCCCTGGCCGTGGGCCGTCCTGTTGATCAGAGACGGATTTACGAAGTTCTTCCTGTGATCCCACATCTGTATCGAGCCGTCGAAGCAGCCACAGGCCACGACTGAGCCTTCCCTGCTGTAGGCACAACTTGTCGGCACGGTTTTCACGCCGTTTGCGGCTCTGCACTTTATCAGAGCCTTATGCGCTTTTGGCTTGTACAGAATCCATATTCTGCAGGTGCTATCCTGGGAGCAAGTAAGGTACTCTTCTTTGGTGTATGGATGCCAGCAACCGCTGTTCAAGGATGCAGTGTGTCCCTTGGTTCGGGCCATGTCACTTATGTACTGATCTCCTTTCACAGTTTCACATTTTTCGAAACCATCTCTATCCAGAACCTTTGCCTGTGCTGATCCAGAAAGCACAAGAATCATGTCACCTGTCATGGAATACTGAAGACACTTGATGGGGTGATTCTCGCATGGCTGAAGGGTTCTAAAACTTTTCAAAGAAGCATCCATTCCACCAAAATCCCAAAATGACAGATCATAATCTACTGAACCCGATGCTAGGCGAGCTCCAGATGGATCTGCTGCTATAGCTGTTACTGCCTTTGTGCCATGAGTCATCGATACTTGGTGAGTACAAGGAATTCTATTCACTAAACTTGTTTCTTCCTCTCTATCATCATTACTATCCTCGCTACTATCTTCTTCATCATCCACGTTTTCCTCTTTCTTGCTTTTCACTTTTGCACTTGTACTTTCCTTTTCTGTTTCTTTAATATCTACAGGTATAGGTGGACCAATCAAATCATCATCACTGTCATCATTTGAACTATTACTTTCTGGCTGACTGATCTCACAATTAGTTTTACCGTCAGGTTTATTAATTTTAACAGTTTTTTTAATGTTTTCCATCATCTCTTGCACATCAAAAGACCTTGCTTTCTTGCCAAACGATGACATACCCATGAGAGTTTTTATTTTATTATTTTCTTCTTCTTCCTCAGGATTTAATTCAATGATAGCTTCAGAATTTTGTTCAATTGGTGTTTTACCAAAACTGCCAAAACCTCTAGATGTACTCTGTACATTTTCTTGAAGCATTGATTTGTTAATTGTTCCAAACCCAGTGCTTGTATCAGTTGTGTCATCAATATTCTTTTTTTTAGGAATACAATTGACTGGTTTTGTATTTAACTTAAAATTTATTTTACCAAAACCAATATTACCTGGTGGTTTGTTATTCATATTACTCATGTTTATATTGAGTAGCTTAGTGAATATAAATAAAACAAATATTTTAAAATTAATGACTAATCAATTTAACACTATATCAAGCAATATTATTTATGCGTACCTCAAGTCTATTTATAAAATAATATACTAAGTTATTTAATAAAATTTTTCATTATTTTATATTATTTGCATCCCGAACACTTGTTTGTTTTGGTTAATGGGTTATGTTTACCGATTCACTAATACGGGTATGAAGTTATCCGCAATACATATTTTTAAGTTCGATTAATCTTTTTCGATATATTACGCAAAAATAAATGAATAAACAACTATTACTCTTAATTTTAATATGATTTTAATTTAATATGAAACTAAAATTAACCAATATTATTTTTGAATAATTAATTGGGATAATCCTTTAAAAATTACTTAAAAAATCATCGTTATGTAGTATTTTTATCTAAATAGTAAGAAGTTAATATTTGAATAACGAGAAACTTTTCTAGCAAACTTCGAGATACTCACGTAATTTTTAAAATTTTAATAACTATGTTCCCATATGTACGAAGTCGCAAGTACGCGTATCGAACCGGACCGTACCGAATGGTATATACTTACTACCGACCTGTGGACCTATGGTGGACTGTTGGTTATTGTTATGTTTTGATAATACTGATCATAAAGTTATCATTTGTCAAAAAACATATGTAAAAAATAGGGATAAAAGGAGAAAACATGAGTGCTCCTGAACCTGAAAATGTTAGCGATTTACTACAAAAGCTTGTGGTATCAGTGTGTGGGGAACAAAAGCCAGGTGAGGTTAATTCAACTTGTCTATATTGTCTTCAAATTGCAAAATAGCATTGTTCAGCATTTTAATCAACATTTGTCTGTTTATTTCGATTTAATGACAGAAATTTTACAAAAATACACGCAATTCTCTTTAAGTTTACTATCGTCTACGCAAGGTGTCGATGCTTTAAGGGAAGATGAAGCAATGGTTGCTAGTCATATCAAAAGTAAATTATCTGTGCAAGATGCAATACTTTTCGATGAATTGCATAATAATTTAAAGGATGGGGTATGTAAACAAACTTTAAAGTCTAGATTGAAATAATTAATGTGAACGTTTTTAGGACCTCAAAAATCGTCTTAGTACATTGAGTTTTCTACTTCACATGAGTCATTCCAGTGATCGCACACAAGACAATAATTTTGTATTTCCTGAACTGAGATTAGGTTTGAATATTCCTGTTGCATCAACTAGTGGTAATTGCCATTTTGATCAATAATCAATATTTGTCATAAGATAATTGTTAAACTAAAAGTTATTGCAAACGTTCAATTATTTTGCAGGATATTCATCACAAACACCTGTTTCACATGCACAAGTTGTTCCATTTTTATCATCAGAAACAAATGCTACGGGTCCTTTGCTTAATCCAAGTAGAATATTTGATGAAGATTGTATATCTGAAGATACTCTTGTCCAAGATCTTATATATTCATTTCAAGGTATTGAAGGGAAAGTATTGAAATTGGACACTAACTATGGCTTCCAAATAGATCCAATAGCCAAAATAAATCGTTCACAAAAACAAGCTGTGCTACGACTTAGTGAACTTGGATATCTGTATAATATTATTCAACGAGGACTGAGTAGAATGTCAAGTGGATCTCATGGTAGAGTAGCAGATAGCTTTGTTGCTGCTCTTCACAAAGAATTGTCAGAATATTATAGATTTATAGCCAATGCCCAAGAAGAAATAAACAGGGTAAAAGATCCTTTGGGACTAGACAGAGTGACTCTATCTCATTTACAATTATGGGCTTATAATCCTCTTGAGACACTCAAGTGGCTTGCAAGTATTGTTAGAGCCTGTGCTGGCCAGACTGGAGGAGCCCTAGCTTCCGCTGTCTATGAATTTAGTCATCATGGTGATCCCAGAGTAAAAAAGTTAGTTAAAAAAATATTAGAAAGTGTTTCAGATCCTCTGTACAATATGCTTCTGAGGTGGATAACAGATGGTGAATTGGATGATCCATACAAAGAATTCTTTATCGAATCATGTGCTGAAGTAGCTGGAGAAAGAATGTGGCATGAAAAGTACCAAGTAAGAGATTCTATGGTACCGTCATTTATTAGTAGATCACAAGCAAAAAAGATTCTTGGCACTGGGAAAAGCATAAATTTCTTACGAGAAGTTTGTAAAGATTTCTCTCCCCTTAATACTCGAGAAGCTGAAGTATTTCACGATCCTACTGCTAGGCCTGGAGGTGATTGCTTTTAATGATTACAAACAAGCACACTTTGAACATTTTTGCAATACTATTGATTTACAGTTGAAGCTTTTTTTGATATGGATCCTGATGGGCCTCTACAAACTATAATGGATGTGGCTTATAAAGAAACATCTACAAGAGTTGTAGACATCTTAACAAAACAATATCATTTGATGGATCACTTGCAAGGTCTTAAAGGGTACCTGCTTCTGGGACAAGGACACTTTGTTCAGCATCTTATGCATCTCCTTGAGTGAGATTTTGCAAATGCATTGTTTTTTTCTTTTGACAAAAAAGCATATATTTTTAAAATGTTTATGCTCCATAGGCCAGAACTTGCTAAACCTGCTAATTCTTTATATCCACATCATATTTCATCAATTTTGGAAACAGCCATACGGGCTACTAGTACTAAATTAGATGAGTTAGATGTTCAAAAAAGATTAGACGTTCGATTATTGGCTCCATCAGAAAATGAATTAGGCTGGGACGTTTTTGCTCTCGATTATAATGTAGACGGACCCATTGGAACGGTGTGCTATTTTCTTTTAAAGTTTCACTCCATATTGGTAATTTTAAACACTGTAATGTTTTAATTTAAGATTTTGGAGCCGAGTCGTCAAATTTATCAAGCAGTATTTTTTTCATTGTGGCGAGCAAAACGAATGGAAAGTATTCTCTCAGCTATTTGGAAACAACAAATCACATCTGCAAAATTATTTAGGAAGATGCCAGAAATCACACCTATACAGAAGCATATTCATTTAATAACTAGCAGTATGGTTCATCTTGTTCACCAAATGCAATATTACTTTTTATTTGAGGTAAAAAATTCGGATTTCTTTTATAAAGTTGCAAAATCGTTATACTTAATATTCCATACAGGTAATAGAATGCTCATGGGATGTTTTTGCCAAACAACTTGGACAAGCATCTTCTCTGGATGATATCATTACAGCCCATTTAAACTTCATCAGATCCGTAAGAAGAGGAACGCTTCTTGATGAGCAATCTCAAGTAGGCATAGACGTGACAAAGAATATCGATTCCTATTTCAATGAATTTCTTTGATTTTTAACTTAGGAATTGATGAATCATCTTCGTTCTGTATATGGACCAATACTGGAGCTCCAAGGTCTGGAAGAAACTTTTTTGGCACGCGCTACCGCAGAGTATGAAGCAAGAATCAAAACTGAAAAATTCATTGTAGAAGAAAGTGAAAATAAAAAGCAATGGGGAACTTCAAAAAGTAAAGACGATGAAGTTACTGAAAGAAAATCTTTGTTCTTGAAATATTTAAATACACTGTCAATGAAATTGAAGTTATTGTCAAGAACATATCAGGTAAATTGAAATTCTTACTTTCAATTTTAAATTACGAGTAATTATAAGCTTTAACAGTAAATATTTTGAACAGGATCGCGTAAAAAAATTTTTATTGATGTTAGCTTCTGCAGAAGATGTTTCTTTACAGTTGTTAAGTGTTCGACTAGATTTTAATGAGTATTATATAAGCAGAGATAGCCGTTTGGTAGCTCCACTCACATATCAGCATCGGCGGCAAAGTGATCAATTGTTCCTCACTGATAAGTGACAAACAAAATCAATAAGTCAAAGTAATATCAATAGAAGTCCCTTTCCATTATTCAGACCAACTTTAACGTTAGATGTTAGTAGTTGTACCATGCCCAAAGGAGAAAGATGTGATTTAAGCAACATTGAACTTACTAAGCAAGTTTTCAGGAGCTCTTTCGAAAACGAATATCTCGTGGAGGTAAAGAAAAACTTTCAAGAAAATAATTCCGAAGAAGAAATACCACAAACTCCAGATCATGGCGATTTAGATTTTCAAGTGCCATTAGTCAGGCTCCAAATAATGCCACTAGAAAATTTTGAAACGGTGATAGATGAGAAAATAAAACTTTACTCTGAAGAAAATGAAATTATAAGTTTGAAAGTTGAATCTCATTTAAATATGACAGAAAATCATTTTTCCCAAGAAAATTTCTTTCCAGGAAAAAGCAAAAAAACTTTAGTCAATTCTTACAGTCGTACTTCACTTATACAGTTGTCCGATTCAGTTGTTCAGACTTCTCAGACTGAATTAGTATCTCAAACCATGTCAAATGCAAGAATTAGCACCGTTTCGAAAGGTCCTCGCGACTTGGAATCGCAAAATTTGTTACCGTCTGAACGAGCTAAAAAGAGGAGAATAATTTTTTGCTGCGTTGGATAACATCCATTCAACAATAATTGAGCTTTAGCCTTATCATGCCATTACTATAAGCTGTGATTATTTAGTTATTAAATATTCGGACATCAATTTTAACAATGAGAATTTTGATATTGTTTGCACACATTAATAGCCACAATATTTTTATAATATACCATAATTAATGTGTCTTACCTACAATTAAAATTAGAAAAAGTATTTTGAAAATCTTACTCCATATTCACTCTAAAGCATGCATGTACATTCGTATAATCAACAATAATGTATATCAAGATAATGTACTTTTTATTAATTTTATTAATTTGATTGATCCATAGCTCTTGTTATTTTAACTATGGAAATTTATATACAATGGATTGTTCGGCTTTTCATAACTGAATAAAGATTAAAACAGTTTGAGTTGATAAAACTTTTAAACAGTTAATTAATTATTTAATATTATCATTAATGTAATGACAAGTTTTTGCATGAGTTATTTTATATTTTTGATTGGAGTATAAAATGTTGCCAATAATATTTTTATTCTTCATCTGCTTCTAGATTTATATTGTTACCAAACTTAGCATATAACTGTGCTTTCAAGTCAGACATAACACTTCTCAGTTCAGTGCACTTTTCTTCCAGAACAACAATGTCTTTTTCTGTTTTCTTTTTAGCTTCTTCCAAACAACTCTGTAAATAATTGTATGATTATGAGAAATACATAAGATTTATCAAAATAATTGTATTAGTGAAAAGTTGTTGAAATTACTAATGTTTTGGTCAAATCTTGACTGACAAAAATTTCTCCTATATGATATGGGATTTTAGCATCATCGTCGAACAATTCTAATTCACTTACAGCATCGTTTAAATTTTGTAGATCATTCTAAAACGTATTCATCAAATAATTGATTATCAGTTTTGATGTGTGAAAGACCTTATAAGGTAATGGTGGTAAAAAAGGAAATGATTCATAGTTTATTTTATATTTTATATAAAATAAAATGCATCAACTTACTTTTCTTTGTTTAAGCTCCTCTTTGAAGTCTTCCATTTTTGCATTTTGCCTGGCAAACTTGTTGATTTTTTGTTGATCTTCAAAAGAAATATGAACATCGGAGTCCTAAAAATAAGCAACATGTTTTCTAACCTCTTTAATAACTATTTAAGCCATTTTCTTACAGGTTGAAATCCTGATTGTGCTGCTTTTCCTCCAGCCATTATTTTGTTTATTCAGTTAAAATGAATCTACCGATGATGCAAGTAAAAGCCAATACTTTAAATATAATAAATATAACATCAAATAAATGTTCTGTTATGCTGGTTTAATATCTAACATAGTCGGCAGTCCGCAGATTTCATTCAAAATTTGACTCAACCTGAGTGAATGTAGTTGCGTTTGATTTTGCGCTAATCTTTGAATTAAACTTTTTATCTAGCAGATTTTTTGTATATAATTTAATTTTAGTCAATAGGTGTTTTAGTGGATCCTCTATCATATCAAATATATTATCTATATTCTAGAAGTAAACAGTAAAATTATTAATTTTTCTAACTATATACATATATCGCTTCATATTAATTAGTTATCAAAAAGAAAAGATTTATGCAGCTATCATTGTTATTACAGTTTATCTAATTTGCAAATATGAAGAAAAATCCATATAACTTGGACGTTTTTTAACGAGCGTGAACGGCTGCATAGAATCATTTTGATAATTTCATTTTACTATTTTATATAATCAGATTTAAAAATTTATTGAGGTTCTTTAAATAATTTCCTTTGAGCAGGTCAAAATATATCCATTAATTCTTGCACTTAATATTTTACTGGTAAATGATACATATAAAAAAGTATTTTAAGATAGTTGCTGAAAAGGACAAGTGGACTCGGAATCAGTCGTCTATTATTTAATAATCTGTCTATGTACATATATAATAATGCGACTACTATATGACAAAAATAAAAGAACGTCGTTGGATTGTAGGAAAACAATCAAGGCCACTTAAAGAACTGGTACATAAACGACTAGCCGTTCCCTTATCGCCTTGGGTAAATGAAATTTTTTAAAGTTATTCACAGAGGAACGCGGATCAGATCCTTTGCTCTCTCTTACTTGCTCTTCTCTCATATTACTAAAGACAAGTTATACCAACCCATGCGCGCGCACATCCCTTCTAATATAACCTGCTCGTAACCGTAAGTCGTAATCGTACGTTCATGTACGCACATGCATACACATGCACAAGGCCGCTAGAACAAACTGCGACTGCCAAGAGAAACGCGTAACCTGCTGTAGTGGTACAATACGGCGGATATACGACTATTTGGACAGCGTGTGAAAAGTCATTGACACCCTTCTAGGAGACAGCGACCCGGGCTGAAAAAAGTCTGCTGTTTTCGTTGCTCCGTTCGATCTTCGATCTGTCTGCGTGATCGCAGCGTCGCAGTCGGGGGTCTGGGCTCGAGGACAGCATTGTGAGAGAGAAAGAGAGAGACAGCACGTAGCGGCGGCGCCATATTTCGCCTGAGTCGCGCAGAGAAATCGTGTTGTGATAGCATGTGCCGCACGGATGGTGTTGCTGCCGACGTGCTGCTAGAGTTGGTGAACTAGGGCACGGGATAGCAGCCTTGAGCCCAAGAAGGCCTGAGCACAGCAGAGGACTTCCTCGTGAATTGTGACGTGACGAGCTATAGCAGCAAGTGCCTGCATCTCTGCTACTCTTCAGAGCAAGCTCTGCCCTGTGGTCGGCACGTAGAATGAGCAGCGAGCAAAATCCTGCAGCCTCCTCGGACAGCAGGCTACCGACATTTCCCGCTCAAGCCATGGGCGACGTTCTTGCTAAGGAGCACGCTGATTATTCGACCGATCACATTGTCCAGGTGCAAGCCGAGACAGCACCATCGCAGCCGGCTCAGCCACCTCTCATCACAACCGGTCCATCTCCCGTGAAATTGCTGGCCGGACTGACACCCCTTGACGATGATGATTCTCGACCCGAGTCACCTGCTACGCAGGTATGCCTTTTTACAAGATGATACACGGATGGTGCGATTGTTTCTAACTGTGTATGCCTTGGCATACAATTTTGTAAAAGTATAATTCTTGTCGAATGCACTAAGTTCATGATTCATTACTACCTAAGCTATCGGGCTCTGTTAATATTGTCATTGGTTTTCAGAGCTCGGAAACTAAAGAGGACAGGTTGTCAACCGAGGTGGTGCTAAATGAACAAAACTCTATAGAGAATGGTGAAGATTCTGCGACATCAGATAATGATGACCAGTGTCAAACTGCCAGTACCACTACTGACGATTTATGTAATTGCGAGGATTGTAATTGGAGGAAGAAGTAAGCTGTTTATTATTCTCACTTTGACTTATTATTCTTGTCTTGACAATTCTGTTTCAAGTGTATTACAAACATTCAATGTATTTTAACATTGATTGCAGAGATCTGTCATCTGAAGACTTACAGGAAATGATGAAGTTACGGCGGCTTGGGATGGATTTAAGACAGTACATACGTTATTCGTTCAATTGGTACTTGGAAAATCCTGGATTTGCAAACCATCTGCCTGTTCCCTTAATACCTCAGGAACTTGAAAGTAGCAATGCTATTAAGAGTTTCACTGAACTTCAAGAATCTGTAGCTTTGTATGTATTAATTGATTTATTTTCAACTCACTAGATTTACAAGAAATACATGATACATGAAAAGTGCTCTGTTTTCAGACTGTGCGATAGAATTCCTTGCCACCTGTTTATGTGGTTAGTGGGTCAAGCACAGGAGTTTGTGATAGGTGTTAAAGTTCAATTATTAACTCTTTTATATGACAGAAGTATTGATAATCTTGCAGAAGTTTTTTTAACAAGTAGGTATCATGTAAACTTACGTACTATATCTTTCACAGATTTTTCAAAATAACATCTCTTAAATGGTTTACAGAATTATTAGATGGCTATGATGCATTGTTATCCACTGCTGTACATATTACGGATTTATTAGAACCCCTTCAAAAAGAACTCCTGAATAAAGTCGATTTATCTTGGGAGCAAATCAACAAAAGACTTTACCAAAATTATGTTTACAGTGACCCTCTGATACAAAATAATTTGCCTCCATTTATAGGACAGGTAATATTATTTTTTCATGGAAGTTTCTACTCATGTTAAATGTTATTGAATAAAAATATTAATTTTATGACAGTTAAGGAAACATTTGTCAATAAAAAGTTCAGAGTACCATGACCTTGTTCATCGATACCTAGGATTTGATGATGAAATAACAAAAATAGGACCTTTATCTCCAGAAATCGAACGTTTAATTGACAAATACAAGTACGTGATTTTCATTCAAAACTTACTTACATATCTCGTGTTATTCATTTGATTTGACAAAAAAATGTTAATTGCAGTGCTGAGCAAGTAACAGGTTCAGTAATGAAAAAAGTGAGAGAAGACTTTGAAAGATTTAAAACAAGATTAAAACATGACGAATCAAGTTCAACTACAGATTTTACTAACAAGAGTTTTATTGCAAAAGAAGAAGAAGAAGAAGACGAGGAGGAAGAAGAGAAGGAGGAAGACAGGTATCTCTATAATTCATTTTATAAATTTAACATCTGGCAATCATATTTTGTATGTTTTATTATTTTTTTAGTGTTAAAACTGGCGTAATAGAAGAAGTATTAGATAATAATTCAGATTTTCAATCCTGTTCATTACCTAATGCTATTGAAATTCAAAGCATGTTTAATGATTGGAAAAAATCTCCACAGCAGAGGCTAGCGGATTTAGTTGAGGCATTGACTTTGTCTACAGCCGACGAGGACAAGTCCAATATTATGAAAGAAGGAAAATGTTATTCTGCTTCTGGAGAAAAAATAGCAAAAGATAACATAAACCAATCCGTTTCTTGTGAAAAAGAATCTTGTAATTGCAACTCGATTGTTGGTTCCATTGTAAATTGATTTTTTTTCCTCTTTTTATTTTAAAAGTTTAAGTTTAAATTAGAAATTTTTTATATTTTTAATAGGTAAAACATGAGGTTACTCCTAGTTTAGTCAATAATAGCGCTAAAGAGGATATTAATGAATCTAACAATGGAAAAGGTATTAAAACAACTTTCGGTTCTGTTGAAAATTTAAATTCTTTAAACAAATCTCATGCATTACTATAGGATTTATCACTTCATGATTATATTTATAGATCCTACTTCGATACCTCCAAATTTAGAAAAGCAAAATACTGACTGTTGTACAGAGCCTGTTAAAAAAATAACAATAACTGCTCAGTCAACGCAAATTCAAACTAGGCACAGTACAACACAAACGACCAGCATTAACCATAGTCAAAACAATTTGCATCGTCATCATCATCAAGGTAGATGTAAGTATTGGAACGTTACTCTTTCGTGCATTTTCATACTTCAGCATATATTATTAAACATTACTTTCAAATGATTTCATTTTAATTGAAAGACCAATGAGGTACTTCCGTAATTGTTAAAAGCTTGTTAATGCAACCGAATTTTCATATGTATGTGAATCGAAAACCATAGAACCAAATATTGAGACTCTAGAAAGAGGTACATATATATCGTGTTTCGAATTATTGATTGTTGTACAGGTTCTTCCCATACTCATTTGCATGGAAATTTGACCAATGGTGTAATTAAATCCTTTGGTCCACAACGAACGCATGTAGCTCATAACAATCATCCATCAGCAGCAGTAACTTGTCATAAACAACAGCATATTGTCGAACATATTAAACGATTATCAACCAATGATTGTAAATACTTTTGATCTATTAAAAAAAATTTTTTTGTTCTTGTCACCCCCACATAGTACAGAATTCCAAAGACATATAACGCTCAGTTTTATGTCTGCTATTTATAAGTATACAAAAGCTTGTGCTATATGGGCTGTTAATTTTTTATTATTCATTAAAATTGAAATGGTATCGAAATGTCAGTTTCAAGAAATATATTTATCATTTTTAGTGAGTCCTAGAGAAAATGGTGACTATTCAGATTCAGCAAGTAGTCATGATGATTGCTCAGCAACAAACAGTCCAACTCCGAGGGATTCGAACCGCCACTGTGATTGTTGTTATTGTGAAGTATTCGGACATGGAGTGGTAAATGTTTGAGATAGAATTGTGATGTCTGCAACTGAACACATAAATCTAACATGAAAATTGTGAATTTTTCAGCCTTCTGTAGCTCCTGTTAGTCGTAATTACAACGAAATGCGAGAGAGGCTCCGGCAACTTCTGTCAAAGAAAAAGGCTAAAGTTTGCGTGTCATCTTGTAATACACGGCCAAAAAATTCTGCAGAAGTGTCGTCATCTTCTCCCTCGTTGTCATCATCTTCGTCAACGTCGTCGACGACAACAAACATTGATGCAACAACATTGCCTAATCCTGCTTCAAAATCGTTACCACCGATCGCGAAAAATTCAAACGCCTTTGCAATAACCGCGGCCAAAGTAAGCAATGCCACTGCTACTGCTGTTCCTACTGTTGTACTCAAACCAAAAGAAGAGAAATGGGATTTGGAGGCTGCTGTTGAGTTTATTGAAGGTAATCAGAGTGGTAAAAAAAACACTAAAAAGGCTGAAAAGAAGGCTCGTCAGAAGCAGAAAAAGGTGGTTAATTTTGTATTCAGTATCTGTTCTATCATACTCACTTTTATTTGATATAATATATTGTTCAACGCATTATAGCTGGAGGAAAAATTGAAAAAGGATAAAGAAGAGGAAGAAAGGTTGAAATTGATAGAGTTACAAAAAAAAACACCTGAGGTAACAATAACTGTAGTCAATCCTCAAAAGCAAGGCTCTCAAAAAGCTATGTCACAACAAAAATTACCCGAAGTGTCGATTTTGCCTGCCAAGTCGACGCCACAGTTCGCACTTTCCTCGAAGCTAGCTAATTCAGCTAAGAAGAAAAATAACGAAGTGGTTAGCAACACTAATAATAAAAATGCTAGTAAAACTAAAACTACTCCGGTTGTAGCAGCTTCGGAAGGTGCGAAAAAGAAGACTGCTAGTGTAGACAAAAATAATGAAGTATCTAACACGATTAATACCAAATCGAAGACGACCGGAAAAATTCAAACAAATGAGGTTATCACCCCGCCGCTCGTAGACTTTAGTAACTTGACGAAGAAAGAGAGAAAGAAATTGAGACGAGAAATGGAAAAACAGGAAGCGCTGAAAAAGGAGCTTGATGGCAAACAGTCTGGAAACTCTTCAGAACAATTGCAGATCGTTACAATTAAACGAATAATGGAGTCTATCAATTCTGAGCCAACTGTCACTATCACGTTGAAGGGTCAAACGCCAGCTGAAGATCGAGTTCTGTTTACCCTGGTTAATGGTCAGACGAAAGACTCGTCCGGAGATAAGCAGCAACAGTCGACTGGCAAAAAGAAGAAAAACAAGGCAAACAGTTCGGCCAGTCAACAACAGGTTCAAACTGCCAATAAATCTCAGCAGCCTACCAGCAGTACCAACAATGTAAAATCTGAAATTGTTCAAAAGACGAATTCAAAGGTTGCCAACTGTCAACAAACGAATAAATCTAAGACTGGAAAGCAGCAAGAAGAACCAAAACCTCGTCAACAGCCAACACTTACTGCTGCTGAAGTGAAAGCCACCAATGCAAAGTCCAAGAAAGATAAAAAGAAAAATAATAATGAGAATAAAGAAAATATTAAGCAACTCGTCAATGAAAGTTCTCAAAAACAAGAAACTAATTCAGTCAATAAAAAATCGAACAAGGTAAAAATCTAATTTTCTATGAATTTCTCTTTTTAGAATATTTGCGTCCATTTCAAAAATACAACGAAATCGAATTTTATTTTTAGGCTGGTACGGCTCAAACAGTAGCCAAACAGCAACAACAGATACAGCAAAACTCGAATTCAAATAACAAGAATGCTAAAGTTACTAAAAGTCAAAGTCAAAGTCAAAATCAGACTCAAGCTCAAAGCCAAAACCAGAAAAAAAACGTAAATACCAATCAAATAAATTCTAGTAAAACTAGCAATAATCAACAGAGTGGTACGTCATCTAAATCAGACAATCAAAAGACACAAAAAGTGAGCCAAAACACGGTAAACAAACAAAAACAGATCGCTGAAGTTGCTCAGATACAAAGAAAAGAGCCCATCGATCCTTCCATAAACAGGAAGTTAAATAACGCACCAGCTACGATCAGCATTGAAAATTTGAAACTTCCTCCTGGCATAACTATAACAAAAGTTGACGCACCAGCCAAACCTATTTCCATCAAAACGAACAGCGCTCCGAAACCTGCCAGCAGTGTGCCTAAACAGACGACAATCATCGCTGCACCGATGAGCGGTATCCAAGCAACGGGTTACGGCAATCCTCAGGGTACTGGCAATGTTATCGTCGTTGATACAGGCAGACTTAAGCAAGATTTAATGCCGAAGAACGCAGATAAGGGTGAGTGGCATTACGTTATTGGTTAAAAGCTGTCATTACACTTTCAGTTGGTAATATTGACTCTTATTACAGATGCAAATAATCAATCGATGACTTCGAAGAAGAAGAAGAAAAAAAAGAAGAGCGCAATCACAAGCAACGGCACTGATAAAGTCAGCAGTCCCGCTCCCGGTATGAGAAATGTCTACGCCAATGATTATCCGAGTATCGAGCCAGCGCGAATTCTACACAATCCGTCTACAAACATGGTGACTATAAGAAATCCAGCATTCGGACCACCGCCTTCGAAAATGGAATCATGCCCGAACCAAGCGGCTATCATTAAAGTTGGCGATAATGGCATGGTGACCATCCGTAGTCCGGCACTTCAGCAGGCTATAAACATGGGATTAACACCGTCGCCGAAGCCCGATTTCGTAGTCAAAGGAAGCGCCAACTCCCATGAATCTTCAAAAGTAAAAAGAGAACGACAAGCAAAACGAATCTTTTTCATTTATTTTAGAACGAATAATTGAATTAATATCTTTATTTTTCTAGCCCATTCACAATAATTATATGAGCAGCAGCGAGTTGTCTGGCACTATGAGAGGCTCCAATGGGATACCTGTGTCGACGGACCTGGCAGAGTTGCGCAGAAGACTGGCCCAGCCACCGGAGAATGATCGAAATTCTTCAACGCTTTGTAACAATGGCCTCTCCAGCATTCAGATCAGCAAAGTCACCAATGGCCAATCACCAAATATCCCTGAGAACGGTATCAACTTGAAGGGCACAAGTGTGACGTTAACGAAGATTCGAAACTCTGAAATACCGCTTAATCAACAACAACTTTTTGACGAGACTAAGGGGAATGCCATGAATGGTAGTGTAACTACTAAAAGTCGCAAGAAGAAAAAACGCGGGAATGGAGTCCGACAAGGCGGTGATGACTGGAATCTCGTTGGTGAGAAAGAACACTAATACTAATGATAGAAGCTTTCTAAATTTTGTCAAAGGTTCACTTTTTGACAAATTTTTATATTGTTTACCAAAGAAACACGACTAAAAAAATGATCAAAAAGTGACCTTCGTTCTCTTAGCTCTAGTTTCTTTTTCTTTTGCTTAGTATAAGTCTTTCACAGATAATTTACTATTTCTACGTTTGAAAGACAAACTTGTGTGATATTAGAATCTAAAATATTTATTACTCCATAGACGACTGTCTATAAAATAATAACTCTGATGATAAGATCTTCTAACTAAAGTACAAAGACGTGCATATTTAACGCTCGTGTTTTAGAAAGTGTTTTTATGAAATTAATTTTTGTACATAGTAATTGTATTTTTTTAGTATTTTCAAAATATTAATAGAACTTGATATGCGATTGAAGACGTGTTATGATACAGAATATTTGATATCATTATTTAGTTTTTTACATTTCTGTATTTGCGTTTATTCAAAATTTTGTAACTGTTATATGACGATTTGAATATGGTTTCGTAATCGAATGAAAATAAAAGTGATGAATATTAGCCTCTAAAAAAATTTTTTTTATCAATTCTAAACTCCATTACTCACGTCAGTGCTTCTAGAGTTTTTTACTATTTCAAAATTAAAAACAAAGTAATGTTTTCGAAAAGCTGCAACAGGCCGAAAGTGTGGCATTAATTATACGCGAAGGTGGAGTCAACAAAAGAACGAAATTAAAAAACGAAATGAAAGAAAGTAAAAAGGGGGAGGAGGGCGAGAAACGGTTCCTGCAGATTTGACGATGTTTCTGCGGGTGTTTTTACGGTTGGGCTTAAAATAGAAAAAGGGCTTTTGCGCGCAGACGAGGGCGACAAATGTGCAACAGATGCCTCCCCCCCCCCCCTCTTAGTCTAGCTTCGCTTTCTTTCGCTTTTTCCGCGGCACTTTTATCCTGATTGGCCTAAGATGCTTCATGGGCACAAAAGCCATCTCAGTGATGCAAGTGCTGTGGAGCCATTGAAATGCAAGCCCGAGATGCGAGTATACTCAATCTGAAATTCGCTCACAAAAAGTACGAAGCAAGTAAGAGCGATAGGGGAAAAAGTGCTCCACACGAAAAGTTGGCGCTACTTTGAAACTGTGTTCGTTTGGGCAGTATGTCGTGAGATTGCGCGCGATAAATGGTTTTGTGAGAGAATGTCAATATGAGCCTGGCTGTCTTTTGCAGAGAGCGTATTCACGCCGAAAGACATAGACCTCGAGGACGGCGAGATGGACGACGCGGAGCGTGAACTCGAGGCGTTCAAGCGCTTCTGTCTGCAGTCTGTGCCACCACCACGCAAGGAGAAGGTCAACCTCAATCTCAAGGACATCGTCCTCAAGAAAAAATCCTCGGCGGGCCAAGCCAACGCCCCCGTGCTCGCGGCTATCTAAGCTTCGGACCGTTACTGGCAGCCACCTCCTATTCGTCGACGGCCTTTTTTTCCTCTTCTAAGTTGTATTATCATCGAGCTCACTTGAATTTGCAATTGTGCGCCGAGTTGCCTCCGTATGCTCTCTATTCCAGACGACAGACGACGAGGCTGCAACCCCCCTCATCAACGATCTTTTACTTTCCTAATCTCCCTCCCTTCTCCTCTCTCTCTCTCTCTCTCTCCCTCTCCCTCTCCCTCTTTCTCTCTATTCCTTCTCTCTTCCTTCCTCCCCTCTCTTCGACTCGTAGTTGTTTAATGTAAACGTGTAACTGCCACAAATGCGACAAAAGTTGCGTCTCTGTTAGGAAAAAATCTATCGAACCATTTTGTAGATTATGGTTCTTCGACTATTGTTTCAATTGTAGATACGCCACTGCACGTGCTATTTAACGTCGCGAGAACACGAGTGTTTTTATTATCAGACGACAAAAGCGACTTTTGCTATCTCTAATACTGTTATCACCGTGTACTACTGTGCGTAAAAGACGACAGATATACTTACTTTCAACAACTGTGTCTTAGACTGTGAGATAGGCATTTGTAATTGTCATACCTCAGCTGGAGGAGGACGGACCACTCTCAGATCTGTATTATGATCTACAGCGCAAGGAAAATAATGTTTTTGAGTGCTCAAAAGCCTCGAAACGTTGAATTGTTGAGCACTAACTTGTACATATAATTTGCAGATTTTTATGAGACGTAAGTTTTCTGAGCTTGAAAATTTATAAAATTAGGCTACTTTTTATGAACATGCTTCAAATTTTTTAAACAGTGTCCAACAGTTCATACAATAATAACTTCATTTGCGAATACATATACGTGTAAATCGGTGCACGTAGACGTATACATACTATGCTACGTAACTCTGTGACGATACGAGAATTACTGTAACAGTGTAAAAAATTTGCAAGTATTTTTCAAGATTAAATAAACATTTTGTCTACTTGAAATAGTTTGCAAAATGATCGTGTGGCCTCTACGGAGCGACGATGATGATAGCAGTCATCATCATGATTCACATAGGCGACCTGCAAGTATTTGAAAAATATACATATATATATTTTTTTTCGAGAATAACGGCGACGTTGATTATCGTTGCGACCGTCTCTTACGTGAAAGTAAAAAATATCGAAAAAACCTGTTTTTTGTATTAATCTTTTTTACTTTAGTTTCGAAACAACATTGTATGATATTTTGTTTATTGTGAAATAAATGAAAGAAATTGTTTAGGTGGTAAGATGTGCGTGGTGATGATGACGAAACTGATGAGACTTTATAACCAGTCATGTTCGCTTTCTACTTGTCGAAGAAAGTCATGCGATGTTAAGTTTGTATTAAACGAAAAGTTGTCATGAAGGCAATTTAGGAGAGAATAAAGTAAATCCTGTAAAATTCTTGACCAATGATCAGCTATGTACGCGTACGTTGTTTGCACACATACACGTATACGCGTACATATACACATATACATACACACACTTACACGTGACAAATGAATCAATGATACGCAGGGACAAAAGAGAAAAGCTCTAAGGAAAAAGAAAGACACGTACAGTAGTTGTAGCAGCAGCAGCAACAGCAGCAGCAGCGAGACTCGATAAGATGAGCGAAAATGTGTAAATTTTGTTCTTCTGGAAAAGAAAGGAAACTGTACTAATAAAATATTTGTGGAGTTTTAAGGAAAGCTGACGAATCCGCGGATACGTATTCGAGGAGAAACGTGGAATACAACATTGATAATTGTTGGCATTTCATAATAGATCTTAGTAAAATAAAACTGTATTATAGCATAGCTTTTCATACAGAAAGATACATTTCGTGAAAAAGGAAGAGCAAAGCTTGTATTTATTTTGATTTGTATGCCCCTCCGATCCGATCCTCGTCCGAATCTGGCACGCTATTCGATTGGACAGACAACGACTGGAGATGGAGCGATAGAGAAGGTTCGAGTCGAATTGGAGTGACGAAGAAACGAATGGACTGCAGTGCAGTTATTCCGTAGAACGAGGAGGTAGACGCAAAGTGGCAAGCAGGGTTGAGACGAGCGGACTGGTGAGCGGAGTGGAGGCAGGTCGCGATTTTAATTGGGACGAGGAGGAGTAGCGCGCGGAGAAAGATGAGCTAATCGGGGGAGAGGAGGCTGCGGCGAGCAGCAGGACGGATGTCAGCAGCGGGAAGCAAGCGCACGCGGGCTAAAATTACTCGGCGTGCAGCAGCCGCGCAGCTACTGCACGGGACGCGTTTCCGACCGGTTGTTTACTTCGCGGCGAGGTTCGAGCATCTCTGAAAAATTGACGCGCTCCGAGCTAAATTTGTCGGATTATAGCTGGGGGCTCTCGTTCCAAATGACGTTTGATTGGGGCTGAGTAGCGCGATAGGTGCGGAGAGCGAGGCGCGCAGACAGGAAGGACTGCTGGCTACGTGGCTATACATCGCGCGCGAGCGGCGATCTTGACAAATCAAAGAGCGCTTATACAATCGACGATAAACTTCCGCGCGCACGTCGCTCGTTGTCGTCTTCCATGCGGCCTCGCTTCCGATAGGACGCTCCCGCCGGCGGCCAGTGCCCACAGCCTCCGGCGCGCTGGCTTCCGGAGGAGCGGCGCGCGCCCACCTAAAATTAGACTTGGGGACAGCGGCGGCATCGCCCCCTCGGGATCAATGCATCCCGAGCAGGTGCGAGCGCGGCGCGCTATTTCGAGCTCGGGTCGCGAGTCGCGAGCGGCACTGACTTCACGCGGAACAGCCGGCCTGACAGCTCGGCTCGCTCGGCTCGCTCGGCTCGCTCGGCTCGCTTGGCCAGCCGCGCGTCGCACGCCGGATCGCCGCCGACCGACAGCGTCTTTCGCCGGGAGCTCGATGTCGCAGCCACCGCAGCCACCGCAGCCGGCGGGGGGGGCCGTCGCCGAGGAGCCGCGCGGCACAGGTGGGCCAGCGCCGGCGGCCGCGTCGCTTGGTTAAGGCCGCGCGCTTTGCAGACGGCGAGCGCGCCAAGGCGCCCGGCGACGGTCCCGCGGACGGGCCGGTCCCCAAGGCCGGCGCCGCGGCCAGCCCGCGCGCCAGCAGCGCCAGCCAGCAGGACATCTGCCGCATCTGCCACATGGGCTCGGCCTCGCGGCAGAGCTGCGCCGGCGCGCCGGCCGCGCCCGGGCCGCTGGTGTCGGCGTGCCGCTGCCGCGGCAGCGTGGGCCTGGTGCACGCGCGCTGCCTGGAGCGCTGGCTGACGGAGAGCGGGCACACGCGCTGCGAGCTGTGCGGCCACCGGTACGCGGCGGTGCGCGTGCCGCGGCACGGGCCGCTGCGCTCGCTGCTCGCCTGGACGCGCGGCTTCGTGGCCACGCGGCAGGTAGGCCGGCGGCCGCCGCCGGGTCGCGCGCCCGCGCGCCTAACGTCGCCGCGGCCGCCGCCAGATGCTGCTGGACGCGCTCTACCTGCTGGTCAGCACGCCGCTGGCCGCCTTCTCCGCCTACGTGTGCGCGGCCACGCTGAGCATGGCGCTGGACAGCCGCCTGGACGAGGTGCCCTGGACGGTGGTGGCCCTGCTGCCCACCTGCTCGCTCACGCTCGTCGCCTACTGGGGCTGGCTGCTGACGCTGCGCAGGCTGCACGGCCGACGCTGGCGCCAGCACTGGCAGAGCAACTTCGTGGTGCGGCTGCTGCCCGATGCGCTGCCCGACGAGGAGCCGCGCGCCGCCGAGCCGCGCGAGGACGACGACTTCTACGACGAGCTCTACGACGACCTGCCGGAGCTGCTGGAGCTCATCTGACGCCAATAAACCGGCCGAGCGCCTCGACGAAAAGCAGCCCTGTGCTTTCACTCGCGCCGCCGCCGCCGCCCATCCTCGGCGGGCTCGCTTTCGCCGTGGTCGCGCGTCGGCGCTGCGATGCGCCGGGCCGTGGGCGCCTCGCGGTCTGCTGTTATTTCGGGAGCGCCGCAGCGGCGAGCCCTTCGGCCAGCGGAGCGCCCGCATGCGACAGCAGCGCGGACTCCACTCGTCTTCCACCGCGGCTCTCGTCGATGCTGGCTGTCCGATTCATCTCGAGCGCTCGCAATGGACGAAACTCGGCGGCGGGCCTCGCGCGTCGGTCGCTCGCTTCGCGCGCAGCACGGCCAAGGGGGGCTCTTGGGCTGTGAGATCCCCGGCCGCCCAGTGCGGCCAGGCGGAAACGATGCCTCGCCAGTATGCGCGTTTCGCGGAGCCGAGTCCGATCGCGGATGCGGGAGGCGACCGGGCCGCGCGATCGATCTCGACGGGAAATGCCAAGCGCGTTTCGCCGCCACTCGAGAGCCTACCTCCAAACTTACTCGCCGAATATTTGGACTCTTCTAAACTTGGCAGGCGCTCTGAACAAATAATTGGAAAAGCATTGAGCTAAACATCCTGCGTCGATTAGCCTGCTTGGTTATAACTGTTGGCGATGCCGCCAATGCGAGCGGCAAGCGAGAGGCAAGCGAGAAGCGCGGTATTTTGACGATTTGACGAAAAGCACGGAAGGGGCCGTTTGGGAGCCGGCCGAGGAGAACCGAGGCAGTGTAATAATAGCGATGGCGCACTTGCCATGCGCCGACGGGCGCGATCGGAGCTCGCTGATTTTCGGCCTCGCGCGCTACCATCGAGAGGCGAGCGCAGCGCTTTCCCCATTCGACAAGATCAAGGTTGCGCGCGTGTGTCGGCGGCGCCGGCCATTCGCAGGCTAATTAATTGCCTCGTTGAATCGGCCGTTCAATTGCAGCTCGCTCGATAAAATCTGTCGCGGACAATCGCCGGAAGTGCTTGATATACGTACGCGCGCCTTGCCCGCCGAGAGGAAGACTGGCCGAGCATTCTCAAGCAGTAGCGCGCCTCGTCGAACGCCGTTGCGTCCAAGGCCGCGCCGCCAAGTCGCCAATAGCCGAACGCGCTTTCCTCGTCCGCTGATCGCGGACCTCTGCTGCACGGAACGTCGAGTGAGCTAGCGGCCGAGGGCCGTGCTTCCTTCCTAAAAATCGTTGACTCCACTTGGCGACCAGCTGGAGCCGCTGGAGCGCAATTGGGGGGGGGGGGGGGTGTAAGCGATCGCACTTACCATATTGCCCGACACTGAACTTGTGGCCGGACTAATCAGCCAGGCGCTCACTGTCTAGTCGAGCGCGCGGCCTGCATTTCAATGGGATGTTTGGTATCTATACGAGTGAGCCTGGTCTGCGCTCTTCTCCAACTCTCCAACTCGCACTAAAGATCAGAGGAACGAGCAGATAGATCGGTTATCGCGCTATCCCGACAGCGAGTAACCGCAGGCGCGACTGCCGTCGCAGCTCCCGCGGCGTGTGCACCGTGGTTCCTCCGGATGTACTTGGCTAACGAGTCGACTGCTGGGCCGGATGTCTTCCGGAAAACCCGGCTGAAACGCCGAAGGCAGGACCTGCTCGGCGCGCCGGCGCGGAAGAGGCGCGGAAGAGGCGCGCACAGGAAACGGGAAATCACGCGCGCCAAGGCGGGACTGGTGCCGTGCGCGGACGCCCGCCGAGCGGCGCGGAGCCAGGGATGGCACGCGACCGTTGGCTGCGACGGCCAATTTCCGCTCAGGAAATTTCATTGCGCCCGTCGATCGCCTTGGACGTATCGGAGCGAGGGGCCCGCGACAGGTCTCTCCCGGGAAGACGAGCGAGAGGGAGCCCGCTGCGGACACGTGTTGCCAAGATGCCGGGCTTTGGGCTGCGCTCTCTCTCTCTCTCTCTCTCTCTCTCTCTCTCTCTCTCTCTCTCTCTCTCTCTCTCTCGAGTGTCTCGAGAGCAGCCTCTCGCCAGGCCTCGGGCAGGGGCCGCGGCAGATGGGTCGAGCGGCGGGGAGCCGCGCGCGATCCGCAGTTTTTCAGCCGACGAGCTGCCCATTGTCCCCGCCGCCCGGCTCGCCTTTTGTCTCGCTCGCGCGCTCCCGACTCGGTCGGCAGCTTTTCCGCGCTCGGCCGGACCTCTGGGAACGCGGGCCGGCGCCCGCATGGCCCGTTCCACGAGCGGATCGACGCCCTATCACGGGCAAGCGCAGTGTTTTCGTCCGCGGCCTGCCCGCGCTCGCCGAAGCGGAGCTGCGGCTCGCGCATAAATAGGCGCGATCAGCGACAGTCGACTCGAGCGCGCCTCGCTCGGCAGTGTATTTTTAAGCGCTGTCATCGGCCCGTCCCGAAGAAACGCTCGTCGGCTCGTCGGCTCGTCGGCTCGTCGGATCATCGGAAAAGATCTTCTTTACAGCCGTCGCGGGCGCGTGGATCGTCTTTCAGCCGGCCGAGCGGAAGCCCCGCTCGGCGCGTATAAATAGTCATCCGCGAGCCGGACTTTTTTCACGGCGGCTCGCGCCTCGGAAAAAAGTGGCCAAGTGGCCGTATCCCCGAGCGCTGGGCGCTACTTCCGCTGGAAAAGCCGCGACCTGGCCGGGTGCCCGCGGCTCGACGTCGAGCGCCCGGACAGCGCCCGGACAGCGCCGCGGCCGCGGACGCCGAGTAACGGCACTCGGCGCGGCGACCGCTAATAGCGAGCTCTTTGTGCGCGCGCGGATAATGCGAAAAAGAGCCGCCTATAAATACAGAGCCGATGCAGGCCAGCTCGCGAGCGCCTCGGGCGCGTTGCGCACGTGGCCCCGGGGCGGGGATGGGCAGCGGCGGCGGGCGCGGTGGTGGGGCTGGCCGCGCGAGGGTTGGCCCGCCCGAGCCTGCGTTATTTCGAGCTCGCGCCGACGGCCTGGCTCGGTGGGGCTCAGTTGCCCCGCCGCGCTCCGACTGCTCGCTCGCGCCCTCGCGCCGCGCCCAGTGACGACGACGCTCTGCTACAGTGCTTCGCGCCCGCCAGCGACTTGCGAGACGAGGCCCGCGCCGCAGCCGACGAGCGGCGATGTGCAGCGAGCGGCGCGCCGCTGCTTAGCGTGCCCGCAGCGCCCGACTTTCCGCTGGGTGAGTAGCGCCGCCGACGAAAGCTCGCGTCGCCCGCCGATCGGTGCCGAGACGAGCGCCAAATTGGCGCGAAATTGCCGGCGGCTCGCGAGAAACAATCGGTCGATTGTGCGCAGGCCGCAATTCAGAGTCAACTCTCGCCGATACCGAGCACAATGAGCCGCCTTTGTCCGCGCGAACTCGCGCGAGCTGCAGTTGGCCGGCCGGGCGCGGAAAGCCCCGCTGCTGCAGCTTGGCACGGGGACCGCTGGCGAGGCCCTTGCCACTGGTTTTCGCGCCGAGTAGAGCAGCCCGCTCGAGGGTGCTCGTCGAGTGCCCTCGAGCGCGCCGACAAGCCCGGAAGCAGACGCGCCTCGGAGGTGCAATTAGTGCACTGCGCCGACCAAATCGGCGCGCTCATCGAGATTTCGGTTTATGTAATCGCGGTCTGCCGGCAAACGCGGCGATCCGCCCGCTCGCTCTCTCTCTCTCTCGCGCGCGCGCGCGCGCGCTAATCGGCCAGTGTTCCGCGTAGCTCGTTAAGGCAATTGAGCCAATCTCGCGCACCGCCGCCGCCACCGAGCGCAGCCGAGCGGCGAGTACGTTGGCTCGGCCGCCGCGCGTCCATGCGATCGGCACCGAGCGCCGCCACCTACGCCGCGCACCTACGCATCTCGGCACCAAGGTCGGCCGCCGCGACCGGGTTCGCTCGAGACCATGCGCTCGATCCGGCGGAGGGGCTCGCGTTCGCTGCGCGCGTCAATCCGCGAAAGCGCGCCACGCTCGCGCTCGTATGAAGGCTGCCGTTTGTACGCGCCAAAAGAAATCGAGCAAAAGGAGCAGAGGAGCCAGCGATCGCCGAGCAGCCGAGCGCGCGGGCAAAAAGCGAGTGCGGACTGGCCGCCGCTGCCGCAGCGCGACTGCGAGCGAGTGGCCGAGCTCTTCAGGAAGCTGCTCATTAGGCCGATCAGACACGAAAAGCAAGCAGCCTCTCCCGCCGCAGTGCGTCGTCCGTTGTTTGCACACCCGGCGATCCGTGTCCGCGCGCGGCCAATCGGCCGGCCAATCGCACGGCCAATCGAGAGATTTTCGGCGAGCTGCGCCAGGCTGGCTTTGTGCGCCGCGCGGCGCCGCGAGCGCGCATCGCCGAGGCAGACGCCAGGGAATGCAGCGCTCCGAAATTCGGCGGCAGGCGCGCCGACGACCGAGAAGCCAGAAATGCGCGCGCGCGCGCGCGTCTAAAAGCGTCGCGAGTCTGGCGAGGCGCCAGCCCGAGCGGCTCCGCGCGCTGTTTGTTGACTCTGCTCGGACGATGTTTCCCGTGGCTGAGCGTGCTCTGCTTGCTGTTGCAGGAGGCGTCGATGCGGCCGCGCTGAGGCGATGGACCGAGTAGGCTGCTGCCTCGTGCTGGCGCTGCTGGCCGCCGGCTCGGCCGCCCGCCAGATACGCCTCGGTGAGTTGCCGCCGGCCGCTGCGGACGAGGCCGGCCGGAGCTATTTCGAGCCCGAGCCGCGCAGCGCTGTCGCCAGCGCCGACCCGGGCGCTCCCGCACTGGCCGCTCGCTCGCGGCTCGAGCCGCTACGGGGGACGGGACCGGCGGATCACATCTGCCGCGCAGATATCCGAGATTGCTGGTGGCGCATGCGGCGGCGGCGCGCGCTCCACGGAAATCCCGGCGCACGTGCTGCCCGCCGCCGCGCGCTGCAGCCGACCGAGACTCTATTGGCTGCCGAGGGCAGCGGAACACGCGAGCTCGCTCGAGAGCGCTCTCGACCCTCTTTCTCGCGCTCGTTTCGGCTCGACGGACCTTCGACCGGCCGGTCGCTAGTCGCCGCGACTGGGCCCGCGTGGCCTGCCTGCTCCCCTGTTCCAGAGCGTCGTCCCGTCGGAACGCGGAGGCTCCGTTTCCGACGCCGGCTGCATTCGAGCGTTCGCGGCGGGCTCGGAAACGAGGATACGGAGCAGCGGCGTCGCGCCGACAGCCGGCAACGAGCCCGCGTACGGTGCCCGGCCCCGTCGCGGGCCCGGCCGCGCGTTGCGCTCGCGTCAATCGTTGCGCGCATGCGTTGCGTCGGTTTATTTATCGAGGCCCCGTCGCTAACGAGCCTAGACTGCATCAATGGAATCGACCTACAAGTCAAGGATTATTATCGAGAGTCGCTGAGAAAAAGCCGCTGCTGCCGGCAGCGACGGACCGCTCTCGCCTGCACACAGTCGCACACGTGTGCGTACTTACTCATCGCCGAATACTCTCTCGGCACGCCGGCTAATGCACAAGTATTATTATGATTGGGCTCAATTGTCCAATTGCCGGCTGATTGAGCGAGCCCGGCGAGAGCGCGCTGGTCCGGCCGCTTTATTATTTAACGGACAGGTCGAGAGTCGCTCGCCCCCCCCCCCCCCCGCGCGACCTCACGAGCCGACGCATCCCTGTTGCAGAGGACGGCGCGACCGCGAACGACACGGTGGCCAGCGGCGAGAGGCTGACGATCCTCTGCCCGGCGGAGGGTCGCGTGGCCTGGTACAAGGACGAGCGGCCGTTCCGGTCGTCGAGCGGCCGCGTGCGCGTGCTGCGCCAGCGCCTGCGCTTCAGGGCGGCCGGGCCCGAGGACGAGGGCCTCTACGGCTGCCTGGTGGACGGGGCGCGCTGGCGCCGCGTGGCGCTCCGCTTCGAGCCGCAGCTGGCCGACGCGGCGCCGCCCGCCGACTACGAGGAGGCCGCGGACGAGGCCGAGGGCGGCGACGCCGAGGGCCGGGGCCTGGGCCTCGGCCGCGTCGCCTCGGCGCTGCGGCCCGACGAGCAGACCAACGAGCTCGAGCCCGAGGCGAGAGGTAGGTGCCCGCCGCCCCGCTCCCCGGAGCCGGCCCGCGACTGACGCCGTTGCGACGCTGCAGACAGGCCGCCGGAGACGCGCTCGCTGCAGCTGGAGGCGGCGCCGGCGGAGACCGAGTCGCCGGCCCAGCAGGACGGCTGCTGCGCGCCCCGGCCGGCGCCCGGTGAGCTGAACCACACGCAGCCCGAGTCGGCGCCCGGCTTCAAGGAGCCGCTGCCGGCCATCGAGCTCAAGCCCGCGGGCAACCTGGTGCGGCTGCGCTGCCCGGCCAGCGGCAACCCCGCGCCCAACATCACCTGGCTCAAGGACGGCGAGGAGCCGCGCCGCCCGGCCGGCGCCGTGCACATCAAGAACTGGCAGCTGCGCATCGAGGAGGCGCTCACGAGCGACGGCGGCAACTACACCTGCGTCGTCTGCAACTACCTCGGCTGCGTGCGCCACACCTTCTCCGTGGAGATCCAAGGTGAGTTGCCGGCGGCGCTCGCTCGGTTCGATCGACGGTCTGACGATCTCCTGTTGCCGCGCCGCCGCGACCCGCAGAGAGCGTGAAGGCGAGGCCGATCCTGACCCAGCCGCCGAAGAACGCGACCGTGGCACTGGGCGCCAGCGCCAACTTCAGCTGCGTCGTGTTCTCCGACACGCACAGGCACATCGAGTGGTACCGCGGCTTCCACAGCGCGCTCGACAGCCTCAACCGGACCAACCAGAGCGCGATGATCGAGCCCAAGGTGAGCGCCCCCCCAGCCCGGCCGCCCGTTCGCCCCACTAAGTCTCGCTGCGCAGGCTAGCGGCCCGGAGGCCAACCCCGAGCTGCTGGAGATCCGCAACGCCACCGAGAAGGACGAGGGCTGGTACACGTGCGTGACGGCCAACGCCGTGGGCGTGACCTTCGCCAGCGCCTATCTGCGCGTGGTCGACGGCCTCGAGGAACTGGGGGTCGCGGTCACGGCGCCGCCGCAGTCGCGCACGCTCACGGTCTCGGCCTCGGTGGCATGCGGCGGCTTCGCCTGCTTCACGCTGCTCACGATCTACGTCTACCGGCGGCGCTACCAGCGCGAGCGCCAGAAGAAGCTGCGCGCCATCGAGACGGCGCGCGCCGCCGTGGTCACCCAGTGGACCAAGAAGGTCATCGTGGAGAAGCAGAGCCTGGCAGAGGCGCCGAGCGCGCAGGAGGCGCTGCTGCTGCCCGTCGTGAAGATCGAGAAGCAGAAGTCGGCGGGGCTGGAGCGCGCCGCCGACGGGCGCGAGGCCGGCGGCGCCGGCGGCATCTCCGAGTACGAGCTGCCGCTGGACAGCGCCTGGGAGCTGCCGCGCGAGCAGCTGCGCCTGGGCGAGACTCTGGGCGAAGGCGCCTTCGGCAAGGTGGTGCGCGCGAGCTGCGCGACCGGCCGGCTGGCCGGCTGCGGCGTCGTGGCCGTCAAGATGCTCAAGGAGGGCCACACCGACGCCGAGATGATGGACCTCGTCTCCGAGATGGAGATGATGAAGATCATCGGCAAACACGTCAACATCATCAACCTGCTGGGCGCTTGCACGCAGAACGGGCCGCTCTACGTGGTTGTGGAGTTCGCGCCGCACGGCAACCTGCGTGACTTCCTGCGCGAGCACCGCGGCGCCGCAGGGGCCGGCTGCGAGACGGCCGACGGCCAGCTGGCCGCTGACGCCGGCCGCGGGCTGCTCGCGCGCAAGCAGCTCGTGTCGTTCGCCTACCAGGTGGCCCGGGGCATGGAGTACCTGGCGAGCCGGCACTGCATCCATCGCGACCTCGCCGCCCGGAACGTGCTGGTCAGCGATGAGTTCGTCGTCAAGATCGCCGACTTCGGGCTGGCGCGCGACGTCCACTGCCACGACTACTACCGCAAGACCACCGACGGCCGGCTGCCCGTCAAGTGGATGGCGCCCGAGGCGCTCTTCAGCCGCGTCTACACCTCGCAGTCGGACGTGTGAGTAGCCGCGGCAGCCCTCGCTCGCGTCCTCGCTCGCGCTCCCCACCCGCGCTCACGCACCCTTCTTGCTTTCAGCTGGTCCTTCGGCATCCTGCTCTGGGAGATCATGACGCTCGGCGGCACGCCCTACCCCTCGGTGCCCTCGGTCGAGAAGCTCTTCCAACTGCTCAACGCCGGCATCCGGATGGAGAAGCCGCCCGGATGCCCCTTCCAAGTGTAAACACCGCGCGCCCGCCGCCGGCCGCTGCCGGCGAAGCCGTCTCTGACCAGCCGTTTTCCTTTGCAGGTACATGCTGATGAGGAGCTGCTGGAGCTACCAGCCAGCCGAGCGACCGAGCTTCTCCAAAGTCGTCGACGAGCTAGACAAGATTCTCACGCAGACCTCCAACGAGGTAGGTTGCCTAGCGCCCCCCCCCCCTCCTCCCACCTTCGCTCCTCGCTAACTCGCTCCTGGCGGTCTTTCCACTCCCCAGGAGTACCTGGACCTCGGCCTGCCGCAGCTCGACACGCCGCCCTCCAGTCAGGAGTCGTTCGACGCCGAGCACGCCGCGGCTGTCGACCAGTTCCTCTTCCAGCGGAACCTGCTCTAGCGCTGTCGGTCGCTGGCCGCTGGCCGCTGGCTCGTGCCGATGCCGGCCCGCGTTTGCGGATTGGCGCGCGATCGACTGATCGGACAGTGAGCACGCCGTGTCGAGAGGACAGGTCGCGCCGCAAGGCGGCAGCTCAATGCCCAAGTTGTACATTTTTCACGGTGCGCAGGAGCCATTTGTCACGACGGCGTGCCAATTAACACTACGGAAAGCAGCGCGTGGAAACAGCTCGTCGAACGCGCGGATAAATTGTGAGTTGATGCTGCCGCTGTGCAACTATCGTCAAGTATTATTTGTTTTATGATTCTCAGCAAATTCCTCGCAAGTTTACTACTTATTGCAATTGTTGTCGAACTTTGCACTTCGATCGACACTCTTCTATCTACTCGCGGCAATAATCATCGTGTTTTTAACTAGTCAATTGAAGAACACTCCAACATGGCAATATGACACAAACATCCAAGTGCCTGCTCATTAAACCGTAGAACTAGCTCGTAAACTCACTTCGTTTAAAAGTATCATAGCAAGCTATATTTTTTATCGTGCATTATATGCGTATTCGCCTGCTAATCAAGAGTACAATTGCAATTGTTGCGTCACATACAAATCTCATCGTATTCAATAATAGCGCTACACCAATACAGCTATAAATAAATAGATAAATTGATATTTATTTATTTATATTGACGAGGCGAGGAACGATGCTGCCAGATTTTTAAAGATATCTTTCGTCAACTGACGTTCATTACTGGTGCCCCGGTCCGTACTATATTCCTTTTGCCGTCGACTATTACTCCTAGCGATCTTTACTTGTACAATTGAAAGTCGTCGTCTATTGGTCAAGTTCGCGCTGTTAATTCAAATTTTTTATTGTATCAAAGAATTGTCAATGATGCCAAAAATTTAGTATGTATACAATGCGCGTTGTTTCATACCATTTCCCCATTTCCCGTCATATTAAACTCGTGCTACTGCAAGTTTATATAAACAGTATATATCTTACCATTGTACATATATGCATAAATCAAATATTAATTAGGTCATTATTTAAGATTATGAATAAGCATTTACACTATTGCGACAATCAAATTTGTAAAGTACAATTAATGTGTATGCGACTCGAATTAGCAGATTTAAACATCACATTACACAATATATATGTAGTCATCTTCGTTACGTTATCAATTTATTGTAATGTTGATTGAAGAATCTCAAATTATCAATAAAATTTATATAAACTCATCTTAATTTTCATTTCAATGTTGAATGTATGACGCTTATCACGTGCAATCTGCTGCGCGAGCGACTCGAGGCAAATATGCCGAGAAGTATACCGAAAGTTCGCTATCCTCATATTTTTATTCAGATTTTCATAATGACAATTCACTGGGATTTTGTAAGTAACTTACAATTCTTAAACAACTACTTTTAGTGAATAATTATCATTGTGAACATATAAATGACAAAAAAATAATCATATCGAATACATGACCCCTAGCTCCTTTTCTGAAGCGGCAAAATTTACGTTAGCTGACGTTCCGATTTCTTCAAAGCTCATTTTCATTCATCATTCTATTTTTCAATTTGGTTGATGATTACTTGCAGTAATGCTGTATAAAAAATTATTACTTATTGTTATAGATTGATTAATATTCGTTTGTTGCAAGCTGCAGCAAACTCAACTCTTTTGCGTAGCTTTTGTCTTTTAATTTCTTCTGGATTGTCTCCGATCGTGTATCAAGACTTTTCTGTATTTCTTTAAATAAATCGTTCTTTGTAATAAAGTAGTATTCTTACTTCCATCTCTCAAGTTATTACGTTGGCGACAAGGCGAAAATTCAATCCAAGTCTAATTATTTCATATTCGAACTAAGAAATAAGAATGGATTATAGCCAAATTATTTTCGTTATGTTATGGATAACGAAGATGAACTCATGAATTATGAAGACACTGATGATAGCGTTGAAAATAATCCTATAATCTTGAGCAGTTCGTCAAATAATTTGAAGAGCAGAGAATATTTGAAAGTTCTGGCTGTGTGCGATTCAGAGCTTGCGGGCGAGCACCGGCACGACTGGGTTCACGACGGTATCAACAGTAGCTGCAAGTTCTTTAGTGAATTTGAGTACTATTATGTCTGATAATAATCAAGAAGCTCAGTCTGTTTAACTACCTCATAACTCAATATTTGTTGGAACTAGTTTAGGCACCATCAATGAATTCAAACCTGGAGATGACTGGAATATTTATCAAGAGAAAGTTGAACAATTTTTTATTGCAAATTTTGTTCAAAAGTATCCGTTTTGATTACTAGTTTGGATGAGGAGATATACTCGTATGTAATTTTTAGAAATTGTATGATCCAGATTTACCTAAAAACAAAACATACAATGACTTAGGTACTTGCTTAAAAGCACAATTTTTTCCCCGAATTTCTGGTTTCAAAGAAAAGAGAGAATTTTATGAATTAAAGCAGAATAATTCTGAAACTATGGATCAATGGTATTCTCCAGTTTGGTTTGAAAATGCATCTTAAAAGATGTAAATTTTTGCAAAATAGTGTTGAATATTTAGGGAATATTATAGATAAGAATGGTTTACATAAAAATGTAAAAAAGGTGGATGCCATTGTGAATGTTAAAAGGCCTGAAAATGTATCTAAAGTGAAAACATTTGTAGGTATGGTTACTTATTATAGTAAGTTCATACCAAATTTAGCTAAGAAATTGAACATGTTATACAATCTTTTACAAAAGAATGCTATTTTTCAATGGAATATTATGCGTGAAAAAAGTTTTAATAAAGTTAAGTTTAATTATTGTTTAATTCATTTTGATCCTAAGTTACTATTGAAATTAGCGCGCGATGCGTATATTGGCACTGTCTTATTGCATAAACTTCCTAACGGTACCGAACGCCTGATTTCTTTTGCAGCTAGAACACTTTCAAAAGCAAAACGAAATTATGCAATGATTCATATTAAAGCTTTGGCAATTTATTGGAGTGTTCGTAAATTTTATGAATATTTAATTGAAAATCATTTTACTTACTGATTCGGTACCTGATCATAAACCCCATCTGGCTTTATTTGGAGAAAAAAGGCTTACCCCTCTTATGGCTACAAGGCGTTTACAAAGATAGGCATTATATTTGAGTAGATTTAATTACACTTTTGAAAATCTCAAAGGTACATCAAATGGCGCTGCTGATGGTTTTTTAAGACTTCCACTGCAAAATAAAGTTGCTGAAGAGGAAATTGAAAATTTAGTTTATTTTAACTTTTTTATTGAAGAGAAAGTGCCAATGGACGCTGGGTTAATGAAAAAAGCTACAAGAACTGATGTAATATTGAGCAAGGTTTTGCTTTATACAATGACTGAAAGGCCAAATCAAGTCGATGATTGTCTTAAACCTTATTTTATTAGACGAGAGGAAATAAGTTATGATAGTGGATTATTAATGTGGGGTTATAGAGTTATTATTTCGAATAAATTTAAGAAAGAAATCTTAAATGAAATACATGTAACTCATTTCGGAGCCAGTAAAATGTAGATGTTAGCTAGGCACTATTTTTGGTATCCGAAATTAGCTGACAGTGAAATTGAAGATTTAGCTAAAAATTGCAATATATGTAAAACTCATGCTGATAACCCTAACAAGGCAGTGTTGTTGAAATTCGATGAAGTTAATCAGCCATTAGAGTGTAATCATATTGATTCTTTAGGTCAATTCTATGAAAGTACTAACCTGATTATTTCTGATGAATTTTCGGAATGGCTAGAAATTTATGAAATTTTTATGGAATACCGAAAAAGATTTTTTCAGATAATGATCCTCGATTTACATCTGACGAATTTTAACACTGGTTGAAGACGAATAACATTAGGTACATAAGAACAGCGCACCTGGTCATCCATCTACCAATGGAGCAGCTGAAAATGCAGTTCGCTCGTTCAAAAAAGGGTTCAAGAAAATTATATTACGAAGCACGCCTCACTGTACTATTGATGTATCACCTGTAAAAAAATGTTAGGTAGGGAATTTAGAACGAAGTTGGATTTGTTAAGAGATTGTAAAGTAAATAATAATCATGAAAAGCAGATTTTACTTAGTTAATAGAAATATTTGTTTTGCCCTTAATGAAGTTATTTTCGTACATGACTATCGTATATTGAATAAACCAACTTGGAAAAAAATGATTGTTATAAAAATGTTTGGACCTAGAAATTATTTATGTACGTTAGTCGATGAGGATATTATTTGGAAAAGGTATTTAGATCGAATAATTAAAGGTAGTTCATTTTTCAACAATACTTTTCGTAAATTGTATCATGATTATTTTGAAAGCAACGATAACGAAAATGTACACACGCAGTGATCTGAAATTGCAATTAATTGAAATTATGGGGGTGATGATGGTGGTAATGGTTGTAATAATTGTCATATACCTGGACAATTTGCCAATGACAACCCAGTTTTGCATCCAAATGTAGAAAATGAATCGGTGATTGAAAATAATATCGAAAATAATCAGGTAATTAAAAATAACGTCATTCCTAAATCTGGCGAGTTTGTCAGATATTTTAATTGAAAATCCAATTACTTTAAATATTAATGAAAGACCTAAGCGTTCAATAAAATAAACCTAAAAAATGTGTCTTTTAACTTTCTTCTAGGATTGTCTCCGATCATGTATCAAGACTTTTCTGTATTTCTTTGAATAAATCGTTCTTTGTAATAAACTAATATTCTCACTTCCATCTTTCAAGTTATTACACTTATAGTGAATTATATACGATGTGCGATGGCAGCACGACACTTTACTTTTAGTAAGCAGCTCAATCGCCAGAGCCACAGTCAGTGTTGTGATTATAGCCAGTGCATGTCGACGCGCACCTTTCAACTTCACAGTTTTACACGTTCCATTCGGCTTATTCGTGTGTATATAGTATATATTTCATTGACTTTTCATTTATACGTCAAACTGTTGATATTGTAACCTTCTGTGAATGAGCATATTTAACTCATTGTTGATAATACAAAGTGATACTTGAACGAGAGTTTAATTTACTTGTATAACATACCAAATATTTTGAAAGATTTGAGGTTAAATTAGCGGTGTCTCCCGATTATATTTTCGTGCACATGATTGATAGATTAATGCTAATTTATTAATACTTTTCATCAATTTAAAGAGATCGTAAATAGATCAATTACATACATGATGTCCAACTTTCTAGAAAGGAGATTTCCAATTGAAGCTTTGGAATTTGGAAAAAATGCATTAAAGAACAGCTGTCAAATGTGTTAATACAAATAAGATTATTGTGTGCAGTGGATGTATTGTGTTCGAGAAAGAAAACGACAGTGTTACACGGGACGTATTTTTATAAAAATGAAAGTCGTTTATCAATAAGGAATTTCACAAGAACTTATTAATGTTCTGACAATTAGTTAGGTTATACAAGATATCACTATGGAAAGGAAAATTAAATTAAAAACGCTCAATAGCCATATAACTTGTAAAATATGTCGAGGATATCTTATAGATGCAACCACTGTTACTGAGTGTCTACATACTTTTTGTAAAAGTTGTTTAGTTAAACATTTAGATGAAAAAAATACTTGTCCACAATGTCAAATTGTCATCCACCAGTCACATCCACTGCAGTACATCAGTTTTGATAGGACGATGCAAGACATTGTATATAAATTGGTTCCTGATTTACAAGAAAGTTAGTCAAGTTCAAATATTTTGTACAATATTGTCTACTCTGTAATGTAAAGCCTCTAAATTAAAATTTTTTTAGACGAAATGAAGAGAGAAAGAGAATTCTACAGGTCTAGGGGATTGCCCTGTCCAAAAGATATATTGCCTAATCCAGAAGCTGAAGATGAAAAAGCTGCTGCTGATGCACATGCTGAATCGGATTACCATAGAACTGATGAACAGGTGTATATATATTATTATAAAAATATTTGTTGTATCCTATAATTATTTTCATAAGAGTCTGTTATGTGATAAACCTATGACAATCATAAGAACTATCTAAATCTCATTTTAAATGTATTATTCAAATAAATATAACATATTTTGTTGTACTAATTAATTTATAGAAAAATTTGTTTCAGGTTAATGTATGTTTGGAGTGTGTCAATTCTAGTTTACAAACACTAAAACGAGGATACATAAGATGTTCTGCACAAGCAACCATTACACATCTAAAAAAATTTATTGCCAAAAAAGTACTAAATGGAATAGAGAAATATCGTGATGTATGTATCGCAAAGCATTTGAAAGTATTGCAAATCAGCATTTTGTCTATAACACTTGATTTGTAATTTCAGATTGATATTCTTTGCAACAATGAATTATTAGGGAAAGATCACACACTCAAATTTGTATATGTGACGAGATGGAGGTTTCATCAACCACCTTTGAGGTTGCAATATCGACCAAGAATAGAAATATAGTATCGTTGAAAATTTCTATACATATAAGTAAATTAAATTTGTTTTCATGGCACTTGTGTACTAGCCACACAGGATGAATAAGTACACAAGAGCATTTGGTGTAAAATAATGTTTAAAAACTGTAGATAACTAAAAATTTTTAAAATATATTGTTGCATGCGCATAGTAAAGAAACTTATTGATATTTTATGACAACTCAAATTAATACAAAAAAAGTCTTAATTTGAAAATTTACAAGCAAAATTATTTATTTTCATTATTGTACAATAATTCTTTAAAGGCACAAATTGTAATGGAAGTACACAAATATTTTATTTCAACACTCAGTGTCTTCCTTATATGAGTTATGGCAGTTTTCACTATACAATGCTGACAATGTTTTTGGTATGATTTGTAAATACAGCTTATGTCTATAAAACATATAAGAAAAATAATTTCTACTTATTTGTAATGACCTTTAACATAATTGTTAATTTATCAGTAACATTCACTCAATGATACATAATATGGTTTTTAAACAATGTCAAAAGAAAAAAATCGCAAGCTCAAGGTTCCCTTCTTACCTCTATACAGCATAAAAAAAACATACCTATACTCATGGATTTGTGATTTTTTACTACAAGATTATTCATTGTTGGAGCAAAATTATTATTTGAAATATTGTTACAAATTTATTGTAATATATTTATAATGCATTTTATCCTAAAGCACTTGTGAATGACTTCGAGTAGGCGTTTAATAAGAAAACAATATAAAAAAATTAATGAAATTCAGGTTATAAAGTTAATTGCAAACAAAATGGGCGACCACATTTTTTATATTTCAGACAGATGAATTTATTAATGAATTCCTTAATTTTTTCCTTGAATGGAACAGCAGCATGGAATTATTTTGGATAGCTCTTGAGCAAATTGCGTCTTAAATCATATTGATTGTAATTTTTCAACAAGTAGATATTTTTATGTGTTTTATAAAAGTAATGAGAGATCGCAACAAAAATTGAACTTTTACAAATGAAAAGATGGTTGCCATGAACATTAAACCGAGTAAGCGAGATGAGAAGTATAAAAAAAATTCAACCTCTGGAATCTTTACAAATATAGCCAACTTGATTCAAAAATTTTTCAAGCACAGTAGTCACACGTGAGAATACTACGGGGCAAGTCTGAGGCACTTAAACGAACGTTCACTTGGTTTAATCCCACGATTCGTCATCTTGCGTTGCCAAAGCTGTCTCGACTGGAGGTGCCTGAAAAAGCGAGGTACAATGATTGATGAGTAATAGGCTTGTACTTGAAAAAATTGCACGTATTATTACGTGCTCGGAACAAAACTCACAACAAAAGAATTAGAACCAGCTTTGGGCTCTGAAGGCTTGCTCTCTGCCGGCTTTGGAACAGAGCCACTCGGTGAATCCCAATTCTCTTCCCAATCCTTCGCAGGCTTACTGTTGAAGGATGTAAGGGAGACATACGATGGGCTGTCGTTGTCATTTTTGTTTCGGTCAGGCAAGCTTCGTCCAAAGGGTTTGTTGCTCCAATCTCGATCATGACCCCCGTTATCGCGGAAACCGCCAGGTAAGCTTCGGCCAAATGGCTTTTTGCCCCAGCTGTCGTTATCGCGAAAACTACCTCCACGTCCGCCTCTACCACCTCGATTACCTCTGTCTCCTCTGTCGCCATTTCTTTCATAGGGACTGTGTCTGAAATAATACGGAAAATGAAAAGTTGGAGCAGAAAGATGATGTTAATATATAGCGGCAAGTAGAAATCATGAACTGACCTATTTCCCCGTGAATGTCGGTGGCTGAAGGGATCTCGTCCTCTGTCTGCAAAGCTTCGATCATTTCTATCTCTAAAGCTTCGTTCGTTTCTGTCGAACCCGCGATCATTATTGGACTTGTTTCCAAAACCGCGACCCCCGCGACGCTCTCCGGAGAAGCTACGCTCACGATCATTAGAGTTTCCAAAACCGCGCCCGCGGCGATCCCCGCTGAAGCGGTCACGGTCACGGTCATGATCACGATCACGATCACGATCACGATCACGATCACGGTCACGATCACGATCACGATCACGATCACGATTATCACCGCCAAAGCCCCTATTTCCACGATCCCAACTGGAATCACGCTCACGGCCACTAGAGCCTCCACCAAATCCAGAGCCGCCAAATCCTTTTTGCCCAAAACCTTTAGCCAGACTCGCCTTGGTAGATCCGCTGCCTTCGCTTCTCTGACCATCTGAGTCTGATTGCGTTCGGGCGCTTGGTTTGAAAATGGGAATGTCCTGGGCTACCGGTGCCGGTGTGTCATCGTCCCAATTTTCTTCACCGTCTGCCGCTGTAGCTGAGCTAGTTATTGGCGTTGACCGAAGTGCAGGTGAACTGGAACCATTGTTGTGGCTGCTGGGAGGCTTAAAAATTGGTATTTCAGCAGATGGCTGTGGCCTGCTTATTTCGCTGGGTTCGTCCCACGATTCTTCCTCGTCTTCATTGCTAGTTTGAGTTTTGCTTGGTCTTGATTGTACTTCTGGTGTGCGAATGCTATGATGCTGTTGTGGAGTACTTGACACGCCACTTGGTCTAAAAATCGGTATGTCAGTTGCCGCGGGTGGATTATTCTTGCTTTCCGAAGGGGCATCATCCCACCATTCTTCTTGGTCTTTAGCTGCATGGTTAGTGATAAGACTAGTACTATTGCTTTGCCTTGAAAAGCTTGGACTATAGGCTGGAACATTATCTGACTGTGGAGTGGCTGCATGGATTTGTCTTGCTGCAGCTGGATTAAAGATAGGTATTTCGATTGTCGCTTGTGGAGATTTGTAACTGGAACTTTCTCCCGATGGTACATTCCAGTCTTCATTGTCTACTGCAGGAGTATTTGCGAATACAGGAGCTGTCGCAGGTGGTGGTTTCCATGCCCCGTTTATATGACTGGCAGATGGTGTTGGAGCATCCCAGTCTTCGATGACAGGTACAGGAGGTCTGCTTGAGAATCTAGGTTTTGATGTACCAAAGGATTTTCCAAAACTGTTGTTTTGTGAGAAATTGTTGTTACGTTTTGTTGGATCAAACCTAGAAGATAATGGAGCGGTATATTTGCACCAACAAGTAAGCATGAGACAGTATACCTATTGCTACTGTTTCTTTCATGTCTAAATGGCCTTCCTTCTCCGTAAGCATTTGAGCGCCTCGACCCTCCATAGGAGGAGGGTTCAACCCAATCGTCAATATTTGCTGGGCTTGCCAGAGCTTCATAGCTGTATTTGTAGCCATCTGTGATTTTCAATGTTTGATGAGTACTTGAACTGCAGCTGGATGTAGCAAGTGCTTTTGGGGTACTTGGAGTACTTGGTAAGTCCCAATCCTCATCTTCAACCATTTTTTATATACCTTGATTGTTTTTATGTCACTACAATTATTCACAATTTTTAACATTTGAATATTTCAGATAATTGCATATTTTATTAAACATGTAAATAAGATTAAATATTTTCAACATATTTCGAACTTATTAACAGTTGTTATAAAGTATTCAAAAAGTACCAATCAAATTTTGAAGACATTTAAAGTATAAAGTGGCTGTTGTCATTAACTCAAAGATTTAGATTAATGTAATAAAAATGCCGACCAAGTGTGCAAGGAAATTCAACCGAGCTAATATATCTCAAGTTTTTCACGTGGGAAAAAATGGCTTGGACATTAAACAGCTGATTTTAAATAAATAGTCCGAGCAAATACAAGTTGATTTGTTAGAGCGAAATCAATAACGCGTATCAACTAATCTCATAATATTTAATCTAAGTAGCGTTTGTTTTTTTTTCCGTGCAGCGAACGTGAGTAACTTAACCTACCTGAGATTTTTCACGATACAAAACCGAATCCAGTATTCCTACGTTATACCTCCAAGCCGGTCAAACTAATAACTTAAAAAATGTGGTCCAGTGTACGGAAAGGTTTCGTGAATAAAAAAAATAGCATCTTATCTTAAATCATGCTCAGTGCTCTGCACTGTCAAGGGGATCCTAAACTGTTCACTAAACTCTCTCGTATTCCCGCACTGGCCACTGATATGACACACTGCACTGACTATTTGTACAATACGTACACACAAAGGCAATGGTGCCACACTATCAAAAATATATACAAAAACACAAATAATGTTCGGGAGAGATGAGTTTTATCAAGGAGAAATGTTTCGTTGATTGTGTTTTCTTCATTGATTTTTCTGAAAAGAAACGCAGATTGTTTCAACACATCATTTGAATTGCATTTAACTTGACTCGAACAGGTAAATACGCGTATTAATATTCATACTTGCTAGTTTGTTACGTACTCTGCATATTTTAATGGAAGGAATATATGTTATTTTTTTCTCTAAATTAGAGATTGCAATTACGATTTCAATTTTGTTTATATATAGCAACGCAGCTCTTATAGCTTATAATAGTTATTATGCACATATAGTAAAATTAAAAATGAACACTCGATCGTTGTTGATTTTTATTATGCGTACATGTATCCTGGAAAGATAATTTATCTAGGTCTAATAATTATTTAACAAGTTCAAAACGTCATTAACATTATTGAAAATAACCGCGCATATTTTACGTATATACATACATGTATACACATATTACATACATCAGCATTTTGCAATCTGCTCTGCATTTATTTTTTTTAAAATTGTAAATATTATTATTTTATTTTTATACTTTTAAATGACTGAAATCGATTTATATCGATACATCGATAAATAATTTTCATGAATTCTAGATATGAACGAGTATATTATCAAATTATTATTTATAGTAGTGCACAATTCAAAAGTATGTATGACGTATGTGTTTTGTAAAAACAGAAAATATATCTACCTAATCTCTAGTATAACAAATCAATTAAGTAACATTTATTCACTTTAATTCTGTAGGTAATGATACTTAATAAATTTAGATGAATTTGTATTGAACATAATATTCAATCCATCTAGTCTCTTTTACAGCGTTTCTAGATGAGTGAGCGTATATAAGGGAAAGTGGAATGAAAATTAAAATATAATATAATAAATTGTAGATTGTAGAAAATCGTAAATTGCGCGAGAACAGCAGATGTCGCGGAGAGCGCGGCAGCTATAGATATATTGAATATTGCCAGAACAATTTTTGCGTGCGCACATTGAGGTTATAAATTAGAGCTTTCGAGTCGTGTATAGCGTCGCGTGGCGTCGCTTCGGTCGGATACTTTCTTTCCCCTTTCGCCGTGTGCCAACTATCCCCTCGGTCGCCACGGAATTATTCACTTTGCCTGTACGTTCGACAACGACGCACGCTAGCGACCTTAGACTTCAGCCTCCGATAATCGGAATAAATCAAAGCAATCACAATGGCAGAAGAATACCTTTACGGTAAGTTTCATTGTACGGCTTAGCCGACGTATTATTAGCGCGAAATTTCAGCGAATTAAACATTACTTGCGGTACAATGAACGTTCGTTTTCGGCGTTGCGTAGACGCCGGTAGGAACGTTCGGCCATTGTTGAAGGCAACAGCTCTAATTTCGTTAACGTTAAGTGGGAGTTTTTTTCTTTTTTACCTAGCTTACACAACCTTGCACCGAGCGTAACTCTATGTAGATATCCTTTTATGTAGATTTCCAACTCGCTATGAATATTGTTTACAAAAGACTAAAATCATTTCCGTTTGTGTATGTGTATGCGGGTAGGAGTCACGTTGGACGGCGCCAAGACCAGCGAGGTTTGGGATCCAGAACCAAAAAATGAAGACTCTGACAGCAATCAACAATTTGGCGTAGATCAAAAACTCATCATCAAAATGGTAAATATATCTTTGTGCACATTTATTTTGAGCAATTGAACTGACAGCATCGATTTGCAAGACTTCAAGCCCACTCCACGAGTGACCATCTGCTTTATAAAATTAAATAAAACTTGCTATGATCGATAATTTGGATAACAAGTAAATAATCATACTGTTATGATTGAATAATATTTAAAGATTATATACATTAAATCCATGTGATCATTCTGAAATTAATGTGATTAATTGTTGGCATGATACTTTTCAATATTTTAAATTCATATGGTAAGGAGTAAAAAGTAATTGAGATATCTTATGAAATAAGAACTGAAATACAATGTATTTTAAATAAGTAAAATGTATTATTTCATAGAATGCTTTTGTTTGTTCAAAGGTTTTGTAAGTAAAAGTGTTGAACTGAATTTGAACTGTTTTGTAAATATATTAGATAATTTAAACTTATTATTAAAATATTTCTAGGCACTTTTGGGACCAGAAGCTAAGCCTGGTGAACTGAATGTTCTCCAAGTAGAAGCCATGGGACTCAAAGGACCGATAAAAATTCCCATTGCTCTCCTGGAAATGGGAAAGACTTCACAAATTATTCTTGACCTCAGTTTCCCAGATCCACCAGTAACCTTTTCGCTTATCAAAGGAAGCGGGCCAGTTCACATAGTTGGACATAATCTCCTTGGTATGTTTACATAACAATAAGATTAGTTGTATAAAAAATTGTTTATATCACTTATGATATTATAAATCTTCAACAGCTACACATATCGATGAATTTGAAGACATGGAGGATGAGGAAGTTGAGGTTGAACATTATGAAGATGAAGACGATGAGAAGGTATGTTGAATTTTGTATATATTATAGAAAGAAAACTTCTTTTCTATTAAATATGTTACTAGTTGAGGGGAAGTTTATTGTTAATGAGATTCTTTTTTGAGTAGACATTGCTCCCTTTGTAGAGTGAACTATTATTTGTAAAGACTGGCCATAATAGTTTCAGGAACCACAAAAGAAAAGAAAACTGTCCTCAGAGTTAAATAAAAATGGCACCAAACGCGCCAGGGTGGACGAAGGGGTAGACAAGTGATTGTGTTTGACAATTTACTTTTGTTTTATATATCATTCAACTTTTATAAGGCGATATCGAATCGATCTACAGTATTTTCATAAGACTAAAAAGGATAATTACTATTCAAACTTTCAACGACAATTTCTATAATTTCTTGTAAATATAAGTATGATTCAGTAAATCTTTACCACTTGAGTTCTCTTTTTAATAAACTGTCGTACAAACAGGCAGCTCAAGAGTATGTATTGATGACCTTTCTCTGCATCTTGGCGCATCAGTCAATAATTGTCGATAATAAACGTTTCAACCCCGTTCTAATAAAAGTAATTTGAAAAACAAAATGTAAAATACTTTTTATATGCAATGTAGGACCAAGAAGATGAAGAGGAAGAAGATGATGAGCCAAAAAAAAAGAAGAATAAGATTGCTGGACCACCCAAAAACAAAAACCAAGTAAACAAGAACCAAAACCAAAATCAAAAAAAGAAGTAAATTTGGTTGAAATATAGCTACGAAAAATCACAAGATCACGTATATTAAAATAACTGTAAGTTTACTATTAGCATTTTGTAAAAGTGACATCGTTTTATTATCACTTCCAACGACAAGCGCTCGGTAGTTAATATTGATAATGGATCATTATATTGTGATTCTGGTGTGGATTCTGAAGCAAGTGGTTTATTTATAATTTATTAACAAATTAATTGAGAAACTAAACATTAAAATAGCTGTCACGCAGAATATTATTAAATTTTAAGAAACAGTAGGCTTGTACTTTTTATCGTTTATTTTGTACAGCACTTTGTTTAAACTATAATGCTAGCTTCAGAATCATGCAACAATACATTTTCGAGTGCTGAAGAAAAATCCATTTTGTTATAGTGCATAAACTTTCATATACATTCAATTTCACAAGGCAGAAAAAAAAGCATATTTTTTTAAGTATACATTTTTCATCTTTAGGAATACACATGTATAGTTTAATTTTAGACACGAAGAAGTTGTTCTTATTCTTATCTAAAATGAATAAATTTTTCATCAAAAACTCAGTTTTGTGGCTGCTTAACAAGAGCAGAATTGAAAAAAATAGAAAAAAAAACTCGTTTACCGATTTATAATGTACAAAGCATCAATTGATTTTTACGCTGTTCTTGCATTATTAGCGAGGAAACGAGTATGAGTGACCATTGGATTGTTCGTGTCAATCTAAAAACAAACTTAGGGCTAATGATCAAATGTCTTGAATTTGTTTTTGAAGGCATTGAAGCGATTATAATTGAGAATAGTCCAATTGATAATTGATAGTGTGAAAAGGGAGACTAGAAGTATTCGTATTTGTGCTAAAACATTTTGCAATGGGAATAAGCTGACCAGAACTAAATAACATTTTATTTTGCAATAAATCCTCATAATGGGTAGACGCTGTGTATTTTACAAATATAACTAAACTTCTTTATTTGTGTGAATGATTATAGTGTGTACATTCATTTTGTACATATATGAAATAAACGAAATAAATTTCCGACCAGTGAAAAATGGCCTTTAGACTTTTGAATGATAATGTCGAAACCTAGCAAGAAGTGGCTACTAGCATCGCAGTAAGCTTCGACGTTGGTTCCTAGATTATCGACCGGTGGTCGACAAACTCATCAGTGTGTAGTGCTGTTCGGAAAAGAGTAGAGGGCGCAGGCAGCTCGAAAAAAAATGGCAAACAGTATAAACGAGCGTTATATAATTAATAAACTGTTGAGTCTTGTGAATGATTGGCGAGCGGAGCGTGGATGTAATTGTTTGTCCAAGGCTGGCCCAGGAGGGAGATCGAGGCTGCAGAGAGCACGCTGAAGCAGGCTGGTCGGAGGTAGAAGCGAGGGAACAAGGAGACTGGCGCGATAAAATAAAAGGTAAGAAGGGAATTGGAAAGCGAGATGGTTACGGAGAGGAGAGCGCGACGAAACGAGCGCTGCTAAAGTGGCGGCGGCGAAGGGCAAGAGAGTGGAGAGCCGGTTCGAGGAGAAGAGAAGAGAGCGGAGAAGCCACTTAATGATCGCACATAAAATTTGCGAAGGAGAATTAAGACGTTGCAGCGGTCGGGTAGCTCTAATAAGCAATCGAGCGCCCAGTCCAATTAATGTCCGGCGAGGTGTAGCAGCAGCCGCGCTCTCGTTCGTTTTGTCGCTGCTCGCCTGAATAATTGGCCCGATTAATTTGCCGCGAGCGGTCGTCGAAATATGGGCGCAGAGCGTCGCGGAGCGCGCGCTCGCAGCGTCGCACTCGCAGCGTCGCGCTCGCGCTCGCGAGCGACACGGATAGTCGTCTGTCGAGGCAGAGCAAGAAGCGGAGAGAGGCTGCTTTTTGCAGGCTCTTTCGGCTCGCGCGCTGCTCGGCTCGCGTTAATTGGCCCGAGCAATTAATTGCGACAAGTCCCGACGATGTTGCGGGGGGCCGCGCGCCGAGTGGCGAGTGCCCGGGAAAGCAAAGGAAACCTGTTCGCACGGCCGCGCCGCGGAGGACAATCGCGGCGGGCGCGAGGCCGTTGCCGCCGATATCCGATTATTTGCGCGCGGCCCGACGTTAATCGCTTAATCTGCGCTCGGGTCGCCGCCGCTAATCAAGACTCCCGAGTACGAGCGGGCTTCCGATATTTTTGCCGGTGCTCGCGCAGCGCCCGGGGGCCCGAGGAAAAGCTCGCGCGCGCGCGCGCGCGACTAATTGGCCGATAAATCAAGCCTGCCTTTGCTCGCAGCAGCGCGCGCTCCTCTCGACGTCTCCCGCCGATCGTCGACGCGCGTCCTGCAGCGGCGTCGTTAGGTGCTGCCGGCGCGCGCGATCCGCGCCCGAGCAGTGCGGAGGCGCGGCTCCTCGCGGCTCCTCGCGGCTCCTCGCGGCTGCTGCCCATTGTTAGGGCCAGCCTCCACGCGCTAACGATCCCCGGCGTCCGACCGCGCGGGTTCGCGGGCCTGCCTTTGTCCTTTGTCCGGGCTGCCCGATTGCGCGGGCTCGCTGCGACTCGTTTTGGCGCTGACAGAGCCTCGGCCGGCTTTTATCGCCGCTCGCTCTCACTTATTGTAATTGTGCAGTGCGCTGCCGGCAATTTGCGAGCAGTATAAGCATATCGTAGAACGCGGCGGCGCTGATTTACGCCGCGACGCACTTTATTAACAATTACCGGCAACCTGGGTGGCAATTAAACTCGCCGGCCGGCTGTCGCGAGAGCTACCGCGAAGCGCGCATTGCATAATTCTGCGCGCCGAGCAGCCGCGGCCTGCGACGCTTAATTGGCTTTTTTGGCCGGCGATGGGCCGCTCGCGCAGGCCCAGCAGAGCTCAACGTGGCCGGCATTCGTTCACGCTCGCGCTAATCGCTGCAACCGAGCAAAGAGCCTGGCCACTTGCACAGCCGGTGCGCGTCAGCGCCATTGTCGGGCAGCGAGCGCAAAACTTTCCGAGGCGTCGGCTATACGCGCATCGGAACTTCGGGACGACGGCAACGGCGAGCGATTAGATAGCGGGCTCGGCCGGCGAGGAAGTGACATAAGCAGCGCTCGAAGAGCGGGCTCATCAAAATACCTAATCTCGGCTGATTTCCATCGGCGGCCGATGGGCTGGCCAGCGCTCGAACAATCGGAATAACAGCGCTCGCAAAGGCGGACTGCGAAAATCACAAACAATGAATAAAGATGCGGTGCGGCGAAGTTGCGTCAAGCCGAACGAAGAGGCTACTTAGTGTTTCAAATCATTGATCCGCAATCCGAGGTCAGCGCGCGATCGGCTTGCGAAATGGCGCTGGGCAAAAGTCGGCTCGACGCGTCGATTACCGCCGCCGGGGGCCCCGGGGCTAAAGTCATAATCGGGCTGATCTGCAGCGATTGATCGTGTTTGCTCGCGGCACGTGCCGGCCCGGCTATCTTTCGCAGATATTAGATATACGGAGAAGGATATGGGCCGGGCGGCCTGGGATTATTAGAGGGATTAGGTGCCGCGGCTGCTCGCTTAATTATTTGGCTCGCTCCCTCGGCTTCGATCCCTCAGCAGACGCGCGCGCTCAGCAGCCAGCCATTATTGCCGCTCCACACAATAACCTGTCAGCGATATTACGGCCGCTTTTTCCGACGAAAAACCCGGCCTTTTCAATAAGGGCATCCTGTAACCGCCTGGCAGCGCCGAGCGCGCGACCAAAAAAGCGCGCATCCTCGCCTGCCTGCCCGCCTGCCTGCCTGCCCTCCTGCCTGCCCGCCTGCCTGCCTGCGCTTCTCGGAAGACAATCGCGCATAATACATATGCAGTGCTCGGGCGCGCGCGACGTCAGCGACTGCGTGTCCGCCTGCAGCGGGCCCCGCGCCTCGCGATAATTGAACGCCCAACCCGGAGCCCTCTGCGCTCGCCTGCTCGCTTCTCGCCTCTTCGCTTTCGCAGCTCGCCGAGCGCAGGCGCTTTTTGCCCGGTCGCCTGCATCGAATAATTAGATCGCGGCCGCGCCGCCGACGATGAGTCCCCGAGTGCTGCAGCGACGGCCGCGACGACAACGACGCCGCCATGAGAATCCGAAAAGATTCCGCTGCTCAACTGACCCCTGCACTTCGCCGTGAGCATTGACCTTCGAGCGCCAAGCTGATTGTATTCCGATTGCGCTGATTGCGCGCGCCCGGCTATAATCTAATCGTTTCATTAATCGGTCGACAATCGCCGGAAGCCCGGCGCGCTTTCCAGCTCCAGCCTCGGCCAGCTGGCCGTCCGCCGCGACAATGTCGCGCACTCCGGTTTCCCGAAAGGACGCCCGGGCAGCGCAGCGCCAGTTCATCTCTGGACAAAGCCGGCGACGAGTCTATCGACCGACGGCGAAAGAGTGCAGCCACTCGGTCAGGAGGAACAACGGGCCGAGTATCTGCCGATTCACGCGGCCCTCGGCGATCGCTGACAACTCGACTTTGTCAGCGATGACTCGGCTCCGGCTGATCGGGCGCCATTGTCGGCCACTTTCCGGCCACTTTCCGCGGAGCTGAGTCGGCCGTGCGCGCAGAGCCGCCAGAGCCGCCGGAGCCGCTCGTAAAGGGGACGCTCTCGGGGCTCGTAACTTTGGAGCTCGCGGCCTCTCCACGCACTCTTATTTATTCGCGGAGAGCGTTTAATGAAAAAAGTTGCGCTCGCGCCGCAGACGAGTGGCGACGCGCGCATAATGGCTCATCTGGCTGGCTGCGCTGCCGTGGGCGGAGGGCGGAGGGCGGCCGGCAGGCAGCGTCGCTTTTCTCGCGCGACTTATCGGGAGCCCGGGCATATTTAATTTCCGCTGCCGAGCGCCGCCGGCGAGCCGCCCTTATCTACCCTTTTCCAATAAGGCTTTGAAGCGCTGGCTGCTGGCGGCGCTGCCGAGAATTACCCCTTTGCAACGGCACGCTATCGCGCCCGCCGCGCACTTTGTCTCGCGACAGCTCGCGGCTGGCTCTTTGTTCGGCGGCGCTCGCTAAGCCGTCGCCGCGCGTCCCTCGGAGCCCGATCAATTTTCGCCAATTGCATCTCGCGGCGTGACGTCGCGCGCTATCTGGGCCGTGTCCGCCGACGCCGCCGCCGCCATTACGGCCGCCGCTATTGCTCGATGTTTTCAACAGTTATGTAATTTCCTGGCCATTGTCGGCCCCGCAGTTATCGTCCGTCGCCCGCGCGCGCAGTTCCGACAGCTCGCCCAGCCGCCACCCCCTAGCAACCGGCGCGACCGGCGCGACCGGCGCGACCGGCGCGACCGGCGCGACTGGCGCGACCGGCGGCAACCCCCCGGCCGCCAGTCCTACTTTGCGCAGGCGTGCACTCGGCCAAAGTTTCTGGCCTGCCGCGTCGCTCCGGCGCGCTATCGACTGTCGGCGGGCTATCGACGCGGCGCCTTCTTTCCCTCCTTTCGCTCGGCCGCGGAGCGCACTAATTAGCCCCGCGAGCCGCGCGCCGGATCGCCAGCTGTCGGCGAGGCGCGCTCGAAAAACTTGGGCCCGGAGCGCGCCGGCTCGGGGCTTTTTGCGACGAAGCGCGAGCCTGCGCTCCTCGGCGCGCGCGCGCCGCTGAATATGCATAGGCCGACAGCTCGAGCGAGGCGCCTAACGAACGGCCTCGCTCCGGGCACAATGACAAGTTGACAGCGCGCGGCGCAGCGCCGAGACAATGGCGGCGGCGCCGTGGAGCGCGATAACGAGACAGCGCTGGCTATTGCGCTGCCGCCAGGCCGACCGGGAGCCTCGGCTAATTCAGGTCTTATTAATAAACGCCAGCTGGCACTGGAGCCCGCGACGCGGCGAGGCTCGTATCGAGCGGCGCCTGCGCAGGCTGCCGCCTCGCGGAGGCGCGGGCCGCGGCGACGAGTGCCGACGGCCACGTCAGCCCCGCCGGCCTTCCGCGGGCCGTCCAACGCCGCTCGTAACTCGGCGCGCAATTAGAGCGCCGACAACGTCGTTGAGATAGCGCTGGGCCGCTGGGCGCTGGGCCGCGGGGCCAGGCGCTCCTCCGATGCTTATCCGCCGAGAGTTGATCGCGCGGCCGCGGCCATAACGAATATTTAATTAAACGCTCAGCGAGCGGCCGTCTGGACCGAGGCGACTGCTGCGCCGCCGGGGGGCAGGGGGGCGGCCAAATTCCCGGCTTATCTGCGCTGATGAAGTCGAAATTAGTAGCCTGCTACCGTACGGAGCGCACGAACGGCTGGAAACGAGCCGTCGGATTCTCGGGCGTTGTTTAAGTAAATTGGGCCCCTAACCGGTTTTCCCGCTCACCGTCTTACTCGCCTCCGCGCTGCCCGCGGCGCTCGCGTCGCGGCACGCACTGGTTGGCCAGCGAAGCGCTGAAATTTCGCTGCACTCGCGCGACGCCGCGGAGAATGGCTAATTAAGCCGCGAGAGCTAATTAGCCGGCGTTGGCTGGGGCTTCACCTGCGCGAGTCCCAATTAAAGTCGATCGCGACTACGACTACGCGCCCTTCGATTGTACTCGCGGCTCGCTAATTTCTGCAGCTGCGGCGCGCCGAGCAGCTCGGAGCTCGCATCGAGCACCCGATGACAATCTCGGCTAGCGGTGCTAGGTGTGGTCCGACGATGCTCGCGCGCGCTCCTCGCAGTCTCCTCGCAGTTCCACGAACGCCCGGCCATTATATTCGCCGGGCAGGCCGAGCCGCGCCAGCTCCGGTCCCCGGCCCTCGGCCTCGTGCATCGGGCATCGTTTAATTAGCTCGCCGCGTCAATCGGCCCCGAAAGTCCATTGTGCCGTTGCTGTCGCTATGACTACGCGCGCCCCAGCGGAGGCTCGTTTCTCGGCGCGCGCCCGCTGCATTTGTCGCGCTCGCTCGCAGCGGCGATGCGAGCCGGCGAGCCTGGGAGAGCCTGCGAGAGCCTGCGAGAGCCCGCGAGAGCCTGCGAGAGAGCGCGCGCGTCAGAGCGCGCAGGTGAACGTCCGAGTTATTGTCGGCGCGCTAACAAGGTGCCGAGCGCGTCCTTTTTCAGAGATGCGCGCGCCCGATATAACGAGAGTCCGACTTTTTGCGCATTCAAATATCGACTAATTGCCCGCCCCGAACCCGAACTCGAGCCTCCGCGGCCGCGACGGCGCGGACCGAGCGCTGCCCGCTGGCTCTCGCTCTCGACCGCGCGGCTAATTAATCGACCGGCCGAAGCGCGCGACGGCTTTCCTCCGCCGCGCTGCGCGCGCCCCGATCCGCAGCAGATCTACAGTTTATGCGCAATTAAAGCCGAAATTCGGAATTCCCCGGCGGCAGATCGCGCCGCGCCGATAAGGCTCGCCGAAAGGCCGAAATATACGAGCGGCCGCTACTGAATTTTAATAGCGTGCGCGCCGGCCGGCCGAGCGCCGCGCGGACAATGGGCCGCCGGCCACTGGAAAAGTGGAAAATGACCGGCCGGCCGGCTAATCCGGCGCGCGTGTGCGCCGTGTAAATTAGCCGGCGCGCCGTGCGTAATGGCGTGTCGATGCGCGAGCGCGCCGCTGTCCTTTTTCTCAGGTAGCGCGCGCCGCTTAATTTACGACCAATTAATTTGGATAAACCGAGCGGCTGCGGGTGCGCGCGCTGCGCGTCCGCACGGCCCCCGGCTGATGCGGCCGACGCGGCCGATCCGGCCGATCCGCGAGCCAGCGCCCGAGCGCCGCGCTCGCTCATTTGCTTATTGATTCGTCGGACGCGCGGGCGCGCCATTAATCATGTTTCCGCGCTCGACAATGGCGGACACGGCTCGGCGTAACGGCCGAATACCCGAGTGGCTGGGCCGATTCCGAGAAAGGCCGATAAGCCGCCGCTCGCTACCGAATAAATAATCTAATTAACATAAGTAAGAGCGGGCGACACTGCTCGGCTGCAGTCCTCCGTTCGCTGGCCGCTGCCTGGCAACAAATTTGAAAACGGGCCATCGCGCGCTATCGATCGGCTCCCGCGCGCCCAACAGGCCTCGCGCTCGACGCGACCCGCTATTACGTATTCCGCGCGCATCGCCGCCCATAATTGGCCGCCGCCGCCGCCAAGTATCGACAGAAGAAATTATTCTTTAATTAATCGGCGGATCCGAGCGCGACGCAGCGGCCCGTTGGCGGAATACAATGAGCGCGGCCTCAATTAAAATAGCTCGTTCCGGAATAAATATGATCGGCGCCGATCAGCCTTGTGCGCGCGGATCTGCATGTGACGGGCGTCCCTCCGCGCCGAGGCGATCCGCTCGGCTCCGCGCCTAATCGCGGGCCAGATCTCTCGCTCGCTCCTGTTCACGTGTTCGGGCGGCGAGGCTCCTTTGATCGAACAGTCCTGAGAAGCAGCTAGCGATCTGGACCATCTCCGGCTCCTCCGCTCGCGTCGAGCCGCGCTGCTTTTTTTCTGGCCGGCTCGCTTTCGAGAGCCGATAATTAGAGCCACTTTCCCGGTGGGCCGACCGAATCAGCCTCCTTAATGAAGAATTATTGGGCTGGCCGCGCGCAGGGAACAAACAACAAGCAACAACCTCTTGTGTATTCAAATCACTTTTATTTCGCTATGCCCAGCTCTCGGCAGCTTATCTTACAGACTCGCTCGCTGCTGCCTGCCCGCTCGTGGCTACTTACAAGTATTTACACAAGCCCTATGTACACGCTGCTCACTCGGTCGCCGCTGGCGACGCCGTCGCCGCGGCCGCGCCTCCGCCGCCGCTATTTACACTATGTACACAGTGCTGAGATCAAAGGGGCTACCGGGGCGAGCTCAGGGCCGGTGCGAGGGCGGCGGCGCCATGAACATGGCCGCGGCCGCGGCGGCGTGCGTGTGCCTGGCCATCGCCGCGGCGATGAAGGGCGGCACGGCCGCGGCCGCCGCCGCCGCCGCCGCCGGACTGCCGGCCGGGCCCACCCCCGAGAACATGAGGCCCGAGCCGAAGCTGGGGTGCAGCAGCGGCCGCGCCGACAGCCGCAGCTTCTCGATCTCCGCCTCCTGCAGCCGCTTCGCCTTGGCGCGCCGGTTCTGGAACCAGATTTTCACCTGCAACCAGCCAATTCACACCAGCCTCATTCACCTGCACTGCGGCTCGCCTGGCCGCTCGGGCCCGGTCCGGCGGCCCGGCGACCCGGCGAGCGGTCGGAGCCGCCGTCGAGCGGCGAGGCCGCCCGGCGGCAGCGCGCGCTGCGTCGGCGCGCCGGCGAATCGATAGTCGGCGCGCAATTAGCCCGAGCCAGCGAGAAGTCGAATGAAAAAGGCGCTGGACCGGCGCGCGGGCGCAATCGATACTCGCGGCGCGACGGCGCGACGCGGTCGCGCACGCCTGCCTACCTGGGTCTCGGTGAGGTGCAGCGACGAGGAGAACTCGGCCCTCTCGGCGATCGTCAGGTACTGCTTCTCGCGGAACTTCTTCTCCAGCGAGAGCAGCTGCTGCGTGGTGAACGGCGTCCTCGGCTTGCGGTTCGGCTTGTGCTTGCGCAGCGTGCACCGCACAGGGCCCGCGTTCGGCCCCGGCAGTCTCAGATCGCCTGCAACAAGGTCGCGCTCTGGTCAGGCGCCTGGCCGACTGCCAGCGGGGGCCGGGCCGCGATAAGGCTGTCGGAGGACGCGGCCCAGGAGCCGCCGGCGGCCGGCCGAGGGCTGGGCAAAAACCGGGCGGCGCGTCCTGCCGGGCGCTCGCGCGCGCGCGCGACGTCTTCATCGGTAATTGACGTGCGGATCAAGGATTAATTGACAGTGTTTAATTGCCGGCAAAAAGGCCTGATGGATGCGAGCGGTCGGAGAGGCCGCGCTCGATACGCGCGCTCGCGATTGCCGCGGACTCGAGTGGCGGCGGCGGCGGCGACGGCGAGGAGGCGGCATTGTTCGCTGACATGTGTTATCGCGCCGGCCGCGGCAAAAACTCGAGCGCTATCGCCGCGATGTTATACACAATATCCCCTGACAAATACCCCGACTGGCGGAGCGCTGCTCGGTCGGTCGGTCGGTCGGTCGGTTGGCCGCTCGCTCGACGGCTCGGCGGCTCGGTGGCTCGGTGGCTCGGTGGCTCGGCGGCGCGCGCAAAAAGCGCTTATTGACAGTCGCGATAAATCTCAATTCATTGAAGAAACTGCACGGCAAAAATCCGCCGCAAATAAACATCGGCGCTGCTGACTTATTGATGCCGATTGCGGAAAAACTGATAAGCGGCAATTAACCGTCGGCATTCCAGCGCCGGCTCGGCTCGCTCGCGCGGAAAAAAGCCCAGCAATATTCGCCGCCTAACAAGCACGCCGCTTTTTGCATCCGCGTAATATGCGCATTATGGGCCTATGACTCTATCAGCGGCGGGCGCGCGCGAACGCGGCGGCGCGGCACACTTGGCCTCACACTCGCGCTTTATACGGCCAGCCGCGCGACCGCCGGTCCCGCAAGATTTCTTTCTCGGAAGCAGCGCCTTTCCCATCAGGCTCGTCGAGCATCACACGCCCGGCGGCCGCTGGAAAAAGCGCGAATTTCGAATGAGTCTCGACTCGGCCTGACCGGACTCGCCGCTGATTGCATACCCGTTCGCGCGCGAAAAACGCGCGAGCCTGTCGATCGCCTGCGCGCATTCCAGCGAATCTTCGTTTCGCGTCGCGCCCATAATCGGCCGGCACTCGCGAGTCCCGCGGCCCTCCGGCCCTCCCGCCCTCCCGCCCTCCCGCCCTCCCGCCCTCCCGGCTCGCTCGATTGAGCTGCAAGAGCGTAGCTAACGAACGTCGATAGGCCTCGCGGCGCGGCTAATTAAAGCGAGCGAGCCGCGATATTAAGTTGGCGGGCTTATCGGGCGAATTAATTAGATACGGCCGGGCACTTGCCTCGCGCGCTCGCCGCAGACAAACAGCCTATCGCGCGCAGGCGAGAGAATCGATGATAGGCGCAATTGAGCGGCCCGATAAGCGCTGCAAGCGCGTAGGCGCGCGCGCGCGGCCCGCTAATTGCCGGGCGACGCGCGGCCGCCGCCGCGGCGTCCCCGGCCCGTCGGCCGGCCGCGGGCCCGCTATCTGGCCCCGCGAGATTAAGTGGCCACTGGCCTCGCGCCGCCGCGACTATCTCGGCGCGCGCAGCGCCGCCGCCAGATAAATTCAATTAAAAAGCGCGCCTCGCAGACGCTATCGCGCGCCGAGCGAGACGCGCCGGGCGATCGACGGCGCGCCGCGCTGCCCGTCGGCCGCGGCTCGGCGCATGCGCGCCGCGCCGGCAGCTCGTTAGGGCTTCCTCGAAAGCTCGTCCGACTGGTCGCCGCGGCAAACATGGCCGTGGCGCGCGCGCTAATGAGGCTAGTTACCGTTGGGGCTGCCGGCCGCGCCGTGGCCGTGGGCGCCGTACAGCTGCGCACCGTGCGGGCTGTGCGGGGTGTGCGGGTGCGGCGGTGGCGGCAGCCAGGCGAAGCCGGCCAGCGCGTGCGGGAAGCCGGGCGGCGCGCCGGCGGCCCAGGCCGGCGGGCCCTGCGCGAAGGCCCGCGGCAGCCCCGCGTGGATGGGCTGCGGGTGCACCAGCGCGCCCGCGCGGGCCCCCGCCGCCCCCGGCGCCGCCGGCCCCGAGCTGTCGTCCGAGTCCAGCACGTTCAGGTCCTCCTCGCTGCAGCGCGAGTCCTCCGGCCCCGGCGCCTCCGCCGGCCCCGCCGGCCCCGGCTCCTGCTCGTCCGCGCTGTCGTCGCTGGCGCGCTCCTCGGGCTCGCGCCGCAGCAGCCGCCGGCCCGAGCAGCCCGCGCGGCTGAAGTCCCTGGCGGCGATGCGCTGCGCCGGCGGCCCGCCCGCCGCCGACTCGGCGTGCCCGCGCTCGCGGTGGCGCGTGCCGCTGAGCAGCGCGTCCACGCTGAAGCTGATCTTGGCCTGGCGCGGCGCCTTGAGCCCGGCCGCGGGCGGCGACGCGCGCTCGCTGGCCGCCTCGGCCGGCGGCGCCGGCTGCTGCTGCATGCCCGGGCCGCTCATCGGCCGGCGCGCATCGCCGCGGGCCTGGCGCTGCTGCTGCTGCTGCTGCTGCTGCTGCTGCTGCTGCTGCTCGCGGGTGGCGTGTCGCGCTCGGGGCCTGGCTCGGCGGCGCGCTCACTCATCACCGCGCACTCGGGCACTCGCGCCTCGTCTGCCCGCGGCCGCGGCTCGGGCTGCGGCTCCGGCGCGGGCGCGTCCGCGTGCTGCCGCCGTCGAGAGCGCGGCTGCGGCGCTGCGGCGCTGCGGCGCTGGCCGACTCTCGGTGCGTCTCTCCGCGGCTGGCGGGAGAGAGAGCGGCAGCGCAGCGGGCTGCCTCGGAAACGGCACTGATTACCGGCGACGCCGCCGAGCCGCGGCTCGCGAGCGCCGCCCCCGCGGCTCGCGCCGCCCGCCCCCCGGCCGCGCCGCCCGGCCAATCGCGGCCGCGCCGCGCGCTCCCCGCCGCGCCCCCCGCGCCCGCCCGGGAGGGGCGGCGGGGAGCGCCCGCCCGCCCCCCGCCGCCCGGCCGCGCGCCGCTAATTGTCTAATTCCCGCCGGCCGATTGATTAGCGGCGGGTCGCGGCGCGCGGGGCCCGTTGCGCTTTCGGCGGCCGCGCGCACGGCCTTCGCGCTCGCTCGCCGGAGCCGGCGTTTTGCACGTCACTCGGCCGGAATTTACGCTGCCGGCGAGAGTCTGGCGGGGCCGCGGAGGAAAAGACATTTCTTCGTTAACGTCGAGCTCGACAGCAGAAAAGGCCGGGCCGGGCCGGGCCGAGCCGGGCAAAGAAATTGATTCTTCGGCGTCGGCGAGCGAGAGACTGGAAATTACGGGAAGACACGCGATAAAAAGGAGGCTTGCGAGTCGCTCGGGAGGCGCAGTCGGCGCTCGCCCGGCCAGACAATGGCCCCGACTGGATTATCGATTGTCCGCGCCTGGCGAATCCGCTTAGGCAAATCTCGCGCCGGTAGACGCGTTCTCGGCCTCTCGGCCACTCGGCCAGCCGCCGAGATGCGAGTCGTTCGCGCTCCGAGCAATTAATTTGGCGTCGCCGCCGCCGCTGCTGCCGCCGCCGCCGTCGCCGCTCGCCGCCGCTCGCCGTGCGAAAGTGCGAGGTGTCAAGCTGCAGCGCAGTCTATTAAAGTGACTCGGCTGAATCGCAGCTCCGCTACAAAATGGCTGTCGTTTAGCCAGGATTAATGGTCTATGCGCGCGCGACAGCGGCGAGCGGCAGATGCACTCGAGAGCTCGCTCGGCTCGGCGCGAAGCGGCGTTAACCTCATTATGTACAGCTATCTGGCTGTGGCCTCCATTATGCTCTTTTTATACGCGCGCAGGGGAAGAAATGAGCTTTCATATTTGAACGGCGTTTAGCTGGGCGTTTCACGCTCGAGTGGCTCCCCTCGGCGCGCACGCACGCTCCTCGGCCGGCTCGTCCCTGCAAAAGGGCTATCTCTCCGGCTGTAGGCCGCCACCTTATAGCCACTCGGCGAGCTCCGCGCACACGCACGTACACACTCGGCCCGGCATTATAAAGCCCGCTGACAGAGATTTAGAGTGTATTTAACGTTGAATTAGTCCGGCTCTCGCCTGCCTGCCTGCAAGCGTCACTTCTCTCTCTCTCTCTCTCTCTCTCCCTCTCTAATTCTTCGCGCCTAATAAGCTGACGCTAATCGATTGACTTTTAACGTTTCCTCGAACATCATCGTCATCTCGGCCTGGGAACGGTCCAGCCCCGACGCGCGCATCCTCGAGCGCGCGACAAAAGGCAGCGCGTCGGCGTTGGCTGCTCGGTAGCCGTGCACTTCAAAGCCGCCGAGGCCCAAGGGCCGCTCGCGTACTCGCCTATCGATTCATCTTTCCACTCTGTCCACCAACACAGCCCCGTTCATTAGAGCCATTGCGCTTTTCATCGCCACCTCCTACCAAAATCCACTCGAGCAGCACTGTCCTCGCAGACGTTGAAGCTTATTCAAACAGTAAATGATATTCTACGCTTCGTCCGTTGAGCGCGCCGGCTTCAACGCAAGCGACAAAGACAGGCCTCGCTCTGCGCGGACATCAGCAAACCTTTCCCAACTCCGATAAACGCTCGCTCACCTCGCTTCTTTCCTACGGGCTGGAGCTTCATAAAGAGCCGCGCTGCTTCATCTGACAAACACAGCTGTCCACAAACTAGTTCCGCACTCTCGTTTTTCAATTTTACGGCTCGCAATGTCACAGTCATCTTTGCTACTCGATTGCACTTGCGAGCCTATTGTAGACTCGCAATGCGCACTCGCACTGATATCAACCAATGCATACTTTCAAAAGTGCAGTCACTTCGTCGCTTCGTCGCAAAGGAGTTTTTATTCTCATTCGCTTCTTTGTAACACCTGGCATGCATGCTTTTACATAACGTTCGTAGTTCATTGGTTCGATCGACCGACAGTGTTTTACAAACCACTCCACGTCCGTTTTGCAAAGCTATTTTTTGAGCGTTACTGCAAAAATAAGTGTGACGAAAAGCGACAGATATGTCAATCCTGTTAATTCAATGCAATTCTACGTACTGCAGCTTACCCAATCACTGCAAAGGTTAGTAGCATTATCTGCAAAAAAATTATCTCCAAGATTAATTAAACAAACTAAAGTAATTCTCTTCTTGATGACGCATACAAAGTAACAAAAAGCTTTCAATTGACGAGGACTATTATTTACAAGCAATATGTCCAAGTAATCCCTTCCAAATAGAAGGTTTGTCCCAGTAGTTCTACAAATGTTTTTGTTTCATCGATTAGAGTACAACATTTGCTTTGCATATAGCCAAAGCAATTTACAGTAGTTTACAAACAGTTGGCCTCGATTCTTTCAACAGAACCATTACGCTTATTTCAGTCGCATATTTGCATCTTTCGAACAAACATCGTCGAAAATTCTTATGTTGGGAAGAATGAAAAACACTTTCTTATTACTTAATACCCCATGAACAAGCTGTCAAGAACTACTTCATTGAAGAGTCAAAGTCATAAAGAGATTGTACGATTGACGTTTAATATTGCTCTTGAAAACTTTTTTACCTTATTACATTTTACCACATTCGATTATTCGCTCACTTTGAGTACTCATAGTTGGCTTGAAAGTATTTTAAAACTCAATTAACAACGATTTTTTCATAATGAACACGTAAGCCGACATTGCCATATTAAAAGAAATTTATGTACACATCGTTACTAAAGTGGGTGATAAAAATCAGATTGAAAATTAATTACAAATATGAGGCGTTTCAAGCCAAGTGTTCTGTTTAGTGCACTATAATACCGACAATCAACCGTTTCCTTTCTCGCCTCTCTTGGCTTAAGAAGTAACAGACAATTGAAACGCAAGCGAGGCTAAGATATGGAAACAACGGCCTTTTTTTGAAAGCTGACAAAATTAACTTATGAGGCCAAAACAGAAATAATGTCATTGTAAAATAGCATTGTAAAGAAGCACTCAGCTTTACGTTTTAATTCTAAATAAAATACGTTAACAAATCCCAAAACAATACTAATTACGAGAAATGGTATAATCCATTTTTTTATTGTATAAGATATTCAAAAAGTTTTTTTATGCATTTATTCTCAAACTGTACAGAAACTTTGGCACGATAAATTCGTGAAAATATGAGATGATTAAACTTTAAAAATAATATAAGGTCGATGCATAAAATCCATCTTCTGCAAAATCCTAAATTTCTATTTCCTATATAAAAAAGTAATGGCCTGCCGAGTGAAGGTATTTTATTGGTAATCTGATTGGCGGAAACGTAGTCACGTGGGCTACCACTGCGTGGCAGCATGAGTGTGTGTATATGCACGTGTACTGGAATTAGTGATATATAATAATATTATATATTAGCGCAGCAGCTCGTATGTTCAGCAAATTTCTGCTAATAAGTATCTCGAGTCGTTTTACTTCGATTTTATATTCATTAATTGAGTATATAAAAAGTAAATAAGACGCTTTGTAGATATTAAAAAAGAATAACGTCCACATTCACTCAACGGCCTAACCTTAAAATAATATGATAAAATATTTTTAATGCTCTTCAATTACATTTATTCTTGAGGCATATAAATTTATTGAACATCTTTGTTACAAAGTTTAGTTTCGAATAGACATCATTAGCATTGAAGAGAATCATAAACTGATTGAATATTTCATAAAATAAAATACTATGAAAATATATGGAAAAATAACCTCAAAATTGTCATGGATGAATTGGTAAAAGATAACAGTTACGTTGCTAGAAGTAAAAATTAAAAAATATAGTTTGCGAAAAGTACTACTCCAAACGAGCCGAAACCTTAATAACTGAGTGCCAGTTTTATTATAAATAATTTGTTTATAAAACAATTTGTTTATAAAATTGCTAGATTTACATGGAAACAGATGAAGCATGACAGTCAAAGCATAGAACTATGTAGTGTATTTTATAATGGTTTTAATTTAATTGAAGCATGAAATTGAATGTTAATATAAACGAGAGGTGAGCTTGACAACACTAGTGAGTTAAAAAACCAAATGAAACTTTGATTTGCTGCTTAACCTTTAGAGGACGGGGATTTGGAATTTTTAACTGCTCAGTATTTTCTATAGAAAATGCATAATATGTGTGTCTAATATCGGAGAATACTCACATGTGAAGTGCCGATCGATGGTCGAGCCACTATAGTGGCTTTCCCGTCCCAGGGGTGATGCTAAATTTGACACTTTGAAAAATTATTTTATTTGGCACTGGAAGATAGTACCCTCGGGTGTTTTATGGTATTTTCGTAATTTTTACCTTGGAATTCGATTAGGCGTTCAAAATTACATCAGAAAATAAATTCACATTCCCTTATACTATAGAAAGTTTTTTTTCGCGACTAGAAGAATAGTTTACCCTTATTTTGGGGTTGGTTTATGGTTGTTTCGTAATTTCTGACTTATAACATCCAATTCGTAATCAGTATGCCAAAAAATCCCAGAAGTAACTTATTTTACAGACTAACACGAGAAACTATTTTGAGCCACTATAGTGGTTTTCCCGCCCTCTAAAGGTTAAACATTAAGTATGCCCTGTAAAACGTGTTTAGTAAGTGGAGTGAAAATAAAAAGAAATTTGAAAATATTTCAGAAAAGTTTACTTCCCTTAATTCATGTTGCAGAAAATTTGGTATCTCATTGGCGTTCAATGAGTGAGAACGCATTAATCTAATTGGAGCACATAAATCAGAAATTTTACTTTCAACCTTTCGAACTGATAATACAGATAATCCCTCTTCGCGAAGGCTAAGAACTAGAACTAAAAATGTGAAGGTACAGTG